GACCTACATTCCTTGGAAGTGGACCTTGCTCGGAAGGATTTCAAGCTAGGCAGTAATATTCTACAATAAATCCTACATCTTACACCATCCGCTACATCCACTACATCCACTACAAAATTTTTTTGGTTAGAAACATCAAAGAGTTCATCTTATCGTGATTTTAGCGCTGTCAGACCAACTCTAAATAGCGGGTCTGATTTTGACCTGTTCGCTAGTAAGCCCAACCCAACAAAGAAACGGTGTGAGCTCTTCTTTTTTTTCTCTCGTTTTCCACGCGGCTCGCATTTGCACACGTGGAGAGGGCGCTTAAAAATCCTTCCAACCGCTTCAAAAGGACGAACTAGAACAACCATTTGGCTGGCATTTTGCCTCGGCCATCCTTGCGTGCACGGGGACCCGTGGATCGCATACCTTCATCTCCAAGACTCGATTGGAAAATGGAACCCTGAGACGGTTCGTTTGCTCGCAACCCCTCACCGTTCAAAGTTGTTTGCCAGAGGCTGCGCAGCGCAGAGCTCCACTCTCCCACAGCTCGCAGCCGCTCCACGTCACTCGCACTCTCCACTACCACCGTCCCATTATCCTGGTCAATCTTTGCATTCAGCTTTTTGTCAAGGATCAGGAAACTGAGAATGTCCAACACCTCTGGTACAGAGACCCTGATGTGTTTGGAGATAAATTGCAGCGAAAAGCGGGTGTACGGCGCAATTAATTTGAGGACGGCCTTGGTGCGCATGTTACGGCTAACCTCGTCGATGTTCTCCGCAATAAAAGGATCGGCCAAGACGTCCGGATGTTTGCTCAGCACATCCTCGTATGCATGAATGTCGTCCCGCTGGAAGGCATCCACCAGGTCGGTCATCGCTGAAATGCGGGGGTCATTCTTGTATGGCTTGGTTTCCTGAGAATCGAAGGGGTTGATGTCGGACTTCATAAGCATGGTCGTTAAGACAAGGTATTTGAGAACTTGAATTCGCTGCATGGAACCCGCCTCGTCGTAATTTCGGAACGACTCGAAGAAATCACTTTGTGCCTCCTTCCAGTTCTCTTCGCTCATGTGCATTTTGCCTCCACATTCACGGATAATACCCATGATCTTGGGATGGGGTACCGCCGACCGTACTCGGAGTGCGCGCTGGTATAGGGCCTTTAGTCGTTTGTTATTCTTCGTTTCGGCGGACATCTGGATCTCAAGGGCGTAGAGCTCGAGTAGGTATGTTCCCTTGCTGGTGTCGTCCGATCCGTCCTCTCGTTGGCATGCCCGGTGCAATTCCCGCATCTTTTTGCCCAGCTGGCCGTATTGCTTGCGCTCTAGCCATAGGCGAGCCAGTTTAATGTTTGTCTTCAGCCAAAGGCGCTCGTTGTTTGTGTTTTGGAATGATTCGAGGGTCAGAGAGTAGAATTCCTCCATGCACTGGTACGCCTCTGCATTATCGGACCCTTTCTCGATAAAGTCGAGCATATTGTTGATCGACTTCTCGGAATAGTTTCGTGTAACAGCGGATTTGACGTATGTGAGCAGCTCCCGGTAGTGTGCGACGGTCTGAAGAGATGGGGGTCAGTATCTCAACAGGTAGATCGGCTGTTAGAACATGAGCTTACGTCGCTATATCGCCCAAGCTTGAATTCCAGCTTGATGGCCTGCTTGAGACCTTTGAATCCCCTATGTTTTCATAGTTAGCGCTGTTCGTTGCGACCAGCCTAGGAGTCAAGAAATTACCAATCGCTTTTGTCTTGTTCCATGGGTGCTATGCCTAGGAACTCGTCGACTGCCTCTTCTGGATTATCGACCTTGATCTGCTTGGCATTGTAGTATTTGTTCTCGATTCCGATATCACCGGAATCGTCGTCGTCGGCATCCTCATATTCGAAGTCGTAACTGTGATTGCAACAGTCAGCTCGGTTTGGAAGGCGCAGTGGACAAGGGATCAATACTCTTCATCCCCAGAGTCCTGCATAAAATCATCATCGTCCGACATCTTGGGCGTGTAATATTTTGAAAAGAGCAGGAGGGTGGTTAGGCTAGAGAGGGTCGCAAAGTGGTGGGGTTGGAGTGTTGGAGAAGCTGGGTCAGATAACAGCTGTGAGCTTCCGCCTTTGATTATCGTGAGGAGAGCAGACATTGAACTACATTGTACATTATTACATTGTCGTGTGTTTATATACCAACAATATCAATTCAGCTTGTTTGAATAATGATTTTTCAATAGGCCTACGCTTATTCAATGTTACGATTATATAGTTGTTATTGTTATTGTTATTGTTCTCGTTCCACTCCATTGAATTACCGCTCTACGTGAAGGTAAGCCTATCTGTCTACTTATAGAGGAATGTTCAAGTGCCTTGGACATTAGGTTATAACTTAGGCCGCTTACAGCATACAGCAAAAAGGAAATTAAGAGTCCCACCTAAAGAGTTGCACCCAGTAAGCTTTATTACTTATCAGGGGCTTGGTATGTTGATTATTGCAATTACACTAGGCTATCCATATGTTAAAAGCCAAATATGAGCTTTAGTATGTTGTAGAAAGTAACGAAAGTACTCTAAAGTAGACTTATATGAAAAAGAGCAAGAAGATCTCTCATCTTCACGTCAACTTGTTATAGAAAGGCTGTGGGGAGTATAAGCCCGAAGACCCAAAAGATCCAAGAACATGCCCAAACAAACCTACAGCATGAGACAGTTCTAAAATAGTCTTTATTTAACAGCCAAATCATCAAAAGTACAACATAAAAAAAAAAAACTCGTAGGTGGACCTGAAGGGGGCTGACGCTATTCGCCGATCCCTCCAGCCCTTCAGCGCGCGATGTCATCGACTCAGCCATTCCTGGAATCTTCCCCCGACAACAACCTCGATCTTCTACTGTCACATAATTGTTCCCAACTCTTATACGAGTACCGCCTCACGAATCAACCCATAATACTTGGACATACTGTTCCATTGCCTTCTTATCTCCTTACTCCGAGTCTCCTGAATCAAATTACTTTGCGCAATGCAGCTGTGCGGCCGACAGAAGGTGGTCCAGCGCAAGATGGTGCTGCTGTTAGTTTTGATCTGAATTTCCCCGCTGATTATTGGCGATTGGTCTGACATGATTCCAGAGGCGATGGTGCCTGTGGCAAGACATCTGCGCTGAATGTGTTTACTCGTGGGTGCGCAATCTCCCCCTCACCCGTCTCCGATGAATGACAGCGTTGCTAACGGACTTTGACTAGATTCTTCCCGACGGTCTAGTAAGAAATTCTACTATCTTCGGAGCATACTTCCAAATACAGGTTACTAACTCTGGTTATCGTTTGTGTTCAGCGAGCCTACGGTCTTTGGTATGCGCGCATTCCCCCCCCCCCCCCAGCNTTTCCTGAATCTGCATCACTAACCTCGAAGGGACATAGAAAACTACGTGCATGGTACATATTACCCCACTCCCATCATCTGACCACGATCCACAAAACTCACACCCGTCCTAGATATCTTCGTCGACAACATACACGTGGAGCTCTCGCTATGGGATACTGCCGGTCAAGAGGAGTTCGACCGACTGCGCGCGCTGTCCTACGAGGACACACATGTGCTGATGCTCTGCTTCAGTGTAAGAACAAGCACAAAGTTCTCCCCACACACCGCAGCATATAAGCTAACAAGTCCTGATAAAATAGGTCGACAGCCCTGACTCCTTCGAGAACGTGTCGTCAAAATGGATCGCCGAGATTAACGAGAACTGCCCGGGCGTGCGCGTGGTCCTGACAGCACTCAAGTGCGATCTGCGCAAGGACGAAGACATGAACGATAACCCCAACTCCATCAGCTTCGATCAGGGCCTAGCGAAGGCGAAGGAGATCGGCGCCGTGAAGTACCTGGGTGAGTGCTTTGTCAATTCATTTATATCTGATCGCACGGCTCATATCGTTTTCAGAATGCTCCGCGGTCCAAAATCGTGGCATCAGAGAAAGCTTCTACGAGGCTGCTAAGGTTGCTCTCGAGGTTAACGCAAGCGGGGGCTCGTCCTCTGGCTCGAACTGTATCATTCTGTGAGGTGATCTCTTGCGGTTCATTCCTGGCATGCATGATATCCCTCTATGTCTGTCATATCGGCCTTCGTTTACTTGGATATCCATCCTTGGAAGGTCTTCATCCTCTTCCCCCCTTTTCTTCGCCCTCTTTATCTTTTTGTTTCTCCCCACGTTTATCCCATTGGATTTGTTGATTCCCCCATGCATTCGGTGTTTTGAGCTTGCTTTCGCCCTTTTTTTTCTTATTCTCTAGGTCAGACTGTGTCTGCTCCATCCAGACCGCATAGAAATCGGTCTATGTTGATTGCATGATTACATAGTTCCAGCTCTCTCTGTTCTGAGCATTTCAGCGAGGTTGGTTTTTTGACTCCTAATTATGATATACAAATATAATCTTCATTGGATTTTGCGGGGTATTTTTATGCATTATTTCTCTAATATTTTCTTTAGTGAAACAAAAGTTCTCGACCATTTGCTCACCGCCTTTGCTTAACCGCCCTTAAGGTACATTTGATAAAGTATCTTATCACCAAATATCGCTGTGAAGATACTTGACACTAGGTTGCTTTTCGACTGGCAGTACATTCTCATACATGTTGCTCAATAACTTTCAAGGACCTCCAAGGCTGCCCTTTGTGTTTCTTTTTCTTTTGTTTTCTCGCCTCATGTGGCCAAATTTGCATTATGACTACAGTAGCAATACAGCTATGTACAAAATTTACTTCTTCATTGGGCTTATTACATTGCATCCTTATCATGATTCAGACCATACAGTCAAGTCACCAAGCACAGCTCTCCATCCAAAGTACACCAGGGAAGGTACATACATACATCATCGTACATATAGCTAGGTTCTACAAGCTTGACAGCTGAGCTATCGAACAGCATAAACCAACCAATCAACAGAAACATGACACTAGTAACACAACCCCCGCATCATCCAAGCAGAGCATCCGCAAGCAGAAGCTCTATCTTAGACATCCTCTATCCTAGACATCATTCAACAAATCCTCCTCCCGAACCCGATAAACCTCCTCAATCTTTTCCCCATGCGCATTCTCCCCACATGCAAAATCAGCATTAACCCGACTAACAAACTTGTCCACAAACGCAGCAGCAACATCCCCAACCTCCAATCCTGGAACACCCACACCTTGCAGACTAGTCACCTCTTTGCCCTCCAGTCCACAAGCGACAATCTGCTTAAAGAACCACATCGGCTCGTCTGTAACATTAAGCCCGATTCCAAAACTGCTGATATTGCGTCGCAGATGCACGCCTACAGCTGTGATCTTCCTCGGTTGCAAGGATCCTGATCCTGATCCTGCAATGGGCTTCACCCATACCCCCGGATCTTCCGTTGTAAACCCCTCCACCCCGTAGCTCTTCAGTAGATCAATGACGCTGTTTTCCAAAAGGCGGATATGACACCGGGGCGTTAGACCCAGTCTCTTGAGATCCAGAATCGTGTAAGCGACCATCTGGCCGGGGCCATGGTAGGTTGTCTGTCCGCCGCGGAGAGTTGGGTGGTACTCTGCCTTTGCGGGTTGGTTTCCATCCGGGGTGAAGAGGGAGCGTATTGGTTCGAGGGCTGGGGGCAGGGAGAAGAGGGCGGGGTTTGTCGTGGAGGGCGGGCTTGTGTTTGAAGGTGGGAGGTCGCGACGGCCGGTGGTGTAGACGGGGTTTGGGCTGAAGGTAATGATTGTTGGGTCTGGGGGCGGGGGTGGGGTGTTGGCTAGTGTGGCGCTTGAGTTGCCCGGCTCTTGTGATGATATTGAGCCTGGGGATGTGAGCTTTTTGTGTGTGAGGAGGCGGGTTGTAAGGGCTTGTTGGAGGTGCGAGACGCGGCTGAAGGGCGTTGTGTGCGGGAGGTGGAGGTGTGCGAGTCTCATTTTGGGTTAATTTTTTAGGGTGAGATATGGTTGAGGTTTTTGTTGTATAAGAATTGGATCTCTTAGCGCATTGTAAGGTTGTGGGGGAGAGGTTATGTTTTCCACGGAGTACGAGGTCGGTTGTTGCGGAGAAGATGCAAGCTCGCTCCGATAAGGTTTGATAAGTGGCGGCCCTCTGCGATCTCTCAAGGGCCGTCTACATGCGTTGAACACTGGCTATTTCAAGTCTAATATCTACAGATATTTGTGTTGATTTCGCCTCTGTTACTCCCACTCGATAATGTGAGCCCAAGCCATTTGGCAAGCTGGTAATGTTAGGCAAATCTGCCCAGAGGGAATCATACCATTGACGCATGATTTTTGAAATCGAACAGCCAAATGATACTATCCGAGATTATCAAGGATGTAGCCAATGCGGTAGGAATCATAGGCTCATTGCTATACAATAATTCCTTGCATTCAAAATTGAAACTAGAGCATATCAACCCGAGACTATGAAGAGGCGACGCCATTGACCAGCCCAGAGTCCTGCTGCTCAGCAGGAAGCAGAACCCAGTCGCGCACACCACCCTTCCAATCCGCAATACGACCCTCAGTGACTCTTACGGTAACGACCCGCACATCGGTATCAATCGAAACGCTAGGCCGTCTGGCGTTAGGATCCTGTTGCTGCTGCTGCTGGCCGAAGAGAGTGATCTCCTCTTCCTCGAAAGTATTATTCTCCAAATGGCGAGCCTTGCACCATGACTCCTCTTCCGAGCCAGACTCCAAGAACTGCGCCTCACCCGTAATGGTAGTCGAGATGCTGGAGAGCGCGCTAGTGTTCAGGTTGAGCAGCAGGCTGGCAAGAGACGAGCGGGTAGCAGCGGGTGGTGGGGAGCCATCGCGCTCACCCTGCGCCGGGGCCCGGGTCGGTGGGCGGTGCGACACCCAGTCGTGGACCAGGAGTGAGACTCGCGGGTTGGACAACAAGTGGTTTGTTTTCCGCGATGCGGGGTTCGTGGTCATGATGATGGTGGGGTGTGGGTCGAATGGGGTCGAGGGGAGATAGGTGTAGGACATCAGTGAGATGTGGGGTGTTTTATCATCAACTGTTGCCAGGTGCAGCTTAATTGGAGCGATAGAAGGTCAGTTTCCAGTTTGGTGGGCTATCTGTGTAATGGCTTTGTACTCACGAAGCGGGAGTTCTTGAGACACGAGACAACCTCGGATGGCAACGAGGTAGCGACATGGGGATGAGTGGTGGTCGCAGATGCCTCGTAAGACAGCGGGGGGTTGACTGATTCGGCCATGTTCTTATGATTTGAGAACCAAAATAGTAATAGTGAAGTTAGGATCTCGGGAGGAGAGGATCGAGATCTGCCCGGGGGCGGTGTCCCGTTACCCAAAGGGTTTAGGTGCCCGCTATTTGTCCGACAACGTCATCACATCATGTTTGCCCATGGATTTCCAAGTCAGCAACTTACAGCCTATGCTCCGATATACGGCAATTTCTCATTTTAGACTCATTTTTGGGTGGATACAGGACAGAACGCTCTAGGCAAGGACCTCAATACACATATATTAGAAGTGATGTGTAATGAGCGTGGAGACAGCCCAGACAACGTCATGGCGGCAGATGTGTCGGATGTTATGTTATTATTGCATGATATTTGCATCGAGTATAAGCAAACGTCCGTGTCTCTGCTCCGTACTCCGTAGCTCTATAGTACTAGTCCCATAATAAGTGGCGATACACGCTACCTAGGTATCCCACCTTGGAGGTTGCAGAAGTCCAATGGTATCGAGTACATCTATGCGATGTCATCATTACCCACAATTTAGTGTGAGATTGGCTGTAAACTTGGGCAAGTGGTACCAGCACAGCCCGTCACTATTACTCCATACCAAGAACTCGGGGAAGCTCCTTCCCCGCACAGAAGAGCTACAACAAAACACATGTGCATCTCTTGACACTGTACGGAGTATCGACTCGGAGTATTTCAGATTGTAATCAATTCACAGTGACTGGACAGGACAGATTAATTCTACTAATCTGCAGTCCTAGTACTTAACTCCCTAACTTCTGTTACCAGTACTAGGCATTCTTATACTCTCCGATCCGATCGGTACACACATCCCCCGATCATCGCCCCCTTCTTCAACTCTCCCTCTCCCCTGCAACTCCAACCTGATCCCTGCACTTATCTCTCCACTCTCCTATCCCCCCTCTTCACTTTGTTTCTACCATCTTCGCCTCTCATTCTTCTCCCTCTTCTTCCCACTCCCTTGATTCTATATTATACCTCCCCAGCTTGCTGTCGGCTTTGGGTCCATCATTGTTCATTGTCAATCGTATCTTCCGTCCGTTGGTCTTTCCATATACCATCATGTTAGGTCCACGCGCAGCGCGCTCAGCCCGATCGGTGACTTCACTCTTGCGACCATTCAGCTCGTCAGCTGTGGCCTATCGTTCTCCCTCTATTCGAGATATTACAGTCCAGTCGACTGAGGAATACCTCAGACGGCAGAAGGAGTTCCGCGAGAACTTGGAACAGGCTCGCTTGAGAAGAGAACAGCAAGAGAGTCAGTCTGTCAATGCTTCTGCTTCTTCGTCTTCCCTTTCCCGTGAGTACGCTCCCACTGCTCCACAAGTGAGCAATGCGAGCAAACATGATCGTATCAACCCTACTTTCGATGCTGCCACAGCGCTTGATCACAAAGGACTGGGCTCACTCTCAACGCACCGCTATCTAGGGGATGAACAAAATCAAGAAGCTGCGGCCAAACGTGGCCCTCTGTCCTCGCTCATCTACGGCACCAAAGAGGGCCAGCATTTCGACAAGGATATGGAGCGCTCCTTCTCACAGGTCCTCGCACGCGGCAAATATGTCCATTCGATCGTTATGCACGACGTTAAACCCGACAAGGTCGATGAATACGTGGATCTGGTGGGCCAGTGGTACCCCCGCATGGCAGGTGCGGAGGAGAACCGTGTCAACTTGGTGGGCAGCTGGCGGACGCAAGTGGGCGACAATGACACCTTTGGTAAATCCCGATTAAACGACCCAACCATTGTCTGTGGGCTAACTCTTGTCCTTGCTTGAATAGTCCACATCTGGGAATACCAACGCTATGAAGGCTATCACGCTTCCCTTCACAACATCTCGGAACACCCAGAGTTCCGTGATTTTGATCGCAAACTCAAGAGCCTGATTAAGAGCAAGCGAACTTCGTTGATGCAGGAGTTCTCGTTCTGGCCCACAACTCCGCCTCGTCGTCTCGGTGGACTGTTTGAGCTTCGGTCGTACACACTGCACCCAGGAAATCTTCTGGAGTGGGAGACACACTGGCGCCGTGGCCTTACAGCTCGTCGTGAGGTGATGGAGGGTGTAGGCGCATGGTTCGTTCAAATTGGCGAATTAAACACAGTACACCACCTGTGGCAATTTGCCAACTTGGAGGAGCGCAAGATCTGCCGCGAGCAGTCGTGGGGCGTCGAAGGCTGGGCTGAGACGGTTCACAAGACTGTTCCCTTGATTCAGACCATGCAGAGTCGGATTCTTGTCCCGATGCCCTGGAGCCCAGTCGGCTAAATTGTGAGAGTCAGCTGAAAGGATTCCCTTTAGCTTATTCCCTGGTTCTTGGCACCTAGGGAGTCTTCATTGTTTTTGAACGACTAGGATGTCGCGAGGTGTATTGACCGAGATTGGTCTCGCCATTACCCCATACCCATATTCCCTTTCTGTCGGGATGCATGCTATCGGGATACTAGGCCCTTTGCATCCGATTCTGTATTGTGTACCTAGGCATTAAGCATGTGTCAAATCCATTAGTCAAATATCAAACCTCCAGGGCTCTTATTTGTCACAGAGTTCCCCCATATTATCCGTTGCGCTCAGATCTCAATGCCAATCCCGAGTGTGCCCTCGGATAACCCCACTTTTCGATCATCTCAACACTTTGAGGCATTTCATTGGAAACGCTTAGATCGCTTGGGCAGATGTGTTACGTAGTTGAACATTGACCTGAACATGAATTGCCGAGTTGACAAGGACCAAAGAACAAGTGTGTAGTCAAATATATGTACATACGTACTTTGTGCACAATAAAGGACGAACATCTCGATCTAATCTAAGACCTCATCATTTCTCTCCGCCGGCAGAAAAAAAAAAGTCAACAAAAGATCGAGACCAAGTGGCCTCTTTCTCTCTTCAACGCCGATCTTTAATATCGAATTCTCCATAGACCCACGTCTACGGCTGTTTCTCCCTACCGGAGATCCCATCTTCTTCTTTCTTCTCTTCGTCATCCTCTCTTTTTCCCCTTTGTTTTCGATTACCCTTTCCCGGCGATACCTTCGGGGATATCGTTCATTATTACACTTCGACCTTAATCGCGCGCCTACAACTCGCAAAATACCCGAAATTTGCGTATTTAAATGCGAAATCCCTAACGCGACAACTCAATCCATTATATGCCTCACGCACAGAACGAAGAACGAAAATAATAGACACCCGCGCGTTCACAGACGCGCAAAACAACCAAGAGAATGGTGTACATCCGGCAACACGAATTGGCGAATCTGAAGAACTACAAATATGCTGGAGTCGACCATTCGCCTGTCAGTCGGTATATCCTAAAGCCGTTCTACAACAAATGCGTGATTCGCTGCTTCCCCATGGGAATGGCGTGAGTATACTTCCTCTCCTTGCTTTCGTTCCCCGGACTTGGTGTGCATGGGCTATACATCCTTGCCTTGATGCCTCTTTTGCATACAGAGACGGTCTCCTGTCCTCCCATTCCAAGGATCTATACATAGTGCAATATGGCTGACTCTACTCTTCTACTCTTTGCGCAATTAAAGACCCAATGCCGTAAGTCCTGCCCATGCAACATTGTCACAACCTCTGGAATATAAGAAACGATCCTAATCCCTCGCTTCGCTAGATTACCCTCACCGGATTCATGTTCGTGGTAATTAATTTCATCACTGTTATGTGGTACAACCCGAACTTGGATACAGACTGCCCGCCCTGGGTCTATGCCAGCTGTGCGCTTGGCTTGTTCCTGTACCAGACCTTCGATGCCGTAGATGGCATGCAGGCGTATGTCTACACTTTTCTATCGGATAGTCGAGGGGCGCTTTACTGATACTGGCTGCGATTTAGGCGGAGGACGAGACAGAGTGGTCCGCTGGGCGAGCTCTTTGATCACAGTGAGTTCCCAAAGACAGTATGAGAAAGGCAAATGGATTGCTGATTGTTTGTTTCTACGTTACTAGGTGTCGATGCATGCAACACCGGTCTCAGCGTCTTGGTCTTCGCAGCAGCAACGAACATGGGCCAGTCCTGGATGACCTTCATTGCTCTATTCGGCTGTAAGCCCAGCCCTCCCATGCCCTTCTCCGCATAAATTATGTCTGACAATCGCAGCAACGATGACATTCTACGTCCAAACATGGGATGAGTACTACACGCAAGTCCTGACATTGGGTGTGGTCTCCGGTCCCGTCGAGGGCATCCTCACCATTTGCCTCGTCTACATTATCACCGCCATCATGGGCGGCGGCAGCTTCTGGCACCAGCCCATGCTGGAGACCCTCGGCATGCCGAAGCCTAGCTTCCTCCCAAGCCAGGTGTACGACTTACCCTTCACTTATTGGTATCTTGGGTATGGCTCCCTCATGCTCTGCTTCTCTATCGGCTGCAGTATCATGAACGTCATGAAGGTGCGTCGTGAGCGAGGCCAGGACCCCGTCTCGCCGCTGTATGGCCTCCTGCCTCTGGTGGTCATCTGGACTCTCATCCCCGCCTACCTATACCTGCAGCCGGTGATTTTGGAAAACTACACCATTCCCTTCGGAGTGTTTGTGAGTCTCATCAATGCCTACTCTGTCGGCCGCATTATCATCGGCCACCTCACTCAGACAAGTTTCCCCTATCAAAATGTGCTGCTGTACCCACTCGCTCTGGGTGTTTTGGACAGCGCGGGTGCACTGATCGGCTTGTGGTCCGCCCCAGTGCTTGGGCATGGTGTTGGGCAGGTGGCATTCACATTCGGATTATTGGGACTGGCTGTCGGTGTGTACGGTAGCTTCGTGGTATGTTTCCCCTTATGGTTCCCCTGCGCGCGACGATTTGCTGATCTTGATTTCCTCCAGTTTGACATTATCACCACGATATGCGACTACATCGATATCTGGTGCCTCACGATCAAGTACCCATTCGTTGAGGAGACCGAGCGCAAGACTGACGTGTCGAAGAAGACCAAGTAAAAGGATTATTGGCGCAATCTGGGGTGTTGCGTGGGCTTGTGGATGAACAGCAATTCAACCTCGATTACCACAGGCGAGGCAGCTCAATTGAGCTAAGTGAGAGAGTCGGGGATCAGTCGGACACTTGAAAAGAGCGTTGGACATAATGATGCCTGGCTAATGACGTTTCCAGTACATAATTAAGTTTCCCTTGAGACACAGAGCAAGTAGCTCGGAGTGGCGTTCTAGCGATAGAATATGAGAGTTGTAATATTGCCGTTCCAAGGTTGTTTCCAGATTGTTGTAGAAGAATAGTGAAGCACCTGACTGCCTGCCCGCAGCGGAATCCACGTCTCCACACGGAACCAGCGATTGAGCTCGTGCTTACCTCAGTAGCTTACATAATCATTCTTTGATTGGTGGAAAGTTCGCCGCCTTCCCGAATAAGGACAAGCGAGGGCACAAAGCGGCACAAAGCCCTACCTCCACCCAAACCGGTCCAAATCCCTTCAGACTTCTCTTGGAAGACCACCTCATCCGCATCACACAAGGCCATCGCCATCAGCGCCATTAATCAACTATCTCGCTGATCGACTTTCACTCGTCAAGATGGTAAGACCATTTTCGCCCTAATTTTCCGATCGGTCCATGTTCGATGCGATACACACGACATGGAAGACCTATACGGATTATCAATTCCCAAAATTCAACGTCCACCGACGCTAACATGCTGTCGATAGGTTCTCGCGGTCGATCTCCTCAACCCCACCCCCCAGGCCGAGGCCCGTAAGCACAAGCTTAAGGTATGAAACAACCTACCTCCGAAAGAAACACGAAAGATTTGAAAATATCAACCCGGCGAGGGGCGAAATCCTGGATATTCGACCTAGACCTGAACCTCCGATGCTCGACATGGAGCCAATGGGAAAGGGCACCGAACGACAGGAATGATATGGAATCTTTTCGGGAAATGGAAATGTTGGAACAATGATGGCTGATTATCGATTCTCTCTCCGCCTACAGACCCTCGTGCCCCAGCCCCGCTCCTTCTTCATGGACGTCAAGTGCCCCGGTTGCTTCACCATCACTACCGTCTTCTCGCACGCCCAGACCGTCGTCATCTGCGCCGGTTGCTCGACCGTCCTCTGCCAGCCCACAGGTGGTAAGGCTCGTCTGACCGAGGGCTGCTCTTTCCGCCGCAAGTAAACGAGAAACGAATGAAAAACTTTTTTTTCTTGTTATGTTCCGGTTGAAACGTCAAAGAGAGAATTAGCATGGAGAAATTAGGATGAAAATACCAAAACCCGGGGTTGACCTCTTCTTACCTTTTTTTTGATCGTCTCGGCTTCGGTTTTCGGTGTTTCGGGGAGAGAGTTGCTATTCGGGCCCAGTTCCATATACTGGGCTTTTCTCTCTTTCTCTCTTCCTACCGGGCTTCAAAATGTCACATACCAAACAACCCTTTTTTCAATATCACCCTTCCCCTGCCGAACCACATGGACGGACATTTTCTTTCTTAACTGTTTTTTCCGACTGGTGTTGGGTTTGTGAGGGGGTGTGATTTGCAGATGATGTGATATGGTTCTTTTTCCATACTATATCAAGTGTGCTGAATCCCCTCATTGAAGAAGACAAAATTTGAATGTGGCCTTTTGAGACCCATTTCTCATCCTATATTCCACCCATTGCTTGTTCTTTCTTTTGCATTTCGCGGTGATGATTAATATATCAGCGTTGAATTCTTGTTTTCCTTTTGCGCGTGATGACGGATAGAAGATGGAATGCCCCGACCCTGTCAACGACCCCCCAAAAAGCATTTGAAAAAAAGCAACTAGCATTCTGCTAAGGGAGTTCCGGATATCTGGCACAAAAAAGGCACCTTGCTTGACTTTGTGCTCTGCTTTATGTTCTGATTTTCTGCTTTCTTGTGTTTAATGTATTAAATGTATTGCGACTACTGTATATTGGGCTCTGCACTCTATATAATGGGTTGTATCTTAGTGGCTGCCAATTGTAGATGTATCGCCGTAACTCTATACTACCAAACGTGACATACCGTTATGTCATATGGATCGTCATGACATATCAAATGTGCTATACGTTGACGGTCCCGCTCAAAGCAGACTCCTAAGTAACCTGTCGACTAGATGAGAGCTTTAATGCCAATCTTAAAAGATGCACTCGGTCTTATGATGAGAATCAGTTGTACGGTCTATAAAGGCAGTGACGGGCTACTCACGACACGAGCTTCGAATTCCTAACAACATACTGGGATGCCACTACAATGATTTCAGATTAGGCTGATCAAGCTGGTAGGGAGTATCAAAAGTGAGGTTGTTAATATGTAGGTCCAAATTGAAACAACTTGGGCTGAAAATCAACGCGGAGGTTCAGAACCGTCGCCTTAGTAAAATTATTGTCAACTATAACAGCCCACCAGTCTCTCTAGAAGGTTTCGGCGGATTGTCTCAACTAAAGTGAAAAATGAATTATAGCCTGTGTTCTACATTTACCCGTGGACATAGTTGTTGCCCTTCCCAAGCGGGTCCCGCGAGTTCCCCACCTTGCGCACTAGGCTTGTCTGCTTTGGTATGGGTTTCAAGGTGACGAAGCTTGAAAGACCCGAAAGAAACCAAAATCTCGGTTTCATTCAGGTTGTATGTATATATGGGTATGTCATGATTGATTGGGGTTGTTTGTCTACAAGAAGCTACTAGACAGGAGATGCCAGTAACGAATCGAGATAGGAACCAAAGACCTAGCAGAGCAAAGCCTGACCAAGCTTATCCTGATCTTCCCATCCCTTTGAGATGAATATGTATGAATAAATAGAAAAACCGAGCATCAAACCCTTACTGGGTCAAAATGAGGGCCTTGTTCTTGATCTCCGCGCCGAAGTCAGCAGGGTTGGAGGGGTCGCCGCCGGTCATCATAGATAGCTTTCCAGACTTGTCATTAATGAGCATGTTGGCAAATGCATTGCGGCCCTCTATCTCGTTCACGGCGGTCTTAGCACCGTTGTCACCGGCAGCGTACTTGTCGGCGTCGACGGCCTTCAGTTGGTTATGGCTGTTGCGGACGAAGTCGTAAAGGAAGAAGATAGTTGGGTGGGTGTTAGGGGGCTGGCACTGGGGGTGCGATCCAAAGGCACTGTTTAAAACTTGTTAGCAACTTACTGTATGTTTCTGTGAGGCGGATTATTGAGGGGTTCAGAAAAATATTGCGTGGTGGGGTTGCTAGGTAGGGGAGACGTGCTCAATGAGCGCCTGCATCTTGGCATTGAGGTCTTGGATATTGGCGCTAGGCATGATGGAATGTTTTAATGTGATAATTTGAGAATGGAAAGTAAATGAAACTCGAATTGGATGTTTGTTGATGTGATGAAGCTGTTTAGGGTCAGAATTTCCCAAATAGGACTCCGCACTCCGCCCTGCTATCTTATCGGGCCTAGTGCAGAGAGGGGGAGAAAAAGAGTCACTCCTTTCTAGTCTCTCCTCTTCCCTCCAATGTACAAAACCACCCTCTGCTCCAAGCCTTTAAAATCCCTCTTACTTTCCAGAGTCGCCTACACCCAATCTCTAGCAACAATGGCCCCCAAACCGCCAACCTCGACGCGGCAACCGCTCAAAATACTCATGCTTCACGGCTACACACAGTCCGGCAGCCTCTTCAATGCCAAAAGCCGCGCCCTGACAAAACACATCCAAAAGGCCTTCCCCCTCCACGAAGTCTCCGCCATCTACCCAACAGCCCCTATCCGCCTCCTACCCTCGGACATCCCAGGTTACGAACCCTCCTCGGAAAGCAACCCAGACAACGAAATCGAGTCCTACGGCTGGTGGCGACGCTCCAACACCGCAACCCCGCCGCTGTATACCGGCCTCGACGAAGGGTTCGCAGCAGTAGCGCGCACGCTGAAAGAAGAAGGCCCCTTCGATGGCGTGATCGGGTTCTCCCAGGGCGCGGCACTGGCCGCCATGGTCGCTGCGCTGCTAGAGCCCGGCCGGAAGGCGTCATTCAAGCACTTTTCTAATATTAGCGATGATGGCGCCGCAGGGATTGAGATTCCGGTGCCGTTTGGCGACGAGGAGTTCCAGCATCCGCAGCTTAAATTTGCTATTTGTTACTCCGGATTCAGGTCGCCCGGCGCCCGGTACAGGGCTTTCTATGAGGAGCCTGCTATTCAGACGCCTGTGTTGCATGTGCTTGGGTCTTTGGATGCTCTTGTTGATGAGTCGAGGAGTCGGGCTTTGATTGAGGCTTGTGCTGGTGAGCCTGAGAAGGAGGGGTTGGTTGTTTGGCATCCTGGTGGTCACTTCTTGCCGAGCCAGCGGCCGTATCTTGATGCTGCTGTGCGGTTTATTCGGGAGCAGCTGGAGCGCAGTAATGGCGGGATTGATAAGAAAAACGAGGTGGAAGAGGATGTGAATGATATGGATTTGCCATTTTGAGGGTGAGGACCTTTGTATATAGACAGAGCTGGATCTTTACTAGATTAGATTAGATTTGCTAGACCATGATTACATATAGCACATATACTCCCTTGAGAATAACGACTTGATGATTGCTGCTGCTACAAGACTGAGATTGTGTTGTGTATTTGTCATATAAAGGTCAATGCTGCGACTTCACTACTCATGGGTCTACCGGCGAATTATTTTACACGCGGTCAGTAATCCCCGCGCCGAAGTCCCATACACGCTTTCATCTCAAACTAACTCAATGCGCCTTGCCCATGTCACTGCGAGTGGGCTGGATACGGGCCATCATCTCCTCCTTGGTGATCAGATGGTCGATCCGCTCAAGCAGACCCAGCAGATTCTTCATGTCGCTGCTCCACTCGTTCAGAACGTCATCAGCATCCCGGGGTTTGGCAAAGTTGACCAACCGCGCGGGTCGATCAATCTTAGCATAGATGGTCTTCGACGTGACCAGGTCGCTAATGTACTTCTCCGTCTCTTCCTCGGTCAGATCCAAAAGCTGGGTTAGGCGGCCCATCTGAATGCGAGTGTAGTACTTGGCCACTACACGGACGTTGTGTTCAATGACCCGCTTCCGCAGGTCTTTCCATCTCTGGTTTGCTTGGTTCTCAGTAGACTGCTTTGCCTCGGCGTCGAACACGTCTGTGTTGCACAGGTGGGGGCCGAACTGCTCGGCGACCATAGGCCAGCGCATCAACTCGGGAATGGTGAACAGCTTCAACAAGCGGGATTCCTCGGGAACTTGTGACAGCCGCGAGTCTTGCTTGATGCGGTGCAAGAGGTCGGATTGTTCATTATCGTAGGGAGACAGGACAACGTAGTAAACAATGCGGGCGAGTGACTATAGTTGGGTTAGTGATGGCCTGTATTTTGAGATGGGAAAGGGTTTCTTACGGCACGCAGTTGCTCTGGGTTGTTCTCGACTGCTTCCGTGTCCAGGACTTCCCGGTAGTTCTTGCAAACCTCGAGGTATTTGTTATCGTGGTTGGCTAAGGTAATCTGCTGTTCGAAATAACGAAGCTTGAGATCTGTGACGTCGTCATCCACCTCCATGGGTGGCTCATCAGGCCCACGGGTCTTCTCTCGCTCCTCTGCCTCCTTCTTGAGCGTCTCGATCTGCTCAGCCGACTTCTTCGGCTTGCGGCTGAAGTAACGCTTGTTGATCTTGCGGCTGAGAATCTGAGCCTGGGTCCAGTCTCCGCGCTCAATACACAAAGAGACCTGCTCCAGGATGAATTCTGTCTTTTCCCGTCTCGTCATTGACCCAAATGTCTCCACCTGCAACTCACAAAGGATGTCTGCTGCCGAAGTGAGATCACCTTGGGTCTTCTTGATATTCGAAAGTATGCGGGTAACGCGAGCTCGCTCTACTTCAACAAATATCTTTGCGATAATTAGCGCCACTCCGGTTCGGATTGAATGGTTCTCATCGTACCTTTCCCTCAGTCACTGTGCGCAGAGTTTCGATAACAGACAGCTTGACCTCCAGGCTGGGTGTCTCATCCAGGAATTTCATCACCGTCTGCACCATCTTCGTTGTGGCCTGCTTGAGTTGGGCATGTTTCTTAGATAGGAGCAGCACTTGGTCGTTCAGAAGGTTCCAGTCGCCGGAGTTCTTGCTGATAGTGACAATGGCAATCAGGAGTCGCGATGTAGTGGCAAGATCGGATGCCTGAAGAAGAAAATCTCGATTAGTTGGGGGTGGATCGGTAATGGGGATGGCACTCGGCGTCATACCTGTCTGGATTGCTTCTCCAGGCCCAACAGCTTATCGACTGCTCCCTGGACATCGGTCTAGAGCCATGTATGTTAGCATCGGCTTCGATATGGATGATGAGACTGGCTGCACCTTTGCGAGATCTTCCGCCTCCGGGATGAGCTTGTCGGCATCCTTGGTGAAGTCCTTCTCGGGCTTCAGCAGGCCGCCGGACATGATGACGAATGAGGCTGGGGAGCCGGTGAGTCAATTTAAAAGATTAATAGGTTGAATTCGTAGGAAATGTCTTTAATCACTTTTGTTGTGCTTGACAACGTGAGACTCGTGGAATGGAAGAGGGTGATGGAGATGATGCTTGTAGCTCCGGTGTTGCGCGCCCTTACGAGCTGGAAGCTCCCTCCCACGTGACCGAAACATCACTTTGTCTTCTTGGGCCTTCTATACCGTACTTCCAGTCATCCTCTTGTCTAGCACTGGAACATTCCCAGCAACTATGATTGAGCCTCTTCTGGATAACCTCCAAACCAACCTATGTATTGTCATCGAGTCCATGTTCTCTGTTCACGGTGTTAAATATGCCATAAAGACCAATATACCAGCCTCCAAGCTGGATTTCTAATACCATCTTACCAAATGTTAAGAATCTGCAGGACTATAAATATTAATCTTAACCCTACAAATCGTGTAAATCTACATTGTAAGCAGCGGGACATGATTGCGCGTGGTCTTTGGATCGTCAAATCGTGGTGTTTCCCGAGGTCGGCATCTCTGTGCTTTCCACTCAGGCTATACCCAGTTAGTATTAGTGTCAATGAGAGCAGATCCCGAACTATATCTAGACAAGCATATGCTTGAAAGAGGTTACCACGGATGTTGGCATGGGCGTCAAAATCCTTCCGGCTACTAGCATGAACATAAACCCCCTGTATGATGGTAACCATATCGCAGGCTGTACCTTCGTTGAATAAATATAAACCCGAAGGTCGCTTCCATGAATAGTCCAACTGGCTGCTAGAGGTGACACTGGACACCATCTTGGTTGGTCGGGGTTTTCCCACGGGCATGTGGAGGGTCTTCTCGCTCCACTGTTCGCCTTTGAATGTGTCGTACGCTTGATGCAATGCTGGGCTAGAGACCAAGTGGTCTAAATAATTTGAGATGAGGAAGGGCGATTGAGATGGTGGTATACGGCCATTTGAGCAACGGCAGGAGAACTTCTTTTTGGGACATATTTGTTCAAATCTCTGTTATAGTTCAATAGTGACTTGTGGATTTCAGTCGGTTATGTCGGTTATGTTGGGTAGACCAAGATAATTGGCTTGGCCAAGCTGCATAGGGCTTTGGACAGTGGAATACCCGCACAGCAGATGAAATTTTTAATATAGAGACTTGGATGGGAGCATCCATGGGTATGTAGCTTATGTCGTAGCTTGGGAAATAACGTTGGAGAGTCGCGGAAGGGGCGCTGGCAGGGAAGAGTAAGAATATTAAAGGTTTCTGAGGTTACATACATGGAAAGATTATTTTGAACATTTTATGCAAGCTTTCTTTTATCTTTGGATCTTACAATCCCAATATTATTTTGAGCTAAATTGATCAGATTTCCAAGTCCTAGGTCCTCGACCAAAATATAGTTCAAGACCACGCACCCATTTTTAGTTGCACGGCCCTACTAAACTACTTTTTGGCTTCCCCGGCATTTGAAGTCACGTGATAACAAGCACGCAATTGCCTTTAACCGTTTTAGGCGATCCAGATGTATAGAAAATTCTGGGAAACGTTGTGTGTCTGCTATATTTGCTATATATGAGTCAATGGTATAAGGTCGACCTTGAGAACCTTTGTCTGACTCTTTTATCCTTAAATCAGATCTTAGGGCTTCCTGTCAATTGTGCTAGGATCATCCCCCACTTCGATATCCTTATCGCCCGTTATCACCAATCGTGACAGGCCTTTTACTCAGATTTGATATTCGCCGCTTTCTCCGCGGAAGTCTAGAAAGTCACTTCATTGGGTGCTCTATTTGTTAAATACGAGCTTCAATTCCCTTGAACCCTCGGAGCTCCAGAATATTCTTCAATTTGGGCTCTGTTACCTCTCTCAAATCGGCACATATTATACTGATAGAGTCGTTGGCGGGGCTTGACATTTTATTCTACTACACTTCACCATGAAGGACGCCTCATGCGATCCCGGCTCACCCGCGCCATTGATGGCTGCGTGGAATACCGAATCACAAGTTCACTTGATTGTTGGCTCAAACCCTCTTGCCGCCGCTCGATGTGCGAGGAGCCTCGAGGTCGGCGCAACTCCGATCATCATTGCGCCGGAAACTGATGACATGCATTTCACTCTATCTGAACATATTTCCAATGGCTCTGCCCAGTGGATTCGTCATGAATTTCAAGACAAGGACTTGACAACCCTAGGCAGAGAAGAAGTTGATCACATTGTGGACTTGGTCTTTGTCACTTTGGGTGGCAATAACTCACTAAGTATGACTTGCTTGCACAATTCTCAAATCACTGTCACTCACATTTTCTACTAGGTCCACACATATCGAAGCTCTGTCGTCGCCTCAGAATCCCAGTGAACGTGTCAGATGCCCCCGAACTATGTTCCTTCACCCTACTTTCCACCTACTCAGACGGCCCCCTTCACATCGGAATCACCACTTCCGGCCGGGGATGCAAGCTTGCGTCCCGGCTGCGGAGGGAGATTGCTGCTTTCCTACCCCAAAACCTTGGAACGGCCATTGACAGACTCGGTGCTGTGCGGAGGCGGCTGTGGGAAGAGGACAATGCCGCTGGGCTAGTAGAAGGCATATTTGACAGAGAGGACGACGATAGTATAGGCCAAAAACACACCTTCAACAACTTGGTCACAGGAAGCGATACTGCCGCCGCGAAAACAAGAAGGGTGCGTTGGCTGTCTCAGATCTGTGAATACTGGCCTCTCCGAAAGCTCGTGTCTATCACCGATGCCGATATGGATGCTATTCTGAAGGCCTATACATCTGGCAATGCCACTGCAAATGGCACAAATGACACAAATGGCCTCGATGCCCTATCAAAGAAGGGGAAAATCGTCCTCGCGGGCTCTGGCCCCGGTCACCCAGATCTACTCACTCGCGCCACCTACCAAGCAATCCACAATGCCGACATCATCCTCGCAGACAAGCTCGTCCCCGCTCCAGTTCTGGACTTGATCCCTCGCCGAACAGAAGTCCACATCGCACGCAAGTTCCCCGGCAACGCAGACCAAGCACAGGAAGAATTCCTTGTGATGGGTCTGGCAGCTTTGAAGCAAGGACGACAAGTCCTTCGCTTGAAACAGGGAGATCCATACCTCTATGGACGTGGAGCGGAAGAGTTCGAGTTTTTCAGAAAGGAGGGCTATTCCCCGGTCGTGTTGCCCGGTATCACCAGCGCTATGAGCGCGTCCCTCTTCGCCGATATCCCAGCAACCCACCGCGGCGTCTCCGACCAGGTCCTCGTGTGCACGGGAACCGGCAGAAAGGGAGCTGCTCCGAACCCTCCCACCTACGTACCTACTCAGACTGTTGTTTTCCTCATGGCTCTTCACCGACTTTCTGCTCTTGTGGAGTCCCTCACTACCTTCCCTGCGGAAGATACTGGTTCGCAATCGCGCAGACTCTGGCCTAAGGAGACACCCTGTGCGATTGTTGAGCGGGCATCGTGTCCTGACCAGCGTGTCATTCGCTCGACCTTAGAGCACGTCTGCTTGGCGTTTGAAGAGGCAGGGTCGCGACCACCAGGGTTGCTGGTCGTTGGTGCCAGTTGCCACGTGTTGCACAATCCCCAAGGTCAGCGATGGGTAATTGAAGAGGGCTTCCATGGACTGGATGATATCCGCAGCGAAGTGGATGCGATCGCTGTGTCAGTGGACGAGAAACAGTGATTCGACTTTTTGATATATATTTTCGAGTGATGGTTGCAAATTGTGGAGCGCAATGTACATAGACAGCATTCAGATACCCCTAGAAATGAGATATGCATGATCATTGAAGAATATTAATTTTTTGAAAACAAAACTAGTATTTCGAAACATCCGTAGACCATTCATTGGTCTGTTGTTGTATGTATACGATGGTACACCAACACGGAGGAAAAGAAAAGGGTGCGGCTATAATTAGTGGACCCCGGCCCGGCCATGTTGATCACTCCACCTCATTCGCATCTTCAATTCTGACAACCATCCTCCCCCACAACCATGTCTGCCAGACCCCAAAAGCCAGTCTATTTCTCCAACGGGGAGGCTACCCAGAGGTGATTTTCTCCTTTCATGAAACAACTAGAGACCTGAACCGCTGACCAGCGCGCCCGCAGCCCCCCGCTTACCGTGCGGCTCACCCGCTTCATCGAGAGCGTTTACTTCTTCTTCGGCCTGTACTTCACTACCCTCTTGTCGGTAAGTATCTCTTATAGGTGTTACTCTACGCGATACCTTATTTCCATTTTTTGTCTCGTTTCGCCCTGCCGCTCTTTCATATTCCGGAAATGGATCAATCTGACAGACATATCTCAGCTCGACTCATACGCCGCTGCCGAGAGCTCCCCTTTCAACATCAACAACCAGGGAAATAAGTATACCACTCGCTCTCGCTGGGGAGGTAGCACAACCTCCTACGGTGGAGGAGGTGGTGGAGGAGGCGGCGGCGGTGGTCCGGGATTCGGTCCGCGGCGCGTGGGACGTGTGGATGATGTTCGTGGGCCGGAGTGCAAGAGCTGTCAATAAGCGTACAGCCAGAGCGATTGGAGCGCTGCGCAGTTGTAATCCCAAGAAGAGAAAAAACGTTAATGGACGAAGATATCGGGTTTTAGGGTCCTTCAGTTCGTTGTCTTTTTGGCCGGGAGGCTTGTCATATGCGATGATGCACTTTTGATATTCAACGAAACCTTGTACTTTGCTACAACAACCTTCGAAATATTTATTTACTACAGGTTGATACTCACCTCCTGAACTTGATATATCGCTAGAATTTACCGAAAGTGCCAAACCGAGGCACACACTAGTCCGTTAGCGCCACAACACCGCCTCTCCAAGGTCACATCGTGTCAACATGAATCACGGGTCGTCATGATGATCCCAGAAGCGCCACGTGACATCCCCTCTTCCCCTCTATGCCAAGTGTAGTAGCAGGAGACCTGAACACATTTCCGGAAGTAATCCCTAAAACCACTCCGGCGGCGTGCTCTCCAGCCCAAGGCACACTATACAAACCGCCCAGCATGAGTGAAATCCCCTCAACAGACGCCGAATGGGCGGAAAAGATATCCAACATGAGGAAGCAGCTACCCAGACGCTCACTGTCCCAGCTGCCAATCCCAACACAAATCCACCGGACAATAGACCACACCCTCCTAACGACCCCAGTCGACCTCACACAGATAGACACTCTGTGCAAGGAAGCTCTTGAATACAACTTCGCTGCCGTATGCGTGCGACTCGAGAACGTCGCCCGCGCAGCAAGCCACGTCAAAGGCACCGACACAGCACTCGCATGCGTGGTCGGGTTCCCAGAGGGTACGCACCCAACAGCGGAGAAAGTACGTGAGGCTAAAGAAGCCGTAGCGCAGGGCGCCACCGAGCTCGACATGGTCATCCGGTACGACCTGCTGAAAGAGGGCCGGTACACGGAGGTATACGACGACATTCATGCGGTGCGCAACGCAGCACCGCCGCCAATTGCCCTCAAGGCGATTGTGGAAGCGTCCGTGCTTGATAAGGACCAGCTCATTGATGCGACAATCGTGTCATGCATGGCTGACGCGGACTATATCAAGACTAGTACTGGCTGGAATGGTGGTGCAAGTGTTGACCAAATTACGCAGATGCGCCTGGCGGCGGGTATGTGTGGGCGCACATCGTTCATCAAGGCTAGTGGTGGTATACGCACTGCTGAGAGTTTGTTGCGGATGCTTAAGGCTGGAGCGCATCGCATTGGAACTAGTGCTGGGGTTCAGATTATGAAAGAAATCGATGAGGGGGAGGTTCTTGAACAGGGATGTGGCCATGCGGTTGCTTGAGCTTTTCTGAGATTCCCGAAATATGGTTTGTCTCTGGTTCAGTGGGGAGAGCCGTGTCCTTGGAGGTGGAGCTTTCATAGTGAGTGAGTGAGTGGTAATGGAGATACACCAGGTTCTTTTTTTTTACTGTTCGGCAGTGCTCTATGCTGCGACGAACACAATAAGCTTCGATCATATCCTTACTTTCTTTGCTCGGGACCCAATATCTCTGTATGTGTTAGTTGTATAGATATCGACCCCCTGCGTATAGATCCGACGGGAGGGGAACGGCGGAGCAGCGGGATATGAACTTGAATGATATACAAGGATTGAGACCTTGCTAAATCCTAATTACTATATAGATATGCAATTGGTGAACGAGGAGAGAAGCTTGCAGAGCTTTTCTGAGACAATTGTATCCGTCCTTGCGCATCTTGCCGTGAGAGCCCTGCATAACCGTTACCCCTTTGGGGTTGCCTCGTGAACACCCTGACCCACCAGGAAATGAGACCATCCCCTCCAAGGTATATCTTACCTCGTTGGGTAGATGCGAGACCCTTGTTTTTGGAGTTAGATGATTATTGAAACAGTGTAGCTCAAATGAAAACTTTCAAGTAAGAGTTACCTAAGTAGGTATAGACTTGAGCCGTTGTCCAATGAAAAGAACACATTTAAGGTTGATAGCTTGTCCATTCAAAGACATAGATGAGAAGATGAGAACCGTGTCAAGGCAAGGTGAGAAAAAAAAGTAGGAAATTGAATTGCAATCATATGCATAGTCATGAACGTGGCGGACATTTTTATTATTGACCTGAAAGCTCCAAAATGATATAGTATATACTAATCCAAAACCCTGCGCCGATCCATGGGCATGCCAACTAAAAATCCAAAGCTTTTTGTTTATTCGTCACTCTGATCATCCGAGTCACTGGTCACAGCACCATCAATGTCCATCTTTTGAATGACTGCATCACCATTGTGACCCTTCTTCTCTGCAGCGAGCCAGGCTTCCCGTTTCTTCGTCTCGTGTTCCTGCTTCCTTGCTTGCCGCAGGACCTTCTCCTGCTGTGCGGCCTCCTGCTTCTCATGCAACTCATTGATGTAATCCTGCAGGTTGGCGAGCTCCAAGCGCAGCTGTACAACCTCATCGTCTGCATTATGGCGAGCAGTCTCATTGACTGCAACCTTCTTCTTGAGCACAGACACCTCGTTTTCGAGCTCGGTGACCTGTGAATCGCGGGCAGCTGTGTCTTCCTGGACTTCCCTAGCGGGGGCGGTATTTGAGGCAACGCGGGTAACTTCCGCATTACCAGGCTGGCGGAAAGCCGCCAGCTCTGCAAGACCATCTTCGATCATAGAGGTGGGGAAAGAGGAGTGAGTAAGCGCCTGGGAGAATTGGGTTGGTTTGCGGGAGTCGGATGGTGCGGTGATCTGCGTGTGGAACATATATTCTGCGGGGACGGCGCCAGGGGCATGGTGCGGGGCCGAATGGCCACTGTCATGGCGCGGCTTGACAATAGTGTGGGCCTTTCTCTTCAAATCCGAGGAAGGGTGAGGGATGCCACCCGGAGGGAGCATGACCAGGTTTGTGATCGGGTGCGTGTAGTCGGCAACTGATGTTGTATACTTGCGTCGCGCAACATTCCAGGACAGCACCTTGCCATTCGCGTGGCCCGAGAGTAACGTGGTGCCATCATATGTAAGGGTGATTGTCTTCACTGAGCCTGTCTCAGCCGAGGGAGGGAGCCACCGGTCCTCCATGGACACCTGCGCGGGTGTTGATTGTACTGAAGCGTCGTGAAGAGGATGCTGCGTAGACTGGCTCCGGTAGAAGTCCACTGATTGCACGCTGCCATCTTCATATCCCACGTAGAAAGCCCGGTCGACCGGGTCTAGAGCCACAGATGTTGCGGATAAGGGAAGAAGGAAAGTTCTCAGAGCACGGCCGGTGTGATAGTCCCATGCGATCGCAGTGTTGTCCTTTGCGGTTGATACCACGATGTTATGGCGGCCATTGCTGTGTCCTACAGCAAGAGAGGTGATGCCTGCGCGGTGGTTGGAGAAAGTTCGAATAGGCGAGTTCGTGGGTTGGCGAGTCGCGCTAAGAGCGGGTTTCGAGAACGAGAGAATTCCAGGTAAGGACCAGACATGTACACTGGCATCAGCGGAGCCGGACAGGATAAAGTTGGACGTGGGGTCGACGACGAGTGAGGTCACTGGTTGCAGGTGGGATGCCGTTGTGGCTACTTGGCGTCCTGTGCATGTCTTGAAAGAGCTGTTAGACACATGACATCGGAAAATGTATCAAACAGATCCAACATACCTCCCAAACAATTAATCGACCACCCTCGGTGCCCAGAACCAAGACATCACCATACTTGCCCCCCGCGACAGTAATGCTGCGTATCCGCTCCGGAAATGGAACAACGCCCTCTTGGTTACCCTTCTCTCGGTTGTACACGTGAATGACAGCCTTGTCTGCTTGGGCTGTGAAAATATGCGAGGGACTGACAGCCAAGCAATTGGTCAAAGTTGAGCTCTTCTTGAAAGTCGATCGCAGTATCGACGAAGGCTGCAATTCGTGAACGCAGACCCCTACATCTCTGAGCGAGGCTGTCGGAGATTTGGTGGACGACAGCGTCGACGCCACGAATGATTCGGAAAGCATCAGGAATGGAAGAATGAGGCTGTCATACAAAGTATGGGAGGTTGGTTTCAAGTTGCCCATTCCTTCCGAGCTTTTTTTTTCTCTATCGATTGATAACGAGATGTTTGCACTGTTTGGACTATAATCGCCGACCTCCACCAGGCATCTACGGCCCGTATGTGATCTATCTGAACCAATTTGGCTTTCTAACTAATGCAACCTTCTAAACATATCCCCGATATTTTTCATCAATGGACAGAGCGATTGTTTCAAATGCATCTATCAACTAATTTTGCCGTGTTTTATATTAGACCCGCTGGGAGTTGGATCTATCATTCTTAGTCAGCGCCTTTTGGGCCAACTGAGCCCAGCAAGTATGAGGGATCATCTTGCACCAATCTATCAATCGAAATGATTGCTGTTTTTCGGTCTATTCCGATTAAAATTAGGTGCCCAGGGCGATCAATCTAAGCCCACACCAGGCATTTATATCCAAACCTCCATAAGCTATGCTGATATGTACAATAACACCCGGTATGAACCAGATGCATGCAAGGGATAGCCCAGAAGGGGTGGATTGCTGTTCCGACGAGACACAAGATCCAATGAAGACCCGCTTTAATACGCCCTCTGGCTGATCCTGGTGGCCTGCACAAGTGCCTGATTCGCCATGGCTCCCTTCTCCCCCCTCTTGCATCCCAGATGTCTCATTCCAATTGCCCAGTCGGAACCTGGCTATGACGACTTGAGGCAACGGATGGGGCCTCTCCACGTTGACGGGCTCCCGCAGGACGAAAGATTGAGATCTGGAGCCAATTGTTACACGTCGTTGTCCTGGTTTCTCATTTTCTTCTGGAATGCAAGGACGACGCGACCTCATTCCCACTATTATTACCCTGGACCGTGCCTAGGACAACCTGGCTAGAAGTGTTCGTGCCAGGCGACGGACCCTCTTTTTGCGCTCGAAGGGGGAATCGTTCCGCTGAACATTTCCCGGCTTCCATGGCAGGGTTGTAGTCCTGTCAAGGGATGTGCACTTGTGCCTGATGACCATACCCACCTTAAATTAGCTGACTAGCGCCACACTCGCTGTATAAGGACATATCGAGCCCCTGCAGGGACTTAGGTCCATTTGTTTTGACTTCAACAATAAACAAGCTGGATTGCAATCTCATCTGGGTTACTCTTGTGCAACACATTTTGGTTTTTTTCTTCGACACTGACCAGGATTCATACTTTCAGCCGCGAATACCATTGTCCAATATGGACTCGGGTGTGACAGAGATGCCCAAGCATGCATGCTTTCCGGCCCGGATCCAAACGCATATAAAAAACCAGAGCTCAAACTCGTCCTCGATGAGCCACGATGCGATGGCGATGGCCGAGCCCATCCCATCACCGCGCCGATGGTCTCCCACCTATATACCCCGAAGGCGAAGCAGACAGATGCCATCACTATCATTCGTGCCGTCGCCAGTGATGCCGCGCGAAGAATCGCATGACTCTTCGACTTCGTTATCGCGGCGCCCAGTAGAACGGGGGCCAGCTTGCATGTCACCCTTCCGCTCGGTGCGAAGAATGAAAGAACCATTTCAATTAATGCTTCCGACATCCCCAGCGTCCATCGAGGGCCCTCAGTCCAACTTTCCCGAAAAGCCAACAAAGGCATCGAAAGCGCCTGCAGATCACACATTACGAACATGGCGCTCAGACCAGAACCTTACTTGTGGCAGCTTGGAAGCATTTGGCCTTCTACCTAGCCCGCCTATATCAGAATCGCGCCCCGCAAGCACGGGTCCTGAGTTATCTTATTTTGATTCGCAGTCCTCGGATGGATCAGGTCGAATGAGCGAGGACAAGGACGAGAAGGATGAGTCTGGTACCACTCAACCAGATGTTTCCACAACAGCCGCAACACTCGAAATCGGAGAAAGAATACAGTACACAGCGTATCGTCCCCCAGATTGGAAGAGTCAACCGCGAACAGATGTCATGAATGTTCATGAAGCCCACTCAGAGTTCGTACGCCAGTGTGAGTCTAGCAATAAACAGGAGTCACAACCAGAATCTCCGAAAAAGACCGCACCTCCCCAAGCCTCTCCGAAGCCAGGGCATGTTGAGAAATTCCTTGTTCCTGGGAGCTCACCGAGACCCCAACGCCCCCGGACGGGGACAGTCTCGAGCGAAGCTAGCTGGGTGCCGAGCAACTTCTCATACTGCGAAAGATGGTTGCAAGGTGTGCCGGTTGACAAGGTAAATGACCAAAATCCATCTACAAAGGAGTTCACCAATCGGCGCAAGTTCCAGATTGTTGAGAATGATCCTCCAATGCCAAAGCTGGACATCATCCCGGGAGGGAAAGCCCTTGAAGGACCTGTTGTAAGTCTACCGATTTCCTGTGAGATGCCATTCCAAGCTGACCCATATATAGAGATTTGTCGTTGCTAGCAAGACAAAACCCAAGCTTGTAGACATCGCACGACAATCATCGCCGTCACTTCCCCTAATTCCACCGCCATGCTTGCTTCCCAACACTGTACCGACGACCCCAGATCAGCGCCAAGAGGAAGTGTCCGCATTCAGCCCCGACACTCCTCTTGCTATGTCTGATAGTGGTTATGGAACTCGTGACTCCGGCTATTCCTTTGATAGCTATGATGATAGCAAGGTCGTCGGTGACGACGACGATGCATATACCGATCCAGGATCACTGACCTCAGACAGTGTCGGATCAACCGTGATCTGTGAAAAGCCTGAATCCGCGCAGGGAGAGCGCGAGCCAAGCCCACAACCTGAAATCAGATCGGGCAGCGTGAGCCCAAAGGCATCATCCCCCCCAACAACTCACTCACCAGGGCCGGCGTCAATCATCTCTGAAAAGGAGGATGAAAAACTACGCGTATGGCACCATGACTGGACGCTGGACGATCATGAATGGACCCTGGACGAGCTGGACCACTCGGTCAAGGACTTTCCTCGCCATATGCTCCGGCTCGCATCCCCTGTTATGGTATTCCTTCGCAAAAATGACGAGAAGGCCCTCATTAAGCCCTTCCGCACTATATTCCCCGATGTCTCAGAGAACCTCCTCGACTGTCTCTGTGCTGCACTTCTCGCTCGAAACTACCTCCTTGCTCTATCAACCATCCACCGAACCAAGACGCCTATCTCTCCGCGCAAAGACGCATATGTTATCGACGGCGTCCCGAAAAAAGCATACACCACACTAGGGATCCAGCTTCCATCTGGGTCTGCTAGCAAGCCTAAGGATCCCCTCTTCAGCTCTCGCAGCATGGAGCTCCAGGCAAACCTCGAGCGAATTGTGGACAACCTCCTATTTGCCATCTGCGGCCGATCAGACCCTACTTTGAAATCGGCCGTTGAAGTCCTCGCCCAAGTGCTCGAAACCACTGTATAGCACTGACCACTCCTTGCATTTAACATTTCCTTGCCTCTATTAATCCTCGTCTCTCGCTACATCTGACTCCAGTCTATCCTTCCTTTCAACCTCTCCTTTTCCAGAAATTCTTTCCTCCACTCTTTTCTCCAAAATCCTTTTCCTACCGTCTAGTCTCTCCTTACTACCTCCTTCTTTCACAACTGTCTCCCAACCATTACTTGCTCTAATCCTTGAGTTCTCTTTCTCCTCTTTGTCTATCTATGCCCTCTTTCCATCTTCCTACTCATTTTCTCTTTGTCTCCTCTTTTGCTTTTTTTCATACCCTTGCATCGCGCGGTCCTTGGAACTTTGTTTGGTAAATTTGCGCGTTTGGGGTCAAGAATCTACACTTAGTGTTTCAGTAGCATAGCAATCATAATAATAATGACAATCATACATAATTCCTAGTCTCTGGTCGTACGTCGAAAAGTTTTATGTACATTGGATGCTTTTTAAGGCCCCTCCCCTATTGCTAGATACAGTACGGAGTACTGAGCAGGGGAATAGGCATACAGAAAGACCTAGTATTAGTCCTTATCTTAAATAACTATAAATAACTAAAACGTCAAGGACAGGGGTTTGCCCGTACAATCGCGACATACTTTCCCGGCCGATGTGATGCGGTGAAATCGATTAGTCATACTTTTCCGCGGGATCCATTGCCCAGACAAACTCCAATTCGACTTTCTCCGATTTCACATAGCAAACACTCATACATCATGGCAGCTCCAACAAGAAGTCTACGACACCTGTCGTCTTTCAGAACCACCATATCCCCAGCCTCGACAGTAATTGCTCCCATCTGCCGCCGAAGCTATGCCACAACGGACTCCTCATCCGCCACCAACACACCAGGAACCACACGGCGGAAAGCAACAAAGTTCCAGGACAAGCTGAATGCAGGACCCTCATTCTCAGACTTTGTCTCCGGAGGCAAAGATGAACCCCTCGACCCAGCGGAAGCCTACGCCCTCAAGACGGCCATCGTCGGCCCCGCCGGCCGCAAGAAGGAAATGACTCGTTTGCCCGAATGGCTGAGAACTCCCATCCCAGACTCCAAGAACTTCCAGCGCCTAAAGAAGGACTTGAGAGGACTGAACCTGCACACTGTCTGCGAGGAGGCCCGATGCCCCAACATCTCCGACTGCTGGGGTGGCAGCGACAAGTCCTCTGCTACAGCGACAATCATGCTGATGGGCGATACCTGCACGCGCGGGTGCCGCTTCTGCAGCGTCAAGACATCCCGCACCCCTGGCCCGCTCGACCCGCACGAACCCGAGAACACCGCCGAAGCCATCTCCCGCTGGAGTTTGGGGTACGTGGTGCTGACCAGCGTGGATCGCGACGATCTAGCGGATGGTGGCGCGCGTCACTTCGCCGAGACGGTTATCAAAATCAAACAGAAGAAGCCGAGTATGCTGGTCGAGTGTTTGACCGGTGACTTCCGCGGTGATACAGAGATGGCGGCACTGGTTGCACGGTCTGGACTGGACGTCTATGCGCACAACGTCGAGACTGTCGAGGAGCTTACGCCCTTCGTCCGTGACCGCCGCGCTACGTTCCAGCAGTCCATTCGTGTGCTTGATGCTGCCAAGAAAGCTGTTCCGGATCTTGTCACAAAGACTTCGCTCATGCTCGGTCTTGGTGAGACAGATGATCAGCTCTGGGATGCCCTGCGCCAGCTGCGCGCTGTCAACGTCGATGTCGTGACCTTCGGTCAATACATGCGCCCTACAAAGCGCCACATGGCTGTTCATGAATACGTGACGCCTGACCGCTTCGAGCTGTGGCGCCAGCGTGCTCTCGATATGGGATTCTTGTACTGTGCCTCGGGCCCCTTGGTACGAAGCAGTTACAAGGCTGGTGAGGCATTCATTGAGAATGTTCTCAAGAAGCGTCGTGCTGGCTCTGGCACCGCTGAGCGCACTGTCGACCAGAGCGCTGCTACCACTGACGAGGCTACTCGGTGAGGTGTCTTGCATTTGAGCAAGGATCCGAATCAACCACCTAAATAAACCTATTTATTGTCTTCTGGCTACATGCACATGTCATTCAAACTCTTGGCGCTATCTTTCTTGCATCTTTCTGGGTTGTCGGTTTCGGGGGTTTATAAAGGGGATTTTCGCTGGTTTTGTCATTTCAACAGTTCAACACGAATTGCACTTTGTATCACCATTGGAGAAGTCATTCGTGACCTATTCCTGTCTTTTCCTAATTTCAAACTGCACTAGAAATCAAATCAAGTGCTGCTTTTCTCATATCACGTCTCAAAATGTCATAGATCATGGTCCGAGCCTGCTCCGTTCCCCAATCCACTATATCCCGCCTCCAATGCGACAGGACCCCGCCGCATGTATGAACAAGGACAAAATCCACACGCTATACAATGATTCCAAGCTCCGTACTACGTCCTATATCAAAGCCATAGACTCCGCTAGAGGTAAGGACCGACATAAACTACTCCACAACTCTTCAACACCAGAAATCTCCAAGTCGAGCCCTACAATCAGCTGTGGACGTCGTCTCAGCCTAGACTTTTCGGTGGGTATAATTTGTCCAAAAAATTGGAGATTCGCCAGCACACAAGTGTATACTCTACTGAAGATGGCACATCGCCCGTTAGCTACTCGAGGACTTATTGCACATCGGAGGTCAGCTCAGCGATGTCCTCGTTGTCCATGCCGAGAAGGTAGAGGATATCGACGAGGCTCTCGCCGTTGATGCGGACGGGAGCTTCCAGCTGGACCTTGGACTTAGCGCGCCAGGCGACGCCGAGGCCAGCAGCGTGGAGCATCAGGAGATCATTGGCGCCATCGCCGACAGCCAGTGTTTGCGAGAGGGGAATACCGTGCTCGGCGGCGATGGACTTGAGGAGAGTGCGCTTGTGCGCGGCGTCGACAATGGGGTAGGACGGCACCAATTTTCCGGTCAGGGTCTGGGTGGCCTCGTCGATTTCAAGCTGGATGAACGGTTAGATCGGATGAAAGGAAGATAGTAAGAGGAAAAATGAGAGGCTTACGTGGTTGGCAATGGCAATGTCAATACCGAGTTGCTCGGCGAGCCACTCGGCGAGGGGCTGGAAGCCGCCGCTCACAACTGCGATCTTGTAGCCCAGAGTCTTCAATGCGCGGCAGAGCTCGCGGGCACCCTTGGCGATTTTCAGGACGGACTTCAGCTTCTCGAAGACATCTGAGGAGACGCCGTTGAGAAGACCGACGCGTTCCTTCAGTGAGGCGGTAAAGTCTAGTTCACCATTCATGGCGCGTTCAGTGATTGCCTGAGTTGATGTTAGTCGCTGGCATAAAGACTTGAAGTCTTGACAAGAAGAACTTACCGAAACCTCCTTCTCGACACCGATGAACTTGGCGATTTCGTCAATGCACTCGTTATCAATCAAGGTGCTATCCATATCAAACACAGCCAGGCGCTTGTGCCGACGGAAGACGCTCTCCTTTTGCAGAACAACCTCGACATTCCACTCGCGCTCAAAGCGCCAGATGCTCTCATGCTTGCGCAGATCTGGGAAAGAGAGATATTCCGGGTTTGGCGGGGGAGAGAATGTGACCTCCACGACGCGGGGGTGTTCGTCGCGGTCAAGACAGCGGTGGGAGGTGTTCATGCGCTGATAGGGCGTAGGGAGAGTTTCCAAGATCTGAAGGAAGTTGGTCAAGCACAGCTGAGAGACGTATGGGCCGTATAGGTGATCCAGTGGCTCCGGCTCTGGGGCAGGCGGCTCCCGCGGGAACTTATCCATGTCTTCTGTCGGGGCGGAGCCTTCGGGCACCTTGGGAGTTGGGAGCTTGTCGCCTGGGCTATTCTGGGGCCCAGAGTCGGGGTGGTAGTGGGGGTGAACGGGGTTGTTAGATTTGTAGTAGATGGTCGCGACGATTTGCGACGTGCCGGTTGGAAGTGGATTTGCGTGGTGATTGAAGATGCTGTGAATGATGCCGCTGTCGGTGACCCTCTCCGGGTCTGGCTTGATTGGATTCGCGCTTAGTACCAGGCGATCGTCCACTTGGTGAGCTAGAACCTCGCCGATGGTTTGACTGATTGGGTTGATTGGAGCCATCGGCTTGTACTGCTGGTGGTCCTGCAGGAATGAACTGCTGCGCATTTGGCCGAGGGATGGCCTCGTGGTGCGGGTAGAATCTGCCATAATGCACTACTAGTGAATGGATCTGGTAAAGAGTTATTTGCGAGTTGAAGCTAGAGAGATCCCACACTTCCGAAGATCAAAAACGACTTGCGCCGATCGGCACGTGGGAGTCTGGCCCCACCAACGATGCACGTGACTATGGCACCCCTCTCACGTGTGCTACCGCCTGGCAGAATTGACAGTGAGGTTGATAGAGATGGACCACATCCGGGAATAAGATGAGCTCAATTTCGGGATCACCTCATCCAGATCCACCATGACTTTTAAGTTGGATCATTTTATTCATGAATATAGTATATTATGCAATCTATGTACAGAGTACATAGTGTGACGATGACGATTTCCCTGTCGGGTATGTCCGGGTTTATGACGATTAAGAAAGAAACCTGCTAATTATATGATTTAGGAAGATCCAAACCTTGAAGGAATACTCCCCATGATCGGAGTTATTTATCATCGACTGGGTTGGTCAGCGTCAATTACCAATATCTGGGGGTTGACCTTCCAAGGTTGGTATCAATAAGCTATGACCCTAAGGAATGACATTCTACGCCATTCTTCCAAGAATGGGCAGAATCAACTTCGATATTCTGCCGGTCTGACCCTGCAACGCCTTGGAGGGTCCCACCGCCTTCCGTTGGGGACACTGTCTTCACTTTAGGAAGGCGGTGAGATGAAAGAATTCGAGCACGCAATCGTGATCGATGGCGTGCTTGGATGGTTTTTATTCCCCACTCTGGTAACTGACCAATGGCATCATTGCCTCGTCGAAATGAAGAATATCGGATGAAGAGCATGCTAGGGACCGATCTCCGGATGATGTGATTGCCCCTGCTATTCTTATATTCTCGCCCGGATTGCCCTCTGTGACTTTGTTCTTCATACTCCCACTCTTCAATCTTCTCATACATCTGATTCTTCAATCTCTTCTTTGCCAAGGTCATCACTGTGCCATCTATATTACCTTACATTATGCCGGCCAAGAACTACTCCTCAGAGATGGAGGGCGTGGACAACCATGACTCCATGACTGAGTCTGGCTATGTCAGTGCTGGTTCTGGCTCTAGCGAGGACTACGTGCCCGAGATTGTTTTCACCAAGCCCCATCTTCAGTTCCTCAACCGCCAGTTGCAATTCCTTGAGCCCCAAGGTTCGTACTGATGATATCCATAATGACCCCTCTTTCCGAAGACCCTTTATCTGACTCCTCCTTATAGAGATCTTGAGATGGTGCATTACTTCGCTTCCTCATCTCTTCCAGACCACTGCCTTTGGTCTTACAGGTCTTGTCACCTTGGACATGCTATCCAAGCTGGAGGTGCCTCGTCCCCAGATGGTTGACCTCGTCTTCCTCGATACTCTTTATCACTTCAATGAGACAATGTCCCTGGTCGACCGTGTGCGTCGCAAGTACCCCAACAACAATGTCCACATCTATAAGCCCGCTGGCGTCGAAACCACTGCCGAATTCGAAGCCAAGTACGGCACCAAGCTTTGGGAGGTTGACGACCAACTCTACGACTGGGTGGCCAAGGTTGAGCCCGCTCAGCGTGCCTACCGTGAGATGAATGTCCACGCCGTTCTCACTGGCCGCCGCCGCAGCCAAGGTGGCAAGCGTGGTGACCTCGACATCATCGAAGTCGACGAGGCCGGCCTCATCAAGATCAACCCCATGGCCAACTGGTCCTTTGACCAGGTCAAGAAGTACGTCAAGGAGAACGATGTGCCCTACAACGAGCTCCTCGACCGTGGTTACAAGAGCATTGGTGACTGGCACTCCACCCAGCCCGTTGCTGAGGGAGAGGACGAGCGCTCTGGTCGCTGGAAGGGCCAGCAAAAGACTGAGTGTGGTATTCACAACCCTCGGTCCAAGTACGCCCAGTACTTGATGGAGATGGAGGCCAAGCGTCAAGAGGAGGCTCTCTCACAGGCTTTGCACACCCAGTTGACGCCTGTTGTTTGATCTTTCCTTTTGAGTCCTTCCACTGCATACCCCTCGGCGTTCCTTCTGTGATACCTATCTGTTTTTTCCCTCTGTTTTTCAAGCGGCTTGCGTTTCCCCAAGAGACGGTACAAAAAGTACTCTTTGCATTTAAATCCTCCCCACATAGGGAGTTGAGTTTAGTTCTCGGGCCCACTATGGGAACTGTTTGAGACATGATAATGATATGAATGAAATAAAACATTAAATTCTTAAAATTCACTCTCCAGTTCCATATATGTAAATATGTTGTAATAGTCTCAAAAATCCTTTTTGATGCTTTAGTTTGTGTTCGCAGCGACGGTCACGTGCGGGATCAACCCTAGTTTCCGCCGATCTTCAGGCATCGTAGTAATAACTCGGATGCACACAGCAGATACTTGAATCGTGATTAAAGAGTGCTTTACCTTTCAAATATCTCAGAGATTTACATACAAGACAAACTAAAGACCATGCCCCTAAAATGTGCAATCATCATCATCATCAAATCCAATGACCTTGGGCGATTTTAGCGAGTTCATTTCATTCTGTGGAACCCTCAAAACCTACTACCACATCACTTGCCTTCTTAGGAATGTTCCTAATGTATTTCATTATGAGCCTTGCATAGAAAATATTACAATTGGGCGGAGCATCAGGATCTCAGCCATGCGGAGACGGAGCTTATTACGACCTACAATACCGTGCAAGGCTCTGATGCTTAGTAGATTGGCGGATACAAAACCCACTCAATACGGAGTATCGTTGCATTGCTGAATTATGTACATTCAAAGCGTAAAGACTTAAATGTCGAACCTGATTGATCGCGCCACATATGATATCAAAAAGTTTGATTCCAAGTATCGTAGATACATATGAACAGAAAAAGGATCAAGGAGCCCCCCAAAATCAATCAACAACCACACATTCCCGACCATGAGCCTCGGCGTTCGCGGCTTGACACTCTCTCGAGCAATATGAGACTTGTAAGCACCGAGAGCAAGGATGCAGGGGCTTATCCATCGACGGAGTAAACCCGCAATTTTCACAGGTCATCTCAACATTCTCAACACCGCTATCCGGGAGATCAAACATAGTCATAGCTTCCACCAACCCCCAACTCCACTTCGTCCAGCACGCCTCAGCACTGCGAAGCTCTTCAGCGGTAGTGACGGCAACATCACACAGATCGCGTCTGAGGCCAATTTCCTGGCACCTACGGGACACAGCTTGCGCAAGGCTCTCGTTGGTGGTGCTCCAAGTAAACGGCGCGAATGGTTCCATGTTGCTGCCCATCTGGGGAATTATGCCCGGCTCGTCGAATCGGTTGACAAATGCCTCCAGTAGCAAAGGTAGAATAACTTTGGCCTGGTCATCTGGCGAGAGAGGGGAAATTCGGGACCGACCCTCACACTCATGGTGGTTGTTGTATGGATTTGCAAAGAATACAGCTTCGCCTGGGACTCCAGGAAGAGCCTTCACGGCGAAATGGTAGTGGTTACGTCTCCCAAACGCATCCCGCTCCGGGCGCTGCAGAGCATTGAAGCTCCGTTATTGCGAGGCAGTGACACTTGCCATTGTTGTGATAATGGTGAAAAAAGGAAGATACTGATGTTTTGAATTCTCCGAGTTTTGTCGCGTTCAATTACCCTTGGATGATCTACGGGTGGAAAGGCTTGGCGCCCCGCAGATGAAATGCCTTCTTTCATACTTCATCTATCCTCTTTACTCTTGATAGCTTCTCTTACCCAGGAAAGGTTATAAAGATATCTTGTAAAGTTCTCGTCCTAATGTGGTTATGTCATCAAATGGTGTCCCTAATCTTGACAGGGGTACGTGTCAGGCGCTTGTCCTGCGTCGATCATTGGGTCCCCGAAGATGGGGGTCAGCTTGAAACATTGAGGACATGCTTATTGAGTATAAGCCACTTATGCTCATCTCTGCTGTCGGTGCCTAAATAATTTCAGCTTAGGATATAAATGTTCCACCTCCCCATGTTCCTATCTCTTCCAGCTATTCTTCAGAGCCTGGTATCTTGATTCGGTCAACATGAAGCGACTTCTCAGATTCAAACGCCGGAAGGCACGCAGCGGTGATCTGCAGGGGAATAGCGCGATCACCCCTTCTCCACCTGTGGGGCCAGAAATAATCACACCGTCTCCAACTTCAATACCTGCTTCTAGCCTCTCAGTACAGGCCACAGCCCCTTCAGTGGTGGCTGCTAGTTCTTCTCCGACCACCGCAAGTGCCGCACAGTTACAAACTAGGCAAGCCGTAGCGCCCGTCTTGCCCTCTGCAGGTTCCTCGCCGGCACCATCTACAGGAGCAAGTCAGGATATCGACACTTGGAATCGCGCCTACGAAATAGCGGAGAAGCGAGAGTCAGAGCTGATGACAGATTACGCGAGCCACCTAGCCTCCCTACAAGTTAACCCCACCAGCAAAAGAAATATCTCAAATTCGGAATTTGTCGAAGATGTCGTGAAGCGGCTGCTAGACGACCGAGAGAAGAAAAAATGGCGGCTTTCTCTCCTGGAAAATAATGTGATCATCCGAAAGCAGGTCGAGAAACTTGCAAAAGTTCTCTTGTGGTCTGACCCTGTTGTCAAGAGTGCTGTTAGCACACAACCACATGCGGCGCTTGCATGGTCTGGTGTTTCCATCCTTCTTCCTGTGAGTCTGATATCTCTTGCTCTGAATTTTATGCTTATATGTTTGTAGCTACTTACAAGTGCTGTCACCGGATGAAGCTATGCTGAAAGGTTTCAACTCGATCAGCGATGTTCAAGTCTATTGGACAATTTTTGAAGAGACTTACCTAACCTCTTCCCACCGGCAACACTACGAAAACCTCGTGGAGCCTTTGGCTAAGCTCTATTCTTACATTATTGAATACCAAGCCCGCGCTATATGCCATTTTTCAAAGACCCAACTCTCCCGAGGGTGGCAGAACGTGGCGGGTGGGAATGACTGGGCTGGAAAGGCGAGTGAGATTGGAGCTTTATCAAAGGCTCGCAGCATCCTGATCTCGCATGATAACGAGAAAGAGATTCGAGAGCGATGGAGTCGTCAACTACGTGAGATTCAAGAGTCAACTGCTATTCTTGGAGAGATCCGACAAGTCCTCGATGAAAGCCAAAGACAAACCCAGGGGAACTACGCAGAAATGGTGGAAAGGAAACTCCTACAAGATCTGGCTTCCGACTATGAAGGATACAAAGATTTCAATCGTCTTAGAGTTCAAGGCACTTGTGAATGGTTCTTCAACGATGAAAAGTTCCACAAATGGCGCGATAGCGACATATCTGGGCTTTTATGGCTCTCTGCTGGACCTGGATGCGGAAAGTCGATTTTATCACGGGCGCTCATTGACGAGCGTCGACTGTCCTTGAACATCACAACCTCGACCGTTTGTCACTTCTTTTTTAAAGATGGCTACGAAGACCGCATGTATGGGGTCAATGCTTTATGTGCAATACTCCACCAACTTTTCACTCGAGACTCTAGCGGGACCCTCATCAAGCTAGCTCTGCCTGCTCACAGAAATTACGGTAAAGCTCTTACAAGGAGCTTCTCTAAACTATGGAATATCCTTCTTGATTGTGCCAAGAGCCCTCACGCTGGAGAAATTATTTGCATTTTTGATGCTCTGGATGAATGCGAGGAACAAAGCAGATTGCAATTGATCAGCAAACTCAAAGAGTTCTATTGCCAGCCGCAAGGCTCTTCGGCATTATCTTCGAAGCTGAGCTTCCTCATAACCAGTCGACCATACGCCGAGATAGAGAGAGAATTTGCGGGGTTCTCTACGACAGAATACCTACATTTTGATGGCGATAAACAGTCTCCTGCCATTAGTCGGGAGATTGACCTGGTCATCGATGAACACGTGAGCCAAATCGCAGAAAACTTCACCCCTCGTGATCAGCTAGAAATCTCAAAACGTCTCAAAAGCATGGAGAACCGCACATACTTGTGGCTTTATGTCATCTTCGAGATAATCAAAGAGGACCCCAGCTGCCACGGGAAGCGGTCCAGCATCGAGAAACTGTTGAACAATATACCATCAAGGTTATCTGAGGCGTACGAGGTAATTCTAGGCAGAAGCAAATGCCAAGAAGAAACTGAACGCCTTCTTGAGATCATCCTTGCTGCGGCGCGGCCTCTGACCCTTGACGAGGCTAACGTCACCTTGACATTGGCTTTGGCAGAAGAAAATTTCACGTCACACGCAGCCTTGAAGGATGACCTACGGCCTAATGGTAATTTTGAAACCATTGTCAAAGGCTTAAGTGGCCTCTTCATCAGTGTTCATGATTCAAGACTGTTCTTCATTCATCAAACAGCTAGGGAGTTTCTCGTTGACCCTTCGGGCCGTGGTACATGGGAAGGACGTTTGAGCATCTCCGAATCGTCCAGGATCATGCCAAGAACTTGTTTCCAGTTCTTGATGCTCTCTGATCTTCGCGCCTTTGTTGAGGACGGGGACGTTTCGGACGAGGATGAACCTGGCAGTGACGTTTCGGGTGAGGATGAATCTAGCGAAGACTTTTCGGATTATAGTGAATAGTCCTACGAAAGCTTCTCGCAGAGTGAGGACGGCGCTCCTGATGATTATGACACAAATAGCTCTAGTTTAGAGCACCTATCCCCTTTTTTTTGCTACGCCGCCGATTACTAGTCGTCGTACTTTCTATCACAGGAAGTCACAGTCATTGACCAGTCCCTGAAAGATGCGCGTACACTTTATGATGCCCGCCAGGCATGGGTGCAGGTAGCAAGCTTTAAATGGTTACTAAAAGGGATACTAGACGGTCAGAACATGACAGATTTGTCTTTGGCGAGTTATCTTGGGTTGAAGCAAGTGGTCAAGAATATCTTGTCAGAGCAACACATTGATGTGGACATTGAGGACAAGTCAGCATTGGCACTTTCAGCAGCATGCTTCGCAGGCCAGTCAGAAGTTGTCGCGCTACTATTGAAAAAGGGGGCCAATTGCAACGCCCTTCACAGACATGGCACCGCTCTCCATGCAGCTCTGTTCTTCGATCAGCCTGACATGATTTCCATGCTTCTCGAGAATGGAGCCGACGTCAACAGCAAAGGTGGAGAGTTAGGTACAGCGCTTCAAATGGCCTTAGGTAAAAATGACCTAGATATTGTTCTTACCCTCCTTAAATGGGGCGCAGATATCAACTTTGGCCACAAGACTTTCGGAACAGCGTTGCAAGAAGCTTTTTTCCTAGGCAGTCGGGAAATCGTCAAAGCCCTACTCAAAAATGGAGCCGATGTCAACATGACAGTCGGGTTGTACGGCACAACGGCGCTCTACGAAGCATGCGATTGGGACCGCTCAGATATAATAATTGATCTGCTAAATAATGGTGCTGATATCGATTATAATCACCGAATCCATGGCACGGCACTGCAGAGAGCATCCTCTCGAGGCCGGGGGAATATCGTTGCAACACTCCTAGCGAATGGAGCCGATCCTAACATCAGAGGCGGATATTATAATGTCTCGGCAATTTACGCAGCATCATTCAATGGGCATCAAGATGTTGTCGAATTGCTACTCAAATACGGAGCTGATGTGAACATCCAAGGCGCAAGGAATGCCACAGCTCTCCAGGTGGCTGCATGGCAAGGTCATCGAGAAATTGTTGCATTGCTCCTCGATCACGGGGCCGACGTCACCATAAAAGGGGAAGGAGAATACTGGGACAGGCACGTGGGCCCACGCAGGCACAAGGGCACGGCGCTTGATGTGGCAACTGAAAAAGGTCACACTGAGATTATGGAAATGCTAGTTAAAAAAGAGGCGGAGTTTCGATCTAGCACGTGAACCAGCAAGTCGAATCGAAACAAATGCATGATAGTTTTGTGGTGATGCTATGAGATTATTCTATTCCTTGAGTGCCGCGTTTATCCTTTCTAAAGCCACGCTCAAAATGTCATGGCCCTGAGTAAACACAATTCGGAACCAGCCATCCTTCTCAGACCCGAACAGAAACCCGCTGGCCAAAAACACCTTCTTTTGCAAAAGGCGCTGCATGACTCGTTCCCCGACATCCTCGCCCTCATCTACCGGGTGAAGCTCGCGGTATTTTTTCCCCAGGTTCATCCAGACGAAGAATGCCGCATTGCATCCTGCTGCATATTCGATTCCGTGGTCTTTTAGGTAGTTCACCGTGTATGCATAGGACTCTGACAGCAACTTCTGATTTTGCTGAACATACCGGGTGGTGAAGTCAAAATCTTCCAGCAGGAGAGAAGTCAAGTGATCCGTGATTCCAGAAGCATAAGAATAAAGCGCTGGTCCTGTCAATGCCGCATGAACATCACGGTTGGCCTGGGAAATGATGGCGCCGAGTCGGATACCGTTTGCGCCAAAGTCTTTGCTCATACCCCAAAGGACATGAACCAAACGAGGGTCGATGATTCCAGTCAAATCGATAGAGAGGGCGGACTCGAATTTGACAGGTGGTGGAGATTTATCGACGGTATTTTCAAAGACTGACAGGGCATAGATTTCATCACTGATGAAATGAATCTGGTATTTCTGACAGAGCCGCATCAACTTAATGAGCACTTCTCTGGAATAGCATCGTCCAAGTGGATTATGAGGATGAGCTAGGATCAAAGCCTTGACTTTCTTCCCGGTAGTTCGATGGAACTCCAGCAATGCTTCTTCGTACTTATCCACGCCCTCGACACCGAGAGGATCGTGTTCTCCAAAACTCACAGGAACCACGGGACTCCGCGAACGCAGCGAGATATCAGGAATGAACATGCCGTAGTACGGTCTTCCCAACAAGACTCCCTCGCCAGGATCAGCGAATGTCCATACAACATGCTCGACCGCAGACGAGACACCGTTGGTTGCCATGACATGGCTGGGCTCGAGAGGCGTGACTGGCTTCAGGTGGTGGTTCAAGAAGGCCGCGATGGCGGCCTTCAATCTGAAAGAGCCGGCCCCGCCGTTGTTGTATGTGAGGTACTTTGCTGGTAGCTCGAGCTTCTGGTTGATGAATTTTAAGAGCTCGGAATGCATCAGGGTGTTCTCCGCTACGCCCACATTGACGTAGCCGTTAGGGTTTGTGGATGGGTCCCACGTGTCTTTCATCACGTCCCACATGGGATTCTCGGATCCTGCATCGACGACCTCTTGGGCCCGACGGGAGAGAACTGATTGAGTCATTTTGGTTGTCTCGGAAGAGTTTTCACGGGTGGAAAACGCAAGGCCGAGTGAGTGTAAGGTTGTAGAGAATGATTGAAAGGTAGTTTGCAGTAAAGTCAATTATTTTAATATCCACTCGGTTACTGTCGGCCGAAAACGCAAAGTCTGCGTATCTCGATGTACTGATATGGGTCATACCCAGAGGGCGTGGACGGGCGAGGTGGGGTCTTGGCTATTACTGCCCAAACGATCGTCTACTATTCACCCCCAAATTATAGCCTAAGACTCGTGTTCCGGGGTGCCAGAGCCCCGGATGTGAACTCTGCATGTGTACCTGTATGGATGATTGGATAATATTAACCAATACGACCAAAGTCTCTGCACACTTGGAGGCCTGGGCGGTGACAGGGTAAAATATCTTCGCATTCCAAGTTGATGTCCACATAGAGCACACCGTTTTATTCCTTATCCAATCTACTATTAATAGATTTCTTTTCTCTACGGGCGACGAAGTGAGGGAATTCGGCCCTATTGGCTATTGCTGCCAAAAATTTACGTACTATTCACCCCTAATTTACTGAGAACTCGTATGTCGGTGATTGTTCGCTACATTCGGTGTTTGAATACCCTACTCTATGTAGATTGAAGATTAATAGTTTCTCTGCATTCTCCCCCCCCCCTGATCTTCTAGCTACGTAGCTATAACACTAGGCAAGAGTTCTACGCCGAGACTCCTCTTCGGATCTTGGGATCCAGTCTAGATAGAGCTGAAGCTCAAGAGCCCAATGAAGCAAAGATCCATTGTTAACTTTAGATTGATTGCAAGGCAGAATGCAGATCGTAACAGGTATAACCAATCAATTTCCCAGAAACGCATAAAAGTACTACAGCTAAATAAAGATAATACAAAGGTAATTCAGCTCGAATATACTGCGAGGTAGAAAAAGAAGAATGTTGGTAGTCAGTCTCTCAACAAACTCAATATTAGCACCCCGGCCACTCCGACGAGCACGGTGATCTTCTACGTGCCAACAACCCAGTCAGTATCTCCTTGCTTCTGACTAGGTTGCTGGTTTTGGTTTGTCTCGGAAGGTTTTCCCTGGTGGTGTGGCCATCCCCAAAGGTGGTGTTTCTTCGGAGGCACAACATTCTCTGTATGATATTGTTATTATATGCCAGACGCAAAAGACTAGAACGTGATATTGTACCATTCGCTGTACCGGCGAATGCCTCATTAGCGTAAGATTTAGGCTGAGCAGAATCGGGATTTTGATTCATGGGCTCTTGCTCGGGAGGTTTTGCTGCGCTAGGGGGATCAGTGGATGTAGGTGCATCCGTTGAGTCGGTTGAGCTTCGACGACGGTGGATCGCGTCAGATGCTCTACGGATAAGTTCCGACATGGGTAATATAAATGTTTTCGATAATCCTGATTCAAATGGTTCAAGAATATTTGGTGGGTGAGATAGTTTAAGGTAAGGAAATATACGACGGCAAGAATTCTATATAGTTGAGCTACACCAAGGCGAATGACGTCATACAGCCCTGTTAGTTCAAAGATCTCATGATCACTCTGTAATTAGGTTACAAATAGAACGGAGTAGAACTAAATAAAACTAAATGGATAGGATCGCCACTATGTCCATTAGGTAGATTGGACGGTAGATGAGGTCATGACATGAGACAACGGTGCAAAAGAGTCCTAATTCGTATTCCGTGTCAGGCGTGAGTTTCGTATTTTTTTGCCTATCAGGTTTGATAGGCCGTAGAAGGGTTTGAAGAACCATGGGAATTGAAGGTGGTCACTGAATTAATCATCCACGTGGATTTTTCACGCGGCGATTTGTTTATTAGCGGTGGATCTGTCGCCCGTAGAAGTCTTCCTACAAATCGGAAGGCTTATTTTCCACGCGAAAAGTTGACAGGCTACCATAGCATCTAGTCACCCCTGGGTTTCGTATGCTCAAAGCCACTCGCTATACCACCATAGAAGCAGCAAGCATAACAAGCCCACCAAACCCATCCATTCCCTCGCACCACTCCTCCCAACTTGCAGTAGTCCTCGCTGGATTGTTCTCGGTAATAGATGTATGAACCATCACTGTCCCACGATGATTCTCACCAAGTTTGACCAAATCCCCGCTGCCAGTCAAACCAAATTCAGTCTGGACTTCGCCTTCTCTTCGGCTTTCTGACTTCCACGTAGCCTCATTTTCTGCTTCCCAAAGTTGTTTCTTTGCCGGCAGGGGCGCGAGAACCAGATCCGTTGGAAGATTGCACATTGTTGCGGGCTCAAAGTAGAGCAACATGTTGAAGACTTTGTAAATAATAGATAATCTAACAAAATTAATCAGTGTTTGTCCGGTGAATTCAGCACAGACTTGTAGTGAAAGAGACAAACCTTCGTCTTGATTCCTCAAAAAGCCAATCTTTCCAACTTCCGTCGAGACTAAATTTTCCCGCAATGTCTCTTTTAGTTAGGTTTTGAGCAACAACCTATGTATTATATCATTAGAACCAAGTAAACAGTCAACAGAGCGTCAGATCTTGGCTACACTCACTGTCACTGCTGCAATTAGAAGTGTATCGAAGCCATTGTACTCCGTCTCACCGTCGTCAAGCCGGATAATGATGTAGATAGCTAGGGCTTGCATAGCAGCAAGTAACTCCCATTTCGACAGTGTCGGACCCTAGTAATCCTCATTAGCTTCTTTTGCCACTTTAACTTTTTAAGAAAAGAAAATACACACCTCATTGCACAATCGTGCACATTCCATGCGCACATTTCTCCAGAACAGCTTTCGATTTCCTTTCATCTCCCCACTGATCATATGTACTAAATTGATGCAGTTGACCAGTGGTTCCATAGAAAACTCAGCATACACTAAGGATGGATGGATAAACGGTGGAAGAGAGTTGTGGCGCAGCATTGTCAAAACATAGGATTTTAGCGTATGTAATAGGAGCTTGGCAGTTCGCTCTATTGCAACGTTGACCTTTGGTCTTTTAGTGAGTGAGTGGGGGTTGGGCGTCGGGGATGCTGGCATCGACCAATTGGCAGCGATAGGAAGGTTAAATTGAAATTCCTGGTCAATCGGAGACAAGACAAGAGAACCCCCGGTCCAGGGATATTGGTTGGTCCCGCTTGTTTGGAGATTCGAAAATGCCGCGAGGTCGTTCTCTGGTACATCCAAGTTGAGATATTCGCGTTCAAGCTCTGCAATCTCTTGGTCTACAACAAGCTCATCATGGCGAATCGTATCTCTATTCAAATGTGCTTCGTAATTCGTAAGAATCAAAGAGTTGCTGTTCTGGACACTTGGTCTTTGAGATTTGGGCGACTTTGACCCATACTGGCATTCAGTGCCCTTGGCGATGCATCTCGAGCACTTGGGCCACTTCTTATCGCAACGTGTCTTCGATTTTGCGCAAAAATGACAGGATCTGGGTCGAGGAGTATGACGAATGCCTCGGGACCGACAGTAGTATCCATGTCTCTTTAGCGTAGACTCTAAGAATCCACTCAATTTAGTATGTTGGAGACCAGTTTCTGGTAGTAATGAAACTTGCCCTTATCGAACGGTTTGTTACACTCAGTACACCGCAAAACAGATCGGGGATTTTTCTCGGACATTTCAATTTGCATTGCCGTTTGTATATCCAAGAAATTATTGATTGATTCTTCTATTGGGAAAGGTTCGTCGGGGCTGTCTGGGGAAGTCTTGATTCATCGATATTTGTCAACTCGGGCGGGACATTTTGTGAATTCCCGAGACGGAGACGCATCTACTTGAACGGCCGATCCCGAATCTATCTCAGGCCATATTAGTCAACCATGGTCAGCATTTGCCCTGTAATCACGATATTGGCCAAATTGCCAAAGTCCGTAGCTGAAATGAGCCAATATACCCAGCACATATAAGTATGGGCGCTGTTCTTCAGAAAACATGCTCTCCATCAACAAAGCAAAACCAATATTCCGATCCATAAACAAATCCTATAGCCATGGCAGCACCATTCCCATCCCCGACCACAAAATGGCACACGACAGCCTACCAGTCTATCTCCCCCAGCCGACCGGAGCTTTCTGCCAAAGGCAGAACCCTGGTCGTGACTGGAGGAGGTACGGGCATCGGATCAGAGACCGCTCGCCACTTCGCCGAAGCAGGTGTATCTCGGATCGCCCTCCTTGGCCGCAGAGAACAACCGCTTCTCGATACCAAAGCCTCCATTGAAAAGACATTCCCCGGCGTCGAGGTATTCGTGGCCCCTACCGATGTGACGGACAAGACCCAAGTGGATGCAGCTTTTGCTAAATTTGCCGGCGACGGGTCAATCGATATCTTGGTTAGCGGTGCAGCTGTCATTGGACCACAGGACCAGGTGGGAAATGTGGACAGCGACAAGTTCCTCGACGCTATTCACGTCAACCTACAAGGGTCATTGGCAGTTGCCCAGGCATTTCTTCGCCATGCATCACCTGATGCCGTTGTCATCGACATCAATTCCTCTGCTGCGCATGTTAATTTCGGTCCTGGGTTCGGGGCTTACAGCGTCGCTAAATTTGCTGTATTTCGCCTTTGGGATTCCTTGGCCTTTTCGAATCCGGGTTTAGCCGTCTTCCATATTCAGCCTGGTGTTGTGGATACTGCGATGAACAGAGAGGCGGGGGGCGTTAAAGCCCTTGGATTTGAGGATCATGGTAAGTCAATCTTGAATTTCTGGTTTAAGGTAACATGAAGCTGATTTTGATAGTCTCTCTGCCGGCGAGCTTCAGTGTTTGGCTTGCAAGTCCCGAGGCCCGTTTCTTGAAGGGCAAGTTTTTGTGGGCAAACTGGGATGTTGATGGGCTCAAGGCCAAGGCCAAGGAGATTGAAGAGAGTAATCTGCTTAGTATTGGGCTTAGCGGGTGGCCTTTCCAGGATGACAACTGGAAGTCAGCGTGGAAGGCTTAGGCTTCCCTGTGATTCTGTTTTCACTGAATTTGAGGACTGTGCTTTTTATTCTAGCAAGATCTCATCCAAGCCACTTCCAATACTAGCTTTTTTCATTCTTTTTTGACGTCAATGCCAAGCAAGCTTCGGCGTGGAGATGTCATTTCCCCACATCAAACACCGAACACCGAAGTACAGCATACAGGAGATTCATTTTGATTCAGAGAAAGCCTAAAGTGAAAAACGCTACTAACAGAATGTGTATGTCAACTAAATAATAAATTGCACAACACATTCAAGTTAAACTCCATTCTACCTGTAAGCATAGATTACCTAGCACGACGCCCTAACCCTCCCTACATTAAACCCCGAGCCCCAAAAAGTCATTCATACCACATAGAACCCCTACGTGCAAGTTCAAAATAAACCTCCACAGCACAACTAATCACGATATCCTTCGGCGTCAAATCGACTCCACTGGAGTGCCGATAAATCGGCCTCTGCGAAAACGCCTCAGAATTCAAAGGCTCATATTCAATCTCCTTAAGTTCCACCGGTTCAACCTCAATCTCTTTCAAATCAATAACTTCCGCATACTCCTTCGCCTTCATAACAGCATCCCGCAAGGCCCCCTTCCGCGACTCCGCCCCGATATCATGAGTAGTAGCATCAGTGAGGTACCAGCTAACATTACTCAGTCTCGCATTGTCGTAAGTATCCAGCTTGTAGGCGAATTTTTGCAGCTCGTTGAAGTCACAGAATATAGCGTAGAAGGTGACGATGGCGGTGTGCACGCGCGGTCTGTCGCTGACATTTCCTGTTGTGTCCTTGGATGCGTGGATGTGGCTGGCGGATATTTTTGATACTGCGGCTGAGGGTTTTACGGTTCTGTCTTCTTCTCGGGGACATAGGGCTTCCAGGATTTCTTGGAGGGTGGTGCAGGTTATGGAGACTTCGTGAGTGGTGGTTTCTTCGGACTCGCCTGAGCATTCTATGATGAGGTGGATCATTGCTCGCTCTGGGAAGCGGCGGGCTGTGTAGTGGCCTTGTAGAGTCATGGTGAAGCATGCTATTGTTGGTTGTTTGATTGGGAATGAAAGGGTACAGGGATAGGGATGCGGACGAGGATAGATTTAGAGATTTGGGGGCTGAAATACCTCAGCACATCAGACGGTCGAACAAATATTGGGGACTTTGGAGAGTCTCAAGGCATATGGATGATAAAAGTTTGTTTGGATTCATTCTTCTCGAATATAAAACTATGTTTTTAACCAATATCAAACTCAACCAAGCAACTGCTCCTGCTTAGCACCCTCAACAGCAGCGAGGTAAGCCGGACGGTCCTTAACATAGAACTCGACATCAACTTTTCCTTTGAGATTAGCCTCCCCACCATCCAGGGTTCCAGCCTTAACACAAGTCATATCGGGCATGATCTCCAGCTCTGTGTAGATACTTGAGCCGCAAGTCGGGCAGAAGAAGTGCTTATTGATCTTTCCACTGTCTCCAACTGCATCGTAGGAATTGGGGGTACCTATAGAAGTGATGAGAGTAAGTAATTCAGAAGTTGACCATGGGTGGGAAGCGTATATTCACCCTTTGTCACTTTGAAGCTAGTGCGGGGAACGACTGCATTGGAGGTAAATGCACCGCCGGACCACTATTAAGTATTAGAGAATATGGTCAAGGTTCATTGGTATATGGAAGGCTTGTGTTTCACCTTCTGGCAGTCGGTGCAATGGCACAGGGCGGCCAGGTATGTGTCAGCTAGCATATTGTTAGCTTGTGAAGTGTGTGGTTTCGAGCAATTGTACCTTCGATGGCGTAAGTAACACCGCCGCACATGCAGCTTCCAGTGAAGGTCATTTTGAAATAAGGATATATAGTATATGTAAAGAATACCTTGGTGGAATCAAAGTCAAAAGCGGGGTTGGGGTCAGCTTTTTATACTTGCGCATGTCACCTCGTGTCCTTTCGGTATTTGGTCTCCGATTGAACACCGAAGTGTGGGGTTTATGGGTTAAGTTCTCAATCAGGTAAATGGTAAGTTTACTGCTTACTAGTAATCGCCTGGAAAGGAATCAACATGAGCAGGCAGAAAAAAAGATTGGCATCATTCCTAGAAACAAGAACCTGCTTTATATACATCATCCAAGAGTCAAAGCAGTTAAAACAGACCAACGCCAGGTCTCTACCAAAACGCGAGATTAAAAAAAATCAACAGATAAGAAATAAATGAAGGTAAAAGTTGACGCAAGACAGCACTGGTGTATATCACTTCAAAATCCACTTAAGAAACGTCATTGAAAAAGAAATAAGACAGAAGGAAAATGATGAAAGAAAGGAATGACAATAACCGGGGTATAGAGAGGATACATGGACTGCGAAGCTTGATCGAACTAGAAATGGAGACAATTGAAATGCCCCCGGGGCAAAAAAAGAGGTATGGGGTATTGACAAGAAAGGGAGATTGTCTGTCCACAGGGACAGGTCTCTTGATCAAAATGCCAGCACTTTATAGTATGGGGGACACATTCCCCAAGGGAAGCCAAGCATCATCAGGTTTTCGGCTTTTTATGTGTACCTTCCCCTGCGGATCCACTGTCGGGGCTTTTTCTTTTCTTGTCTTGTTCGTCTTCACGAGAAAAGCCAGGACCGCTTTGCACTGCCGGAGTCGGGAAGGTGAGGGGGCTCGGCAGCATGTTGGAGTCTGGGCCGGACCGGCTGAAGCCCCATTCGGGGAAGAAACTGGAAGGTGACGGGAGGAGGGCATCAGATACAAAGCGACTCGGCAGGGCGGATATGGGCGTTTCGATGTTATTCGAGTTATTCCCATTGTTCGGGTTTCCGCTGTTGCTGCCGTAGGAGTCGTTTCGCGTTGTGGCAACGGGAGGAGGTGGTCGCGCGAATGGATTTGGAGGCCCTTGTGCTCCTGCACTCAGTATTGCACCAGCTGATGGCGACGGAGGGGGTAAGACCACGCCTGGAGGGCCGTTCTCGGCACTTCCTTTCGCAGGCGTGGAGGTTTTATTCCCAGTGGAATCGCGCGACGAGTCGGCCGTGGCACTGCCACCATCTGAGGTTTCACTAGGAATTTGCACCTTCAGCTGCGGTCGTTTTGATGGCAACGGTCCGCTGTTCGTTCGGGATGGTGGTTTGATTTTTGGCGCTGGAGCAATTGGTCCTGGACGAGGAGCCTCCGTCGCAGCTCTGACAGGCATTGATTTGGAAACAAGCGAGGCTTGTGGTAGTGCTTCGACCTTGAGAGAGTGGTTATTGTGAGATTCATATGATCCCGCTCCGGCTCCAAAATGGCGGGCGAGCACGGATCCTCGATCATCAATAGGCGTAAAGATACTCCGTGATTTCGATAACGACTTCATTTGGGGTGGGGACTGGCTGTGCTCTGCTTTCATCGCACCCGAAGAATCATCTTGGGGGTGCTCCGAGCCAGGCCGTTCTTGGTGACCATCAGGTACGAACCCTGGAGGCATCGAATTTCTCCCATGTTCCTGCATATATGCCTGCTGCACGTGTTGGTGGGGCCCTGGAGGCATTCCTACGGGATGGCCATGTTGTTGGAAATGGTGTTGGCCCTGGTGCTGTGGTGGCATTTGCTGCGGCATTTGCTGCGGCGGCAAACCGTGCGGGTGCATAGGAGGCGTTCCTTGATGTTGCCCCGGTGGGTGTCCATAGTGCGCAAACTGTCCCGGCCGAGGTTGTTGGTTCATTGCGTGAACATTCGGGTTATACATAGACGGATTCGGCATATACGCAAACCCTCCATTCTGCGGGCCAGGGGGTGGCGGCGGTGGAGGTGTACCATGCTGTTGGGGGCCTAGATTGGAACTGACTCGGCGGATATGATTCCTTGAGGAGGGACGCGAAGTTCCTTGCGGTTGCGGGGTGGCATGACGTATCATGGCATGATGGATCGGGGGTGACGCGGAGGGTGCATGATTCATGTGCTGGAAGGCGGGCTGGTTTTGGAGGTGAGGGGGAATGGCGGGGTGGTTCTGCTGAATAGCTTGGATCTCCTCGGGAGCCGGCGAGGCCTCATCTTCCTCATCGTCGTCATCTCGCTTACCTGCGAAATCTTCCGGTCCTTTATGCTCGTGAGGAGGACCAAACTAGGAAAAACAAATGACCAGTTAGAGAATGTCGGGCTGAATCGAATCCAAGTTCTACCCACATATTGATAGCGACCAAGAGCATCGTGCATGTCGCATGATGAGTACTCGTATAGCTTCTTGTTGTGACCAAAAATGATGACAGCTACGTCAACGGAGCAAAGGACAGCAAGCTCATGCGCCTTCTTGAACAGACCTCCCTTTCGTTTCAGGAACGTGCTATAGGCGAAGAAGCTCCGATCAGCGACCAGAATGCTTCCACTTGGATGATTATACTTACACTGAGCGGTTGCGGTCATCTTTGATGGCCTTGATCTCAATCTTTCTCCGACCCATGGTGGATAACTACGGGCGCACCAATTGCGCACCGATAGCAAGATTGAGAATAAAAAGGTACAGCAAGTCGCGGAGCGACTGGCGAGATATCTCGCACAATTATAATTTAATTAGCCAAGGTGCAGAATCGACGCGATGACGATCCTAGCCACACGGTGGCACACGTGTGTATGTGAAGAAACTTCGTCTTTGCACGAGGATGAGGGATGGTGTGACTAGTCAACAAAGGGATCCCGAAACCAGAAACCAATGTGTTTCAATTTAGGAAACCCTGTACGATACTTTTTGAAGAGGGGGCTGGACGCGACTTGAAAACAATGAAGACCCCTCGGAGTTCAAACAAAAGTGAACCCGAGGAGATGGTAAAGGTTAAGGGAAACAAAGGAACAAGAAATATAAAAAGAAGTAAATGAGAGCGGAGAAAGGATGATTGACGATGCAGGAAAGGTTGATTCTAAAGATAGAATCGAGGGAGAGGGAGTGACAGCCCTGGAGAAGATTTAGTTGGGCTGAGTCAGCAGGGCCTTAGGCGCCGGGTTTCTATTTTTATCTTTTTTGGTCTCAAGCATAAATGTGCTCTGAAGGTGTGTGATAGGACAAAAGTACGGAATACTACTACTAACTCGAGTTAGTCTTGTCCCTGCAGTGGCTTGTCACAGTGGAGTCATCCCCTCCAGCTCCTATTGGGTTTTTAGTTTCTGGTCTGATATTCTATCCTTCCAGCCCTTCAACCCTACAACCCTGAGGGGTCTATGATGTCAACCTGGGGAAGCTCAGGTACTGATATACTCCAGGTAGATTCAAGATCCACAGATATGTCAAATTTATATTTCGATTGACATATTTCAGGCTATACAAGTCCATCTCCGCAATTCTAAGTATTCCCATGATATTCCTAGGTACCTAGGTAACCCTATCTCCCTACAAAGAGTAAAGCGCCAGATCTCTACAATCTGATCTCAAAGCCACAATTGCATCTCAGATGAAGTTAAAGTAAACGTCTACTTATGTATTCTTGGCATATGTATATGTAGGTCAAGTATATCCAGTACTTACTTCCAATTGATTGGTCCGGAGATTGGAGATTGGGCAGGTAAATAATATATACCTGTCGACACGTCTGAATGATAGTTCCTCCAATAGCATATGTCTACCCGTATACAGAATATATACATAACCTTGGATCCCCCAAACCCAGAATCACAGAGATGATCATTGTCGGTATCATTCATTTTAAATTTCTCTCTTCAATTCAAGTCCAATTCAAATTCAACTCAAAAAAGATAAACGTTGGAAATCCTTGTGGAGGCATCTAACGGAGTCGAGACTCGCGGGTAAGTTTAGTTTGGTTTACCCCTGAGCTTGTGAATCGCTTCGTTTTTCTTTTTTTTTCCTTCTCTCTTCCCAACCCTTCTGTCTTTTTCTTTTCTCTCCTTTTTCTTTTCTGAGGTTTGTGTGGTTTCCACTTTGAGAAGCACAGATCAGATCCCAGACCAGGGATCCTTTTACTTTGTCCTGCTGTTACCGGGGCTGCAGGACATCCCGGACACGCCTAGACGTTTTTAACTATTCGCTCAGTCAAATTGTGTCGGTTGTCTGCATTCTTATTCGAAACCTTTGCTAATCTTTGTTGATCAACAGAAGCCAAAAAAGGAAAAAAAAAAAAAAAAAAAAAAAAAGCGGACCCTCAATCTCTCTCCCCACAGGCTGTTTTCTGAGTAAAGTCAATTGTCGCATCTTCGACATGTCCTTCTTTTCTCGAGTGTTCCGGGGCAAGGACTCCACCGCGACAAAGAAGCAGTCCAAGCCTACCGCAGTCAGCACAGCCCCCGCGAAGCCTAAATGGACCGATGCGTGGCAGCGGACAGAGGTTGCGCCGGAAGAAGTTCAAGACCTTGTACGAGGGTGTGTGCATGAGCTCAAGGCCCGAGGTAGGTGGATTGATATCTTGACTGTAGAATACGGACCATTGTTCGGATTGCTGATCATTCGTCGCAGCTCTCGACACACCGTTCCTCCTCCTACCGTTCCGTCCTAGCTCCGATCCCAGTGCAGCTCGCACGTTCATTCGCAATTACTTTAATCAGTCTTTCGACAAGGGCTCGCCTGTCAACGGAGATGTCTTAGCGCAGGAGCTCCGGCTCACTGAGCCGATGGTGAGGGATAATGTCTGTCCCAGGGGTTATCAGGGGAGTCACTAACGTCATTTCTATGGATAGGTTCTTTGTGGTGTTATGAAATGGTGCTGGAGCAGACTTCCCGGCGGTGTTGTTACTTGGGAGGCGTACGAGACCTTCAAGATGGGCGAACATGGTATGCGATATTGATTGGAATGCGGGGAACACACGCGCTGATGGAACATTAGATTCGGATATGGCCCGCGACGCTTTCTCAACTTTCATTCCGATCGGCGGCGATTCCGATGCACGCACCAACATTATTCTGGACTTCTTCGACCTTTTGGCTGCCGTTGCGGCCCACGGAAAATCGAACGGCTTGGGAGGCCGTAAGCTTTCCCGATACGCGGGATGGTGGGCCTTTGAGCATGTCGACACAGGCAATGGTTTCGAGGCCGCCTATAAGAACTGGGCTGTGTACGGATTTCCATTACTCTGATATTTCCAGATGGTATTCTAACATCCATCTCTAGTGCTGCCGATGCTACAAGTCACTTGTTCTTCGCCTACCTTCGTTCGTTGTCTCCCGATGTCCCTCGCGGTGTGAGCGGTATTTCATCGCTACCCATTTCTCTCCAATCCCTCGTTGAAGCGACCGAATACCCCCCTGAAACCCCGACTCTGTTGCAAGTTACGACTACAAAGGTGGTTATGATTGTGGAGAATGTTTCTCCGACACCATTTTCCTTGTTGCGACGCGCCAAGAACTTTGAATACCGCGACGACGACTGGCACCTGCAGGAGTTTGCCAACTACGAAGACCCCGTTAGCGCATTGACCGACGAGTGTCTCCGTGTTCTCAGATGCATCTCTTCTGCGAACCAATCCAGCGTCTCGAGTACCAAGCAGTCAACCAGTTTACGGGATGCATCCTGGTCTCGCTTCGAGGATATTGGGTTCGGTGGTTCGATCGACTCTGACCCAGAGGATGAAGGCAAGGAAGCTGCTCCGCCGGCGACTGGAAAGACTACAAACAGTGGATCTGCGGGCTTGCAATCCGTTCCTCAATCTGGAACAGGTGACCTTGGCCGTCCCACCACCCCCTCGTGGGCAGACTTCATGTCATCCGGATTCGCGGATGAAAACAATTTGAAGAACCACGTGGGTCCTCTGCTCTTGCCCCCTGACAAGGTTCTACCCCCTATTGCCTCTGCACGTGGCATGAGCTCTCAGTCGCACAAGCGCTCCTTGGATATCGAGCCGGCTCTCGAGCCTGCCGAGTTGGCGAGTATCAACACTCTAGACATGGACGACTCGTTCTGGTGGGTTTGGATCAGCAGTTTGTCAGGTGATGAGCCTTCTGCCCGCAAGGCTGTGTTTGGCCGATGCGCGCTCCTGGAGACCAGAATTCGGGATACCAAATGGTTGATCCTTGAAGAGCAGATCAAGGGTGCTGCCCCGGAACCTGAGGCCGGTGCGCAGATTGTCGAGAAGAAGCGGTTCTTCAGCTTTGGTAGCCGTAAAGGAAAGCTCAGTCGCCGCAAGTCGTCGGCTAAGAAGATGCCCAACATTGAAGACTCGTACAAGCGGGCCAACAACCAGGGAACGCAAAGCAAGACCAGCATCGGACCGGATCAACACAAGCGGATTCAGGAAGCTGCGGCTGCTCTGCAAAAGAAGCACCGCGAGCAAGAAGCTGAGGCCAAAGAGAACCGTGCCACCCCGAATAATAGCCGTTACTCCAAGACCAACTCCGTCATGACCCTGCAGCCTGCCATTGTGAACGAGGCCTCCCAGGCCATGAAGTGGACTAAAAACTACGACAAGGGTGCTTTCAGGGCGGCATATCTCAATGACAACCGCGCTGGCACTGGTCAAGCCGATGAACTCCAGGATGCACCCGAGCCAATTTCGAAGGACCCCGAGGAGAAACCGTTGGTACCTCTTCCAACCAGCACTGCAAAGAGTGGTCCCCCGCCGCTTCCCAAAGAAGCTGCTGCTGCTGCTGCTGTGTCAACCCCTCTTCCCCCTTCTCCTAAGGAAGCACCACCTAAGCCTGTCAATGTTACTGCTCCCGAAGAGGAGAAGCCCATCACAAAGCCTGCCGTTGTTGAACAATCCACTGAGCGTCGGGAATCAGTGGACGAGACGGGCAAGAAGCTGAAGAAGAAGACTGGCAATTCTGCCTTTAAGAGCATGTTTGGTACCAAAAAGAGGACTGAACAGCAACAGCCTCCCATGAAGACCACTGATGCCAAGGAAATCTCCAATGTGGCAGCTACCCGTGCGGCCCTCGAGGCCAAGGCGAAAGCCGCTCAGGAGTCCGGTCCCGTGAAGAAGAAGCCTCTCCCGAGCACCGCCGCTGTTGCAGTTACGCCCGTGGCTACTAAGGCAGAAAAGCCCTCAGCGCCCGAGCGTGTTCAACCGACCGTCAATGAACCTGTGGCTAAACCCACAAACCTGACCCAGTCTGCCGCTTTGAAAGGGAACGGTGCGCCGCCCAAGACCAGACGTGCGGTCGAGTATGATGCTCTCTCGCGCGTTGGTACCAATGAACGCGACGCGGCCGACCAGGAGTTCTCCAAGTTCGACCAGGGCCCCCTGACTGACCAGCCTGCTTTCGCCCCCGAGGATTCCCCCGTGGACGTCACCTTCGCAGCACAGAAGACCGAGGTTCCCCAGACCCCGACTAACGGCAATGGTGTCCGCCCTGAGACCGCCACCTCGCCCGAGTCAACAAGCGAAGCTACACAGGATCGCTGGAAGGCGATCCGAGAGGCTGCTGCCCAGCGGACTGCCGCTGCTCAAGATGAACAGGCGCATGATCATGACGCCGAGGCCAACACCCGGACTAGCCAGTCAGAGCGCACTGACGAGGGAGATACTAGCGGAGAAGAGAGTGAGTAGTAACTTCATCCTCAAAACTGATTCCATACTAACAGTTGTTTTTACAGCCATCGAAGCCCGTGTCGCCCGCATCAAGGCCCGAGTGGCTGAATTGACTGGCAACGTGGAGGACGGACCAAGACGCTAGTCTGCAACGTCCCCATACCACCTTTCCTTTATTCATTCTTCCTGATTATTTCCCCTGGCTCTCTATTCGCTATGACCCAGGATGTATCTTTTGTTAATCGTATACCCTTCTCCCGACCAGACATTGGTCGTGTTTGCTTATTGAGCGCAGTCTGAAGACCGAACAAGGTACCCATTTCCATATTCCTGGAAATGGACAGACCGACGAATACTGCGATACGATTGATGGAATCTTTTTTTGGTTGCGACATCTGTTTATTTTTCTTTTCTTTCTTCAAATCTCTCTTGACTCTTACTCCAGTCTTCAATCTTCGACTGGACAAATCTCCTCCTGTCTAGGTTTATTTCCTTCCCATCTACCGAATCTGGGCTGCTTTTTTTGTGACCGTCACTTGCTCTATTCCCCTTTCGCTACTGCTATTGATTCTGGTTTCGCTACCACTACGAATCGTTTTGTGTTCTCTGAATTGAAGTACTATCTCTGTAATATGGACCTCTTTACTTATTTCAAGCAAACAATAACCAGAATAATATACTAATAGCAGACATTGAAAACACCATGATCGTACGTACTATCACATTCCATATTCTTTTTTCACTTAGATATGTAAACATTCGAACTTAATCTACAACCCCAATTCCTTCAAAATCGCCTTTCCAACAGCAGTCGCAGACCCAGGATTCTGCCCGGTAATAATAGTCGACCCGGTCTCAGCCGCCTTGCCAACAACAACCATCTCCCCCCAAGGCTCCGCAGCCTTAACATACTTCCCACCAGAAACACGACCCAACTCCGTCTCCAGCATAAACGGCATCGCAGCAGAAAGGTTCACGGCATCTTCCTCGTCATTCGAGAACCCGGTCACGCTAACGCCGGAGATGAGCGGGACGCCGGAGGGCGCTTTGGCGTTTAGTAGCACGCAGGAACCGTGGCAGACGGCCGCGACGGGCTTGTTGGCTACGGCGAAGGCCTGGATTAGAGCCAGGGAGGTGGGGTCCTCGGTTAGGTCGAACATTGCTGTATAGGGTATTGTTTTGTTAGTGGATGTCGTTTGTATAGATGGGATGATACATGTATAGCTAGAGAAAGGGAGGCAACTCACGTCCGTGACCACCAACATAGAAGAGCGCATCAAACTCGCCCGCGCGAGGGAGTACATCCGCCAACTTGTGCGTGTTCGTCCAGAGGGCTTTTTGCTCTTTCAGGAACGTCTGCGAGACTTCGTCTGACTCGGATGCCTGTACGGATGACGGGTCTAGGGGTGCTTCGCCGCCTTTTGGTGAGGCGATTGTTAGGGAGACCTTGTCGTGGAGGACTTCGTGGGGGTGGGCGAATTCGGGCTTTGGGATGTATTGTTAGTTAAGGAATTCATTTTGGAATTGGGTTATTATTGGAATTGCATGTGTATGTGGGTATTCAACTGAAGCAATTGGAGCAATTGGGGTTACATACCAGATACCAGCCGGTTGGGTGACCGGTGGAACCGAGCTTGTCGTGGGAGCTGAGGACGACGAGGACTTTTGGTGCCATTTTCGGTGGGTTTTTGGGAATTGGAGTATAGATGAAAGAGTAGGGATGAGTTAATTGAGTTGAGTGTTCTGTTTAATGGAATTGAGGGCGAAGGGTGTCTATAAGCTCTTTTATATAGTTCTCTCTGCTTGCGGCGATCAGCATCACCATGTGTATCACTATACCGTCATAGGCTCCACTAAGGCTGGCTATTTGTTCATCCATGCCGCTTGAGCCAATGAGGGTTCTTGTCAAGGAGCTCGACTGCATAAAATTGTGCAGATATTAAGGTTTGACCCACCAATTTACAAGATAATGTTGTCTAGCCACATATAGGTCTCCGTGCATGTGGTTCCCAACGGATCCTTGAGGCTAATAATACTTATACTGCGGCGGCGACAATCGGAACATTGCGGCGAGAATCGGATGTTCGGATGTTCCGATTGTTGTTATGGTATTTTGGCCTAGCGATTAAATACTCTCATGTAATCACTTAGGTTTATGCCTAAGTTAATCTCTGGATTATAAGCTTATCTAGTGAAGAGGCATGGTTATGAGTTAAGCCACAACGTACCTTTGTACAAAGTACATAGTAAAATGCAACACGCTAGCCACATCACGTGTGATACTTCTGTTTAATTTCCCTAACCCCTCTTTTATGTAGACGTCCATAGATGTGTCTTCTCATACTCTCGACATGCCCAGACGGATGATCGAGATTGATCGAGATTGACCTCGGGATCTTCTGGATATCGGGAACGGGAGCGGTGGGGCTACCATATTTGCATTGTTTGGTTTGATCTCACACCCCACAACAGACTTCAGTCTAAATGATCTTTGCTAAAAACTCATATCAAATTCCCAGATTTCTCCATCGTCCCTCATTATATCCCCGCTATGCCCATAAAAACACACACAAAATGCAAGCTTTCACACATTCATGGCCGAAGAATATAAAACTCAGGATCACAAGCATCGCCAGCATCAATCTCAGTCAAAAATCCTATGACGTCTCCCACGGTGTTCTTTCATGTTATCCACGCGACCGAAGGGCTGACCGCATTCCGGGCACCGGACGGAGCGATGTACGACGTGCTGCACTTTAATATGGCGCATTAATGATGCATAGCCGCTAAACCTCTCACGGCGTTTACAGCCGCTCCACCCGCATTTGAAAAGGCCGTCCGATCCACTGAGAGAGAAGGAAGACTGTTAGTAATGAAGTGGGAAGTGTGAGAACATGTGACTCAGACTAACTCTTGGTTCTGGGGGTCACTATGAGCAGAGATTGGTTCCACATCATCAACTTCATTGTTGTTCTCGTTTGCTGGGGATCTCCCTGGGGTGAAGGGACTCGCCGGCGAGGACCAGGCATAGGTTGAGGTGCGACCGGGGCTGAGATGGACTTCAGTTTCAACACCAGTGGCTCTTTGCTGCATGACCGAGGAAGACTGCATTCTGTTCTGGTACAAGTTGTCCGCCGTGGGGAGACCTATGGTGGTATGCACAGTGCAGTTTGGGTCAAGAGACCTGGAGGTGCGGCTCATAGAAGGGGTACAAAGAGACCAACCCGCAGAGAATATAGGTCGCTGTCCGACCGCAGAGGCAGGTGGTTGGGTGTGCATAGTCCAGTTGGGGTGGAGAGACGTGGAGGCATAGCTTATAGAAGGGTCATAGAGAGGCCAATCTGCAGATGGTAGAGGAGGTGGCTGTCCGACGGCAGAGGTAGGTGGTTGCATAGCAGAAGTCCCGGCATGGGAATTGTGTTTCTCACTGCTAGGTTGGAATATTTGGAGTAGCTGTAAATATTCATCGGAGTCCGAAGTGTATACCATGATGAATAGAAAAGAGGAATTGAGATACTAGGTGAATTGAAAATGTCTGTACTAGGAGGAAATTCGGTCCTTTATATAATTTTTCTGTTTATATACTGTGTCCAACAGAATCAGGCTCATTTATCCTTAAGATGAGCCCCAGCGGATTCGGCTTACTCTCTCGGGTTGCCAACCTTCGGATGAGGATGGTTACAGCGGAAAACCTCCAACAATGACAACGTGATACTCCACCTGCCACCTGCCAAGTATGAATGGTAACCAATCAAAAGATGCAAGGAGGTTATGACCGTCTCTCGGATGGGTTCTAGGAAAGACTTGGTGCAAGGGGCTATGGGGGAAAGAGGCAAATTGCAAAGAATCCTTCTAGCTGTCTAAGCGGCTCTGCTTTAACAGCACTTGTCTAGTCAATAAACCAGAAAGATAAGTCAGGAAATTACCCAATTCCCTTTTATCTATTTACAATTTACTATTGGCTATTGACTATCGACTATCGACTCAACTATCGACTCAACTATCGACCACGGAGTCCGAACTTCGTATAACTACAAAGTTTGACACGTCTGTGTGGCTTGAATGAAGTCTAAGCTTTCCTGATCTTGGCGGGATTCTGTGGAGCGCGCCGTTTCTTTGGTTGCTCTCCCATTCCATCCGCCTGGTCCCGATTAGCTGTCCTTAAGCGCCTGATTATCAGGCTGCCAAGGTTCTATTTCTATATTTTGAAATCCTGCGAACCCCATCTTTTCCTTAATTGCCCCTTTCATTTCTTGTATACTTCAGGCTAGAATGATACAGGTTACTGACGCTAGCCTGAACGCAGATAGTGACTGCTGATCTACGAAATTCGGAGGCTTCTATCAAAATTTCCCATCATATCTTCAATGAGATCAATTATAATAGTGATTGTCTGAACGCTGTGACCTGGTGTTCACATAGGAAGGCATGATTCATACGGAGTACTTAGATACCAAATAAAATCTTAGCTTCCTACTTGTGCACCATGTTCAAGTCAGTGTCAAGGCACGGTGAATACGATCTTGGTCAAAAGATTCTGCAACGCTCAGGGCCTAAGACATATTATATTACTATTCAACAGTTGAAGATCGGGCTCTGGGTGACAATCGGGGATTAGCGCACGGACACAGCCCCTTGCGGGCGGCTGGCATCTAACACATCAAATACTGCGGAGTACTCCGTACATACGTCTAGGCCGAATACCGAGTCATGAATATGGATATAATCTTGAACGCCACATTCGTCACACCTAAACTCCCTCGTGTGGTTATTAGCCATAAATGTACGGAGTAGCTAGCTAAGGAGTAGTTTGGGCAAAAGTTAGTCTTGGCACTCAGTGCGGCGAGAAGTGAACTTCCAAAAAGGTGGAATCTCTTAAGAACAAGGCAAAATGGCTCTTTTTGGTAAGCGTGGGCTGAACCCGGGCCTCGAGAGCCCGTTCACCCATCGATTTCCATCAATTTCCGAGTAATCAGCGAGCGTCAGTTGAAGTCACCTGGTGACAAGGAAAATCATAGGAGTGCTAGATGGAACGGACTACTGGTGACGATTGGGAAGACATAGTACAAAACCGAACTATGTTGTACCAGAAGATCAGGATTTCATAATGATGGCTTCAATTCATGTCAATCCATGTGTAAGATGGATAAAAGGGAGAGGGTTTAGGAACTGGGGTCGGTCATAGACCAGATTTTGCCAGGCCTGACCGCCTACTCAGTCTCCGAAGTCGGGGACCGGAACACTGGGCAGTCTGGGCCCTAACTACGGAGTAGTGAGCCTGACCTTGCATGCCCTCATAAAAGCTGCAGCTAACATTTGAAGATAGAAAAGCCCCATCTCACAGATGAATATGGTTAACCCAGGTAGGTATGTATTATGTATTATGTATGTGCATGCCAAACCAAAAGAGAAAAAAAAAGACAAAACTCCTTCTATGGAGACAGGCCCAGCTCACTGTACATGTAGACATGTCCACAACCCCAAGACCTCAACCTTAGTCAAGACAAGGCTCATGCAATATACACCGGGTATCGAGCAAAAATCAATAACTATTCATCGCAACGGATCGTAATTTCACAGCTTTCACAGCTCTCGCTCTGGACTGCTTATGCTCATAGTATATACCGCAGTCGACGGGTAGCCTCAGCCGCCACGAGTGCGCTTATTGCCCCGATGAAGAGACAGATAGAGATGGCATTATACCTATCCTTATCCAGGTTCATCCACGAATCTGAATTGTTATCAGATTTGGGCTCTGCGGCGGGTTCGAGGATGCTGAAGACAATCCAGCTGATGAAGGTGCCGACAAATTGGGGGAGGGTCGTGTACACATTCAGCACGCCTAGGTAGATACCGGCTAGTTCGCCTGTTGACGGAATATTGGATGCCTGTTCCTCCTCGTCGGTGTCGCTGTCGGTGGAATCGTGGTGGTTGAGTCGGAGGACATCCAGTTCAGTGTCGGCGGCGTTGTTGCGCAGACTTGCTGATGTGATCATTGTCACGCCGGATCTGGAGGATGGAATTGCCGGGGAATAGCCGCCCATCGTTAGTTTGTTGATTTCCACGCCCATAAAGGCGAATGGAGCCCAGCCGCTGATTGCCCAGGGAATACCGCATACCGCTACTAGGAAGGTTGCGAAGGCGCGGGAGTTTGCTAGAGGGGCGAAGATCATTGTGGCGGCGAACATGATGTGGGAGATCAGCCAGGCGGTTTGGAGGTCGGGTCGGATTGCGGTGATGGCTTTGAGAACCGCTGCTACCTTTGGTGGAGGTCGTGCGGTGAAGCGTGTTCGCTTGGTATCTGGCTGCATGATACAAAAGGGTAGGAGTACAGAGCTGAGGACTGTGATGGATGAGAAGACCGTCAACGAAAGACTGCCCACGCGGCCGACTTCACCAAGCATATCTGTGGCTTTGGCCATGTCGTCTTTTGGTACTTCGTAACGGAAGTAGGTTTCACCGACCCAGGTTGTGCTGTAGAAGAGGAAGGGGAACCAGCCTACTTAATGTTAGCATTGTTGATTTCCTAGTAGGTGTGGAATTTACATACCAATCCAAGCCCAAAATTGGGCCCAGCAAATTGCTTGGATGCGAGGCGGCAGCTCGAAAGTAGTTTTGAACAATTGAGAGAGGACCTGGATAGCACCAGCACTTCCGTCATCCCTGTTATCACATAAGGTTAATTGATGGCAAGAAGTATCAGTTCGAATTCAACACACCTTGCCGATAAAAGAACTCTCTCTTTTACCGAGTATGACGTGACTGCCACTGCCCCTATCAATGACAAAGCAGCGATCACTGTCATCTGCTTGAACTGTGTATCTCCAAGAAAAGTACCAAAGATGCTAACAGTATCAATGGCACCAACCACATAGGCAAAGAGCTGGCCAATGGCAGACATTCTCCCGGCTACAAAAAAGGTCAGTGGCGTTTTTTTAGGCTGAGACATATGGGGAAGGGCCATACCCCATGCGGATCCAGCTTGTTGCGATGGAATCGGCAGCGTATCCACAATCAGACCGCGACAGCACGCTTGAACTAAGACATTGTAAGCCACCTTCAATTAAGGCACGGGCAAGCCTGCCACTTACCAACGTTGATGGAGAAATCCACCGCATAAATACTCAACACAGCCAGGGCAATTGTGCCGTTCTTAGCCTGTAGAAAATCAATATTAGCATCCACATAACCGTAGACCTAGCCAGATGAGGGTTCTAATCAGCGGGATCGTACCTTTTCTGGATCTTTGACAAATAAACCAACAATCTCTGCCGTCCACCCCAGGACAAGCAGACAGAAAGCGACAACAAGCGACCCGAAGACCATAAAAGGTCTACGTCGACCCCATTTCGATCGTGACCGATCAGCAATAACTCCAATAAGAGGTTGGATAATCAATCCAGATAACGGGCCAGCAATCCACACCAGCGAAGTTTTAGACTTCGTCAAACCAAGTTGAAGAAGGTAAGGTGTACAATCTAACAAGGAAACAAATCGAGTCAGCAATCATTCTCCCGAAGTAGTTCCAACGGAGGATATTCGGAATGTGGATAACTCTTACATGTCATCTCAGTACCCCACGTGAACCTATTCTCGAGGAAAACACTGAGTTAGTCACAAACAACACAACAATCCCCCAATTGCCTCCAGAAAAGAAGCGCAGGCTAGACAATGTCTCGCAGCATCTAGCCCCATATACAATATACCCAAGTGACAAAAACGAGAGGGATGATACGCACTGCAATCCCACCAAACTAAACGTCAAAAGCGCCATCCTAGTGGACTCATTCCGGCCCTTGATGGAGGGCGTCCCCGCCCACCTCGCAGCCTGCGGCATCCTAATTATCCACGGGCTATCATGCACTCAGGTATCCGCGCTGAACCTAAACCCAAAAACGTCGGTGGCTGGTTGTGGCGTAGCCAGTGACCTCTTCGAAAGTTGAAAACACCCGTCCGGAAGAGACGCGCAATTCAGAATCGAAACAACAAAGACTGTGACCTAGTAGGGTCGGGGATGCGTTCCGGGGATTGGGAAAGGGGCCGGAAGGTGTCTAATCCTTTCGGGGAATTGAGTCGCGTGCTCTTTTTGGGGGCGTCGGAGGAGCTCGCGGGGGCCGAAACTGTGTACGGTACGTTCGGGATTCGTCGTTTGTTGACGGCGCGGGTTTGCAGGAGGCTGGATGGGTTGTGACGGAGGTGCCGGTGTGTCTATGCAGTCGTCGAAAAGCGTCTATGGGAATCCTAAGAGAAAAGATCCTTTGTCATAAGTTGAAGAGGAAGGAGAGAAAACCCGCGTTGGCCTGAGCGCCTCTATGCGGGCCCCCGGCCTTATCGATTTATTTAATTTACGAGAGACCCGCCAGAACCCTTTTGCCGATCCCGGCTTTTTTTATGACAGGGCCGGCTATGGGCTTTTATTTGTCTGTGTACGAGTCTAGGTTCCTACTCTAAATGCATTAGGTTTCAAGTATTCCACGTTTGTTTGCAGCCAGCTCCAGGGGGCTCAGCCTTATGTCAGCCTTTAATAATGCTTCCTGCCAAGGTTTTATGCTGATTGGCCATGTGCGATGACGTAATTCAGGGACCTACGGGCCAATTATAGAAACGGCAGGATTGAACGGAGCTCGACACGACGTACGTGCGCTTGGCAAACTTCGTATAGGGGCTCTGATTCGGTATAGCTTACCTAATTAGGAAAGTACTTTTGCTTAAGGGGCCTTCTCTCTTGACTCCGTACATGGTGCCAACCAAAAAAAAAGAACCATAGAAACTAGTGGATGACAGCTGATGCTATAGCAACTCCCAAGCCAAAGGGACAATATCCACCAAAGAGCAGAACAAAAATAAGGGCGTAAATATCTTTCATTGCTTGCGTCGCATCCAATCCTAATTTTGAATTGGCCTCGAAAACCTAAGTATCACAGTATGACGCGACTCCTGCCTGCCGGCCAAACAACCAACCAGAGTCAGAAAATAGAGATTTTAATTCCTTTGTATCCCGAATCCGCTTCCCGTAATCATCGTAAACAGCTATACTCCAAGTACCTACAACCGGTTGGGGGCTGAGGTAGTGACGGGCCACTGGTAGCCAGCGGCGTCGCTGAACTTGTAGCCGTATGAAGCAGTGAAGTCATCAAGAACAGCGGGTCCACGGGAGCCTAGATCAATCAAATTAGCTATATGTCATGGTTGGAAAATGGTAAAAAAAAAGCGGGTAAGCTCACCGTAGGGGTACTCCATGGGGATGATCTCCTTGTTGTCATCCAGGTAGTGCAGGAGGGGAGTGAAGATGCGCCAGCTGGCATCCAACTCGTCGTCACGGACGAAGTTGGAGTGATCGCCCTTGAAGGCGTCCAAAATCAGGGACTCGTAGGCCTCGGGGATCTTGAGGTCGGAGAAGCGGCGGCGGTAAGTCAAGTCCAGCTCGGTAACCACCGTCTGCATGGAGAGACCGGGCAGCTTGGAGTTCATCTTGATATAGACGGACTCGTTGGGCTGGACACGGATGACAAGCTCGTTACGGGGAATATCCTTGAAGATACCGGAAGTGACATCCTTGAACTGGATGCGGACCTCGGTCTTCTGCTCGTTCAGGGCCTTTCCGGCCTTGAGGATGAAGGGAACACCGTCCCAACGCTCGTTCTTAATGTATGCAACCATCGCGCAGAAAGTCGGGCAACGCGACTCCTTGGGCACAGTATCGTCCTCCAGGTAACCGGGCTTGCTGCCGTCGAGGGATCGACCGTACTGGCCGATGATGACGTTCTTGGGCTCAATAGCATCCATAGCGCGGAGAACACGGACCTTCTCGTCACGGATATCCTCGGAAGAGAAGGAGATGGGGCGCTCCATGGCGAGCAATGTGAGAACCTGCAGAAGGTCTATAGGATTGTTAGCATCTATTACTGCATCTAGTCAATGTGACCGAATATACTTACGGTTCTGCATAACATCACGGATAATACCGAACTCATCGAAGTAGCCACCACGGCCCTCAGTGCCGAAAGGCTCCTTGAATGTAATCTGCAGCTGATATTAGAACCCGAATTCCGGAATGAGATCGCTTCATCACATACCTGAACGTTATCGATGTGGCGGCGGTTCCATGTGGCGTTGAAGAACTCGTTGCCGAATCGCAGAATTAGGATGTTCTTGACCATCTCCTTACCAAGGTAGTGATCGATACGGAAGATCTCATCCTCCTTCCAGTTGGGCTCCAAAGCCTTCTGGAGGTCGCGCGAGCTCTGAAGATCCTTACCGAAGGGCTTCTCGACCTATTAAAAAAAATAGGTGTATCAATATGAGGTTCATTTTTCGGCCGGGCTGTCCAGAGAAACTCACGATAATGCGAGCGAGACCGCTCTTGGGGTAGCAGTTGCGCTTCAGCTGCTCGGACACAGTGGTGAAGACACTGGGGGGCAGTGCCATATAGAACACGCGGTTCTGCTCCTTCGATTGACGGTTGTTCTCGATCTCCTCAAGGTGCTTGTTCAGGTTGATGAACGAATCATCTTGATCATATTGGCCGGAAACGTAGGTGCACATCTTGCAGAACTGATCTAATTGATCTTCAATCTCCTTTGTGGGGACCTTGATGTACGAGCGAACGCGCTTGAGGTATTCGTCGGTGTCCATCTTTGTCCGCGCATATCCAACGATCCGAATGTCCTTGGGAAGGAATTTGTTGCGGAACTATGTCAAATTTGTAAGTGGGTAAGAACTGGAATGGTTAGTGGAGATAGCACATACAAGGCCAAAGAGTGCAGGGAACTATAAATTGGTTAGTATGTGAAGAGTCATCATATTCTGGAGGGGTACGAACGGTCTTCTTCTTCGCCAAATCACCAGATGCGCCTAGTACCACAATGATGGTATCATCCTTAAGCTCGATGGTGCTGAATGCGATGTCCATTGTCAGTGTTGTGTTTAATTGATCGAGAAAGATTTTTGCATTTGAAGCGGCAATTGAGGGGTTGAGTGGGGGAGCTCTCTGAGCAGACAAAGACTGCGAAAGCGTTCAAGAAAGGGATTGACTATTATCGGTATGAAGGTAATAACTCCAAAATAGCACAATCTTAGGGATAGGTTGAAGTTGAATTGAGCTGTGGCACCGGGCTTCCGCAACCGGGGGGAGGGGGAGTGATGTCAGAGACACAGGAGGGGAAACTCACCCAGCACCCTGGCGGTCATCGCTCTGGTTGATCACACTAGTCATCTTGCACCGACCGCTTAATACACAGAATGAAGGCGAAAAAAAGTAGAGCGAGTTTGGAAAAGGGAAAGAGGAAGAGGAAGATTGTTGAGAACTGCAACAGGATCCGGCGGAGTACTTTTTAACGGAAGTCGCTCACAGCTTCGGCTGGTGGGGCTTCTGGGTATCGTATGTATGTATTTTATGATTTATGACTTCAGGGTATTTATCACTTTTCTTTGTTTTTGATTTTGATTTTCTTTTATATTTACGGAGTACGGAGTAGAGTCTACCGATATACATATATACATACACTTTGTATATTATGATTCTCTTCTTCTAGTAATATCGGCCTTAGGACCTGCTCCGAGCCTCGTGGCAATTCCAGTCAACTTTCAACTTTCTTATATAAAGTCCTCTTAACTCCGGTCTTCAGGATCACCCATTGTCTCTAGGATCCTGCGGGATCTTACCCGTTTTGATTATTCATAACCCCGCGGAGGCTACCATCGGTATCAGCGCTGCTTATAACTACGTCGGGACTCGGGGTCGGGGTGATACAAAGTACGTCGGATGAATTGTTAATAGTATCCGCCGTGAGCATGTCGCTTATCCTTGTTCTGATACCATCCTGGGTCTATTTTAGAGAGGAAAAAACTAGGGTGGTCATCTGATAAGAGGTGCAGTTCACTTATAGGTGCGGATCACACTGCACCCAACAGGCTAAATTCGATTATAGTACGAGGTACGTGTCCATAACAATCTCCAATATTGTACTCCGTAAGTTCAATTCTGTATAGGGAGTTCTAGTAGTTATGTACATTATGGACGGATTTGCGGTCAGCCTGTATAATATGCACATGTATCTAAAGCGGAGCTACATTGGAATAACTATCACTTCGAGGGGAAGGTTGCAGCGTGTCCACTAAAATCCCCTACGAGAGTGTATCAAAATTAAAGTACCGAACCTGCAAGAACAGGTACAATACCACGTACCTCAAAGCACGCAACTCGATAAGAACTTCTACCGGTGACCCAAATCGTGGGGATGGATCGGCACATTTGTCATTTTGTCCCAGACGGATTCTATTTTCCCGCGAGAGGCCACTTTCTTAAGTCCGGTTCGAGACTGGTATTAACCCGATCTACGATTAGAGGGGTCCGAATCCGGAGCATACATATTAACCGTTGAGTGCTACTTGGGGGCTATACTACATAGTACTATACTACCCTATCCATACTCCGTACTCCGTCCTCTAACGCTAATTTAGTTCCTGAGGTCTCTCGTATCAGTCTTGAAAATTGTCACAAGTTTTGATGAATACCTATGAAATACATACATACAGCATAACCGGTCTCAGATGTAATTAGTGATCCGTCAGCCAGGATGTGGGGCAGGATACAGGAACTTCTAGATTTCCCAATCAGTGGTCTCGGTCTGAAGTATATCAATATGCCGGAAGGCTACCCGGATCATGTCACTGTTGTCCTCTGAAGATTTTGATTGTTCCTGTTCTCAAGAAGCTGGCGAGGATGGATGAGAACAATTATTCACTTCCTAAACCTGCAATAGGCTTGCACATTGCTTTTTGTTGAGTGAAACCTTCCAACTTTGAAGGTGGGAACCCCTGTCGTCATGGCTTAAGTTTGTCAGCTGGAAAGCTGCAGGAGAAGGTGCCGGTCGGATCACAGTAGCCCGAGTGGCAGAAAAGAACAGAAGGGCGGTAAATGATCGGTAAATGACCACATTCGGAGCTCGGAACGGAGAAACAATACTCCAAACAAAAGCTTATCTCATCTCAAAATTCTGCCTATCTACCCGCTGATGTAATACTTGAAGCGGTGTATCTATCACGGGATCTCGCTTAGCCCTGATATATCACGTGGATGGTGGCTCGCTAAGATCCCGTTTGGGCTAGGGCGAAAACCAACACACGGCTGCCCAAATTGATTGTGCGCCTGACTCTATCGAAGCGACGACAACCACGACAAACGGGAACGACTTTTGATCTTGCGGGTCATTCCTTCGACTTTCTTTCCTTGCCCGCTCCCCAGAGAAACGCCGACACAATGCCTTCGGAACAAGGACACCGCCGTGAGTGAATCCCTCGAACGTCTTATCGATCGTCGTTTTGGTGGTCTCGAAATCGCAAAGCGGCATATTGAGGACGCACCTTGTGTGGTCGCACACTGGATAAAAGACATGTGCTAACTATTTCTTCCTTTTTCTAGTCTACGTCAAGTAAGTTACCACCGCACTTTCATCGTCGCATTTAAGGATACACCAATTCGAGATGGAGAACCGATTTGGGGAACACAAGACATCGCCACTCAAATCGAAGCAACACACACGATATGGACAGAGCATTAATACGAATTTCTTTTTTACAGGGGACGTCACCTGAGCTTCCAGCGCTCCAAGCACGCCCTTACCCCCAACACCAGGTATCTACACCCTGCGCACATGAAATTCAATACTCGATGAATGGAATCTGATATATGGTTATACAGCTTGGTCAAGATCGAGGGTGTTGATGACACCAAGTCCGCCAAGTTCTACCTTGGCAAGAAGGTCGCTTTCGTTTACCGTGCTAAGCGTGAGGTCCGCGGCTCCAACATTCGGGTGATCTGGGGCAAGGTCACCCGGCCGCACGGTACGTGAATTCAACAACCAGTCTCAAGACCATCTCCGAATGGCCCTCTTGAGCCTGGGAACCCTCGAACTCGAATTTCGTTTTATCTGACTCGTTCCAGGCAACTCCGGTGTTGTGCGCGCCAAGTTCCGCAACAACCTCCCCCCCAAGTCCCTCGGCGCTACCGTCCGCGTTATGCTCTACCCCTCCAACATCTAAACGGCTTCTTTGTGTTGTTTTCAGTGGGCGATTCCCTTCTTCGCACAGACGGTCGGTCAGGCAAGGAAAAGTCGACGGAACGAGCCGATGTTGATTTGAGGTGATGGAGTTGGCGGGTTGATAACGTTTTGTTCGTGGGAGAAGGCAGGGCCAACAAAGCCCTACGAATCAAAAAATTTTACACTTTCATAGCTGTGTCGACCCAAGATACTGGGAACGAGCTTTTGTCTCGATATTTCTCCTTGTTCTTACAATTGGCGAGCATGATGTGTCTGGTCGCGCAGCGTCACTTCTCCCATTGTGTATCTGACGCTTAAACGCACCAAATTCCATACCATTTCAAATTTCAACAGACCGGTCAATCGATCCGCTTCTTCGTGCGTCTGTCTTTCCATTGGTTTTAGAAGAAATTGCATTTCCTTGCTTTGGCTCCAATCTACCATGGCATGCTTGTTTTGCGAACCTAAATTATACTCCCATGGCAACAAGGATACACAGACCTCGGTCGTAACATTTTAGAACTTAGCTATAGCTCTAGCACTCATAGACCCTGTGCGGCCTGGTTCGGCCTGATCCCCAGGTTGGTGTGGATCCGCCTCCCCATGTGGTACCATCTGAATCTCCCACAGTAGAGGACATCGTTGTTTTTTTCGCTTTATCCAAGTGTATATATCGATCTTCTATGTTCCATTTTATTCCAAATTCAAGTGCCACGCTTTTTTTTTCAATCTTCAGTTTTCCAATAAAGTCAGTAAGCGAAAATATATATATCCCAACATAAAATCCGATCCGAACTCCACTCTATCCGAAGTATATATCTCCGAGTAAATAAAATCAAAACCAGGTATCCTAAATCATAAACCCCAACACTAAGACATTCCATCATGAATCTTACAAACTTTCCTTGTGAATCGACTGTCTATGCGCTTTCAAATTCTCCCGTCGACTCGAAGCATGATCACACAAGGGACACTTGAAAGCCCGTGGATTGACATGCTGAGTCAGGATATGCCGCATGAGCACACCTTTCCGCGAGAACAAACGGTCATATTGGCAGTCCTTCCATTCGCATTTGAACGTCCCGTAAGTATCGCTGTCCCTAGATGAAGTGTGTTCAGTATATGCATAGCTACAATAGTTGCAGGAAAAAAACAGAAAATACACACTTTTGTGTGGCTGTAGGGCGACGAGAACGACACGGCATTTTGGTCTGGCTACCATCCTTGCCAGTCTCATCCGGCTGAAGTGTCTCTTTTATTATGGGAGTTGAGACAGGAAGATCATCCCATGGACTGGGACATCTGGTGTCGTAGAGGCTTGCTGGGGAGAGGGCGGTGTTGATTGCTTGGGGCAGAATAGATCTTGGGCTGTGGTTGTTGATTGAATGCTTGATGGTGCTTGGGTGTAGATAAGACGATAAATGAGGGGGAGACAGCACTGCCCCAAGGGCAACCGGCGTAGAGGGGAGCTGTGCGGAGGGAATTTGCAGCTGATAGTTGTACGAAGGAGGCCGCGCAATGGTCGTCCGCGTGGTGATCGATGGATCAGGCGACGGAGACATGAAAAGAGTCTCAGGTTGTCTGAGATTCTTAGCTTTCCAATGCCCCGACTCGCCATCAGACCACTGAAACGCGGACTCCGGGATAGTTGAGTTGTTGTTTTTGCGTGTTGGCCACGCCATCATAGTATAATCGCCGACCTAGTTGTAGAGAGTGAGCCAAGTCACACGAGTACTAGGTGGGTGGTTATATAGAAGAAAATTTCTTTGAGCCGATGATGGGCATTCGAGAATTTATAAAATTTTCGACATTGTGATTCTGGGTACACAACTTCACCAAAAGAAAAAGCCAAAACGCGAAAATAGGTGAAAACAACCTTGGGAGACGTAACTACTCGGAATAACCCCCAACTTCCAGGTTTGTTCTGGAAAACCAGTCTTACGTTCTAGAAAGCAGGGGGTTTGTTCTGTGCATTAGGTCCATGCTCAGAGACAAGCATGATTCCAAATAATACAACTCGTTGATGAAGGCTATTTTTGCGGGCTGAGTAGATCCCCCAGTCTTCCAGAACCCTTGGTTGCAGGGAACTCATCGTCTGTGTCACTGATTTCTATTGATAAGTCTTCTGGCCCCAAAAGTGGACGCCCAAAGTGGCAGGAGAGTAATGTGAAGTGTGATAATGCTGCAGGATGCAGGCTACAAGCCAATCATGTCGATGCATTATTGACGCTAAAAGCAACTTATATGTATAGAGAGCGAGAGTGATCAGCATGTATACTAGATCTGAACCCCCAGCTTGGGTCGTTACAAGGTCCGATGTGGTACATAGTGCATTTTCCTACGAGATTACAGAGTTAGCAAGCAGCTAAATTGTGCGTGTAGTATTCCCATTTCTATGGACCTGGGTTTAGGAATCGGTGATTATTCAACGATGAACTTGTTCTGCTTGGCCACGTCATATCTATGCCGATCATTAAATATGGGGAGTCGCGAGGCTGATTGGGGACATACGAGAGATCGACACACTCTCATTGCTCCTTTGTAGGTTCATTTCTTTCCTAACTTTTCCTTTTTCCTTTTAACATCTTCGACTTCATTTTATGCTTGTGCCTTTGCATCATGCAGTTAGACTCTAATAATAACGGTTGTAGAGCTATCCAAAAAAATACCTCACTGCGTGAACTATTTCATAAAGTGAACATGGATGTGGCAGGGATTATGATTTCAGGGTTGCACTGCCTTAAATAGGCCTAGCGCTGAGGGCGATCAGAAATATTAGAATATTAGAATATCATCAGTACATATATCTATTGTGGGAACTCTAATTTAGTTATAACCATCCATAAATAGCATGATATGAGGTTAATGATCCTCCTGATGATGCTACAGCGGTTATACCGTTAAGTTAGGGTTCCGGCAGGATGCCGTGACTTACAGACCGGTCGATCCCAAATTTACCCCGGGATATGGAAGGATATGTAAATGATAAAAACGAGCCTCAATTAATCCACAGGAGTCAAGCGCCGAGTGTGATTATATGTGATAGGAGCTGCATTGGTGGGCTCGTATACGCTCACGCATGGGGCGGAGTTTAGTTGCATGAGCTGGCAGTCCAATTATTATTGCTATAACAATAATTATTATTATTTTACCTCCCGCTTAATCCCCTATTATTTCTTGCCCCCAATCAAGAGATGGCTATTCCAAAAACCAAGCACAAGCATAAGCACAAGCACAAGCGCAAGCACAAAAACGCCGGGTATCATTGAATATCAAACTAAACGCCGATCCACTACTCCGTATGCTCAAAGCTGAACACAAATTTCACGCAAGCTAAGCACAAATTCCAGTAGTCCCAACGCCATTGCAAGTTCCATTCCTTTTTTTTTTTTGTCTTTTTTGTCTTTTTTGTCATATCAGCTGACGATGAACTCTTCCCATATGCCCGGCCAAATTGTCCCGTCGACTAAACCGCTTGCCACACGAAGAGCATCTGAATGAGCGCGGCTCGACATGCTGCGTTTCTATATGACGCATGAGGACTCCCTTGCAGGAGAACATACCGCGGTATGTGCAGTCTTTCCAGTTGCATTGATACGTGCCGTGAAGTTCGCTAGAATGACAGGGATGGTGTTAGCGTGGTGATGACGTTAGCTTGGCACTAGAGAAATGACTGACTCTTGCCTCGGTTGAAGTCTTTGGGCAGCGCCATAGGTAGTCTGGATTTCATGACCACCGATGCCTGATTGGGGGAGCTCTTGCATAGCGGGAGTGGATCCTCTCGACCCCGACGGCGTAGTGCATGCACTACTAGGCCCAGAGCTGAGATACCCCATGGAGGGCTCTCTGAGCCTGTTGTTCTCGATCGAGGGGTGGTGTACTGTATTGGGATTGGGAGGATCGAAGTCGGTATGAGTGAAACGAAAAGGCACGGGGTAGCTGGAATGAGCTGGTGCGGAGGGGTGTTGCATGGAAGTATTGTACTGAAGATGGTTCTCGGAGAACATCGATGGCTCGGCCGCGAGGGAGGGCGGGGCCTGGTGAGCAGTAGACTCATAGGGGTAACAAATACCCCTAGCATTCTGCTGCTCATCAGGCGTACCGGAACCGTTCGAGGGGATGTTGAATTGAGACCATGCCATCGTAGATTGAGAGAGAAGAGTGATTGGGAGATGTTGGATAAGTAAACAGATATATGGAAGCGAAAGTATGTAATCAAGACAGTTCAGCTGGCGGTTGGGTTCATTTCATGTATTTATATGCCCGAAATTCAAGGGTGAAGAGTCAACGTGTTAGTAATTGTGGCTTTGCTTCACCTTATTGCAAGCCACAGGATTTGGGTGAGTTGATGGAATTGGCCCATCCAATAAGAGAGAGGAAGTTAAACCGGGCAGTGTAGTCAAATCGAGGTTCAATCTTCTCTGATAGGATCCACGACTGTACCCAGACCGTAGAATGTAACAGAGATGACGTAAGTGCGAGCTCAGAGAGGGGAAGGAGAGGGGAAACTGGAGTGGGGAGGTGGATAATAGGCTGGAGGCTGAAGGGAATATCTGATCTTTCCCTGAATGGACTAGATACTCTTAGATCCCTTGGGCATCCATGGATGTTTTCGGGAAGATGCCGAAGGGACACAGCCTGAACCTCCCGAAGCTCCAAGGACACTCAGACTCACATGAGCACGTAAGCTGAACTTCAAATCAACACGGGTGGCCTTGCAGCATTATATGTCCAATCCTGATCATTCCATGCCAAAGCGGATTTTATGCTACTCACTATTCCATATTGATTGTTCTTGGTAGAACCGTTTCAAAAAATCCATTCAATATCCACACCGAGGGGTTCCAATGTATTGCCGATCACTGGCACTCCCGGGCGAACCAGATTGACCCGGTTAGTTTGCCTAATGTTTCCCTGACGTGTCCATCCAGTAAAGACAGGTCAATCCGCCGACTTGCTTCTAGAGTCTAGACCAGTCGTCTCAGCCCTTTGGTGTCTGTGACCTTATTTTTTTGGTTCGTGTTAACAACCCTGTCAATCAGTCACTTGATCACATAAATCCTAATATTTGCCTTGGGCCGCTCTGAATTAAATCTGGACTCGAATTTTACTATGCACTTCAATTGGGCTCTTTCCGTAGGTCCTTCCCGACAGTCCTGTGATTCTACGGTTGCATTGCAATATGCCTGGGGATCTGTAGTTGTCATGCAGAAGTGACTTACTCATATACTATGAATAGTAGAATACAAGAGGTCAACATTCAGAGTGGAGAGTTGGTAAAAGGAGAAGGAAGCTATCTATGGATGTAATCTCAACAAGAACTAGGTAGTTGTAGCGAAACAAAACAAGTCAAAAGAAAGCATGGGTGTACGCTATCGCACGAGCATGACACCGCTGACGAGGCTGTAGCCATGCCTTGATCTCATAAACTGCTACTAGCTAAATTTCTCTAAGAAAAGAGTGTATTTAATTCAAAATTCTAAGTACAGCAAAAGAGAAAGGGAGTAGAGGTAGAGTTAGTGGGGGAGAACGGTGGGTCGCCCTGATAGACAGCAGATGGACCCACACTCGTTGAGGAACTATGGATGCTCGCAGACTAAGATATCAGAACACAAACTAAGAAGATAGTCTAGGGATCACAACACAGTGAAAATCAATAGATAAACGAGATATATCGATTTATATGGGGGTGGGGTAAACAAGGAAGGGGATATAGAGAGCGATCTGTCTATGTATCTGGTGGCCTGACTAATCAGGCACCCAACACAAAGCAATCGCACTGTAGACAGGAATCAGTTTCACAGGGAATCCGTCAATACCAATTCCGACAAGCAGCCGCAAAAAAAATTGAAATAGGTGACTACCTTGGGTAGTACCAAGGGCAAAATTGACAAGAATTAGCCAGGAAGATTTAGTATCATCAAAGAATGGAAGCCGAAGGCCATGGACTTTGTCGATCATCTCGAAGTGAGGCCAAAGAGGGTCATATATCATCAAGGTCATAGCACCAGTAAGCCTGATTGAACGGCACTTTGAACAACTTTCCATACATAGTACAAACTGGCGACAAAACTTTGCTCGAGACCTTACCGTCGCTAGGTATGCGCAGTAATTTACTGCGTTTACCGGTATGGGGCAGATCCTTCGCATAATGCAGGCAGATATACATCATTGGTGCCATTGGTCGGGGAGAGAGGATGTGTGAAGTGCTCTATTCCGTCGACTGATCGCCACCTACCAAAGTCCGTAGTATCATACCAAGGGCATTTTGTAGCTCCCCGAATGTGGCGGCTCCTCACGATCAAATCCTCCTGAAAAATAGAATTGGAGTATTTGGCGGACCCGATAGGAAGATGACGATGCGGAGACAGGGCGAAGAAGAACATGTAAAAAGATTTCAAAGATTCCGAATAGCGGCACTCATCAAAGGAGCATCACCTCCTCCAGCTTCCCCAGAAACATCATTGAGAGGTAGCAACACGAGAAGCACATCAATGTGAACCTGCATCTCCAGCTGAACGACGGATTTCGTGCAGAGTGGGAAATTTCCCCCACTTGCTGATAGCCGAACTAACCAAAAATGTGAGTACCGTAGAAACATCAAAAAAACCCGGAGGATAAGCTCTCACAAATACTCCTCCTCAGATGAACCGTCGCCTCTCCTTGATGATCGTTGGTGAAAGAGGGGGAGACGGGGTTAGTTTATAGGCAGGCAGATAGGAAAAGGTGCACTGCTCGCAGTCGCAGTCCCGGTCCTTATAGTAGAACCGGCTGTAAAGGTCTCGAAGAGTATAGCGTCGGCTGTCATCTTCCCACAGAGGCTTTTGTCCCTAACGAGACTCCTCTTACTCAACCATCCGGGCATTCTCAACTGCTTCGCTATCCTCATAAATTAAATATCAATGAACTTGTTCTCTTCGCCGAGGGAGGTGGTGTCACCATAGACAGAACGATCCTGCCACCCACAAACCTGACTATTCTCGGCTCTAATGGACAGAAATGGCTTTGTGGAACAAGCTCTCGGCTCATTCATTGCGGTTTTATCTTCGCCGAGGAGGCCATTCGACTCCCACGCTGCATTGACAATCGCCACCTGCGTGATGACAGACGGGGGACAGGTGTTAGTATGGTGCATCTCTTGGCTGTCAGTTTCCACCAGTTACAACTGGTTGATACCTGCATCTTGTCTTATTGGCAAAGTCTACCAGACGACTGTATTCTGGTTGTTCGGCTCGAAGTTCCCGTGCTTCTTGCGAGAAGCCTGGTCTCGGATCTTCCTGTCTAAGTGTCGATGCAAGATAGGCTGATTGAAAAGTTGGACTGAGAAGCATGGTTCTGTGCCAAATTTTTGGAAAATACCAGGCCTGTGGTACTTTGAACCTTTTTGCCCGGCGACCATGTTCCTCTTCCTAACTCCGCGTTTTTTGGCCGAGGTCTTACCAGGACGTATGAACCGTCCGTATCATGGGATCCGTGACGCCAGCGTCCACTTCCTTCCCGAATAGGGTCACAGGAAGCAACAGGATCACATGAGACTTCCCAGTCCCAGCTTTGCCATCGAGATCGATCACAAAGGGAGCGGAACCGTGCATAAGAGAGGCGAGATACTGCAGAAATAGTTGACCAAGAGGTACTCGCCTCACCAACGGAAAAATCCACCAGTAAACTCGTATCAAGATCTGAATCTGTGGTCCTTGACATCCTTGAGGCGAGTTTGTGCGACTTTTAATTCTTTCGATCTTGCGATTCGAAACGAAATAGATTCACCAGCAAAATCCCACATCTCATTGTTGGCCTCGGGGAGTGCTGGGTGAGGCGAAGAAGGAAACTTCGACAAGTGTAGGGTCAGCCAGCATGGCTTGTTCCCAGTAGTCTAGAGAGATATCGAGGTCCCTATCACGGTCCAAATAGGGTATTGATCGGTCCACTTGAGGCCTTGCGAACTTCTCTGGGTCTGCCGCTGTAGGTCTTCCAGGCGGTCGACTGCTAACTCCTCGAACTTGCGCCGTCACTAGCAGCACTCAGCGATGACCCGATCCTTCGCACGTTGAAAGGCTTCGACTTCGTCTTTGAGAAAGGTGATGACTTCTTGATGGAACAGTCCTTCGATCTATTTACTCAAGTGATCTTTGAACAGGCTTCCCGTCGGTCACCATCCGAATCTTCGAGTCCCGACGCGCTTGAACGCCTAGGACGCCTAGACAGTCCGTGGATGGTCCGCAGCCAGATTGGAACCGAGTGCTTATTGACTTTTCCGGATTTCACCAGCCCTGGATCATGGCAGTATCGACATTGGCGGACGAACCCCATATTCGCGAGATGGGTATCCAGGTGCTGGATTCTTCATTACGTTTCTTCGAATTTTCACTGGCATTCTCCGCATCGCGAACTTGCTCTTGACTCCGTGCCACGGAGCCTTGGCTAGGAAATTCCCACCCAGGGGTTTTCGTGCATGTTGTCGAACAGATACTTGACCTCACGTATAAGCGATTGTAACTGAGATATCACCATGTCTTTCTTTAACAATGGACCCGAGATAAATGCCAGAACGGGGCCCCTGGCTTGCATTTGTAAGGTGGTGGCATAAACAAAGATGGGTGCTCTTGATCGAATCCCTGAGCTCGCACTTCTGTACCACGGATCTGCTGATCTGAAGTTTCCACCTTACCTTGCGAGTGGGTGTTGTGAGTCATACAAGCACCCGTGAATGGATGATATTATGAACGTGATGGCTTCCATCGTGTTCTTTATAGAATGCATGGATGGTAGGGTAGCTGTGGCATGTGCTCGAACTGTAGTTGCTAAGTTATTGTCAGCATAAGCAAATAGGCAAGATAGTAGATTCTCCCAGGACATACCATGGGTATACTTTGATGAAATATATGAGTGAGAAATGAGCGAAGAATGAAAGAGAAGTGAGAAAAGAGATGAGGTATCTCTGAAAGTGAAGTGAGAGGGAAGTTAGGGAAAGACAAACTGTGAGCGAGGCTTAAGTGAAGTCTGGCTGCTGATGACCCGGGATGGCCAGCATCGGAGCTCAACTTTCAAGCAAGCTGGGAAGTGAAGTATAAGGGGAGAAAAAGCATGGATTCAGCCAGAGCGCTGCCCAGAGGTATATGGGGAGGAGGAGGAAGAGAAAAGGAGGGGGAGATACCACCCTTATATAGGAGTATGATTATGCCAACTTAAGGCACAAACATTGTTGGATGTCTTAACAAGATATCAGAACAGAGGGAAGGTGGGGGTAAATAAGTTTGCTGTGGGGTCGGTGGGGTAAGGACTTGTTGAATGGCTCACTTCTTTCTGATTGGTTTATAATTTATAGAGCATTTCTGGTAAAAGTTCAAAGGGGGACCATCTTTGTATGGTATGTTAACATTGCCCATTCTAATAAAGCGGCAGCCATGTGGTTCTAGGACGAATCTCGACCATTGGAAAAAGAAGCCGTGAAGATTTAAACACTACCACCCCGAGTATGGCTCGACCTGGGCTCATATAGTAGTGCTATAAGTTTGGGGTTATTCAGATATTATACCGGATGTACAGCAAGCAATAGGAGTGGACTAAGATAGTATAATATAACATGTGTTGTTTCCCATGAGAAAGCTTCTGACATGTCGACGTGTACTTATACCTACAGTTGAGTCCAGTGATAAATGGAGCTTGATAAAGAAGACATGCAGGGATCAAACTTGGCATAGAATTTATGCATTTTTGTGCAATTAGCTTTATTTATTATAGACAAAGGCTCAACATGCATCATAACTCATATGCGAACAGTAACCAAGGACAACTCCGAGATAACCCAGTGAGAGGAGTTTGGTGCTGCCATGATAAAAGACCCGATTAAACAATATGCATTAACTTTGAAAAAAATATGAGCCAGAAAACTTGGAGGGGAGAAAGTATGAAGGGTATCCAGAAGGGGAGAAAAATTAGGCCTCGATTTCAGGCTTCGAGTTATCCTTGCGCTGAGAGTCGATAAGCTCCTGGCGGGCACGCTCTTGCTCAGCAAGGCCGGTCTTCTGGATGGTGTGATGGCGAGTCAGCTCACGACGGCGGATGAACAAAGCGAGAACAAAGCCAAGACAAGCCATGCAGGTATAGAAGATCCACATGCGGTTCAGGGCATGTGTATATGCGCCCAGGACGACCTCGCGCTGGGAGGGAGCAAGGCTGTTGACGAGGGATTTGGAGGAGCCACCGAAGGAAGCCATAATAGTAGCAGCAGTTTCAGCGCCTAGGGAGGCGATGAGCTTGGCTGATTGTTGACCCATTATGTTTTGGTAAATGACGGTGCCCAGAACGACGGACATCGAAGTGGAAAGTTGACGGACGAAACCGAAAGTAGCTGTTGCCGTGGCCATGTCCGCGGGACGGATGTTGGCCTGGAAAGCGACCAAAGGTGCCTGGAAGTTGGGGCCAATACCGACACCGGCGATTAACTGGTAGATGATGATCCGGGGCCATGAAGCGTAGGCCTTGAGGTCGATGAAAAGACCAAATCCAAGGGCCATCAAGGACATACCACCGATAATCAGCTCGCGGAAGCGGCCGGTCTTCTTCATAACGACACCCGTGGCCGCTGAGCCGACGGCAAGAGACATCACCAGAGGCAAGACATACACACCACTCATGATGGGACTTGCCTGGAGGACTGTCTGGAAGTAAAGTGGCAGATAGTAGGTAGCGGCGATGAAGGTGAATCCGTGGCAGAAACAAACGAGCAGGATGAGAATGTTGTACCACTCGTTGAACAGCCGCGGGGGAATGATCGGGAACTTAGCAACCTTCCATTCCAGGAACATTGCCAGAGCCCAAGTGAACACACCGAAGACAATCAGGCAGATGACGGTAGGTGAGGCCCAGGGGTAGTTGACGCCTCCGAACTCCAACCCGAAGAGGAACATCAGGGTTCCACCGATGATTAAGAATGTTCCTGTCCAATCAATACAGCGCAGACCAGCCCAGAATGGAGTCTTGGGCGATTCAATGTGAAGGAAGAGAACAAGGATAGCAAGTGAGACACCTCCAACAGGAAGGTTGAGATAGAAACACCAGCGCCAAGTCACATTTGTAGTGAAAGCTCCACCAATAACAGGACCAAGAGCGCCTGCGACGGCCCAGGTTGCGCCGAAAAGACCGTAGTACATCGGGCGATCTCTGTATAGAAGTTAAGTTAGCAGTATTCTACCCCCAGACCAAGAAGCCACCATACCTCAAGCTGAAAAGATCCGAAACACTGATGTTTGCCAGGATAATGATACCACCACCACCAACACCCTGGACCGCTCGACCTGCGATGATGGTGGCCATGTTATGCGCCAAAGCACAGATCAGACTGCCGACCAGGAAGACAACATTTGCCAAGACAATGATAGACTTTCTTCCCCAGATATCACTGATCTTACCCCACAGGGGGATACAGGCGGCATTTGCCAAGAGATATGACGATGCGATCCATGAGAAACCGCTCTCGGAGGCACCAAACTGGGCGGCGATAGTGGGGAGGGCGGTGGAAATGATAGTCTGCAAGAAATCAACGTTGGTAAAAGCTCAGGCAACCTTCCAAGCAAGGGGGTGAAGAAACGAGCACGTACCATATCCAAAGCCGCCAAAAATAGAGCCAACTGAAATGTGACAGCGAATTAGTTTTCTGTACTCCCCGAACGTTTTCCTATCGGAGGTGTTCTTACACATAGCGCCGTCATCACGACAATGATCTTATTCTTGCCCATTTTTGCCGCCTGTGAGGGTGCGTGATCTAGGGGCGCACCCTCCGTTGTCTTTTCCGTCACGTTCTCTGCATCGTTAGGTCGATCGGCTGCTTCAGTTTCGTCTTCGGGGATATCGATGGGCTTTTCCACGTTGGGTTGCTCGAGATCAGTGCTACTGCTCGAGGCATCTGGTTGCTGACGCTCGCTCATGATGTGTTGGGGGGGAAATAGAAAGAAGAAAGGTTTTTTTTTAGAAAGACAGAGTTAAGGTCTGTCTAAACTAAGAAATGTTTGCCGATCGCGAAAATTTTCTTTATTGCTAAAAGGATAGAAGCAACATGATAGATATATTTAAAAAAAAGGCGAACAGATCGGATCTCGTATTTTCGGAGTTTAGAAGAGCTGAGGAATCAAATTGCATCTGGAGTGGATCCCTGAATTCGGGGTCGGCCGTTCGCAAGCACCGATTCCGACCTTAAGAAGGATGTACCTAGAAACTATACGCGAGAAAAGATTATATTTTCCGATAGTAAATGCTAACAAAGACTATAGTGACAAAAAGAGCACTGAAAGAAGCTGAGTTACGGCTGAAATACAGAAATTCCCAAAAATGACACCAATTGGAAAGGAGCACATTTAAGACGTGAGTCATTGGTTATTAGCGATTACGACATGGTTTTACTATAATGACGCTAGCGCATATTGTGCTGTATAAATCTGCCCCCGATTTAGGAAACACGATCTCTGACTTGAAGAGTGAGAATGAGACGAGGGAACAGAGTAGCTGTCAGCCGTCAAAAACGGATAGATTTACTTCTGATAAATGGTCTACATACGTTGACAAGTAAGTAAGAGATCATTTCTGTTGATCTCAACGATGAAAGGCATAATACAAGGATCAGAAGATATCTGTTACGGAGAATTACCTACAATGGAACCAAACTAGCTATGTTAAGGATGATTGTCATTTGGCGAGAAACAGTTTCCCTGACCTGAGCTAGGTCACTTGTGTAAAGGGCTTGAGAACTTCCAGATTTGAATACTTGGAATAACAGAGCGCAAGCCACCAGAATTAAGTTTCTTGATTAAAGGGCATAGGCGGCCCGTAGTCACCCTAATTTGAAAGATTGAGGCGTAACAAGATACGATACTTGCTCTTTTGACGTCACATGAACCTTGACGGCCCGTCACAGGACACACCATGTAATCACAGCTTGCAACTACTCAAATATGAGAGTCATTGCAGATGTTGAGCAGAGACCCATTGGAATTGTAGGTGTAAGGATTTGGTTGGAGCCAGCGAAGTGTGAAATGTAGCTAGGGAAGGGTCCCTTCAGACTACGCTACTTCTACCTGGAGGCGGCAGTCAGGGCCATGAAAATTGTTGAGAATTGAAAGATAGTGTTTTAAGCCAGCAAAGTCATGACCAGTTTTCATCTGTGGGAATCCCCTTGCGATATTGCGCCCAAAGCGGAAACTGCAATTTTGGATACTTGCATGACGCCGCCGTGGCATGCCGCCTTGGTGACCACAAAAATTGCAGACGGGAACGACAAGGCTCATTTGGGATTGCCGTGGTAACAGGTTACTCGTAGGCAAGTATGTCATTTGCATGGAAATGAGAGGTGAAAAAACGGCGATAGCAATCAAATTAAGCGGACACCGCGGATTGAGAAGGGAAGTGGAGAAGAGATATCCCTCGACGAAGCCATGAATGAGAGCTTGGATTATATGAGGCTTTCTGAGCCAGTCTTTGACCGCTGGATTTTCACATTTTTGTGGCACGGAAGACTTGAAACAGTATTCTCCGAGGGTGGGGTTTGGGGAAGCGTAAAGTGAGGTTCTCCAAGAAGCCATGAGTGATGGCTTAGGGTTTTCAAAAAGATTTCCCAAGCGCGTCTTCGACCATCAAATTAGCAGGGTCTGATGTCGTTCCAAGAGGCCTCAAGCAGGCGATGAGCAAATAAAGCTTAAGTTTAGGTACCTTTCGGAACCTATAAAGCGCATTCGACGCGTCGATGCACCCGTCGACGCACGAAGGAGTGTGTGAAGATGTGGAGAGGTGTTGAGGTATTGGTATTGGAGGATGGCGGCATCGACAGATTTTTGGGCAGAGGCCTGTATCGTTCTTTCCGTAATCGAATGATAACAATCCCTATCAATAGAGGCTCACGGTTGCCTGCATGTAAATCGTACATAGATAGTTACGTCAGATGACTTGAGTCACTTCCCAGGTTGTAGTAGGCTTTATCATGAATGTTAGCCTATTTGCCGCAGAAGCTTATACTACACGCCTTGATATTAGCAGGTGTCAAATAGAAGCTGATAAAAGTGCTAACTCGGCCCGTAATCACAGTTGACGGTGGACTGTCAGGTTATCATAGTTGACCGCAGTATAGTAGAGATCTCCAACGAGAATGCTGCGCCTGTCATACAAACAGCCAGATCCCAGTTGATTGGCTACAGCATTACGCTTAGAGAAGTAGTAAGGATAAGGAGAGTTGATATTTTTGAAACTGGATGAACCGTGCCGCAAATCTTCTGCTCCATGGCGTTATATGGACCTGCATGCTGTATCTTCTGGGCACAGTTCCCACTAAGGCACCATAGGTCGAAGAAAATGAACGATATGAGCCGTGGTGTAACCGAAGAAACCAATTAAAGAAGACGAGGATATGAAGCATAGGTACAGACGACATTGTATCTGTTAGATCGGGAGGCTATTACTGCTGGCTTACTCAAGGTCACCTGGGTAAATGAATAGGCTGAAATGTACGAGATAATTGCGTTGAGCCACTTAATCTTAGCGGTCTTGTAGATAGTCTTACTTATGTATGAAGCTTTGTGAGGGGCATTGATCGTTCGATGGCCTGACCATCCAGGCACGTATGCGGGGTAAAAGTGGTTAGAGATAGCGCTAGACTAAAAAGGGGATGGCATGGGCTACATGTGGACTAAAGCCCTATTATATTAGCCCTAACTTCCTTTTCGGGATAATATAATGGGTCTTCACGCGCTACAACGCCTTAAACGCGTGAAGATAACTTCTCTAGCCATCCTTTCCCCCACCTCCAGGGCTTCAACCTTAACTTAGCTCTACCACTCACCTCACCTCATCTTCAGCGCGGAGCTCACCTTTAATCATGACACAAATTCAGGGGCTTCCCATAGAGCTCCTAGATCTCATTTTCTCTTTTCTTGTCCCTCCCGACGATGATCTCGACCGGCCGATGGAATATCAAACCACGAAAGCCAAAGATGGCAATGAGAAGGAATTGAATGACGAAGAAGATGACGATGATGCACCTGATGAGATTGAGACTCTGCGCAATGTTTGCCTAGTTTCGCGAAAGTTCCGCGAGGTCGCCCAGCCTTTGCTCTTCCGTGAGCTTACTGATGATGGTATGGCCGGTGATCTAAGCCCGACCATTCCGTTCACCAGAACAATTTATCGTCGTCCAGATCTCGGAAAGCATGTGCAGCAAATCACCGTCCTGCCTCTCCCGTTTCACCTAGGTGGTTCCGGTTCTCTTGCCGCAGAGGATTTCGAGTTCTTCAAAGGCATAATTAAGGACCTCAAACTGGCCGAGGGGGAGGAAACATGGATTTCGGCTCTGGAAAAATCCGACCTCAGCATTTTCGCAGCATTACTAGCCAACAAGGCTCCCAATCTTCGTGGGCTATATGTGCCTGTGCGCCAATTCTCGATCCAGCCATTCATCCAGCTTTTCAGCCACAATCCGGAGTTTTTGTCGAACCTAGAGTCTATCTGGATTGAAAGTGACGACGAAATGTCCGGCTTCGATATTGCTTCCTACGAGAAATTCGTCACCCTTCCCAAGGTCATACTTTCAACCTTTGAGTACGGTGATCTCTTCGAAGAATCGTTCCCATCTACTTGGCTACCTGGAACATTGTTGACAGAGGAACTTGCCTTCCACCACTGCCACATCGATGCAGGTGCCCTCAAAAAGCTCATGCAAGCGTGCAAGAAGCTGAAATCCTTTACGTACAACAATTTCAGCTTGGACCCTAATGACCGACGGATCATGCGTGTGGGGACAGTGCCCGAGTTTAACGCCAAGGAAGCTCACGAAGCCGCCCTCCTACATAAAGACACACTCGAGCTCTTCCACCTCGAGTACGCAATGGAATTACCCGACGTCGATGATATCGAGCAACTTGTTTCCAGCCACGTCAAGGTTGGCTCATTCCGCGAGTTCTCTGCACTCGAGACAATCCTCATCCCACATGCTGCCCTTCCTCCACACCCTCAATTCCCCAGCTCTCTAGAGACACTCCATATCACCGACTGCAACTCGTCTATCCGGGAGTTGACTCAGAACATCGCGACAGATTGTAAAAATGGTCTTTATCCCAAGTTGACTAGCGTCAAGGTATTCGCAATCGACATCACACAGCCTATTAAGCTTCCTGGGCAACGTATTCCGGAAGGGAAGACACCAGAGCAATGTTTCCTTGCTCTGAAGGAGATGTTCAAAGGAACCAAAGTGAATTTCCAGATCTTGCCATATGAATTACCTGATTTTGATGATTACGGTGATCTCGACGATTATGATGAAGATCTTGGTTATGAGGAAGATTTTGACGAAGCCGGGTCCGATGAAGAAGCAGATCCTGACATAGATGCAATTCCACCACGGATTTTGGATCTAATTATGCAGCGGGCTATGATGGACCCTGAATTTGCACACCTTCGCCCTGATGCGGAGAGTGATGATGATTCTTGGGAAACTGAGGACAGTGATTGAGCCAACTTGTGTTGTTAATTCAGCCATTGATTTTGCTATAATATAATAATATCCCTGACCGAGTATGTAATTTTACTATGACTTGCTTCTTCTCCATAAGGTTTTACTTTGGTAGACGAGTGTATGCCGTACTTGAAGAACATGGCCAATACTTTGAAGATCTCAATGCATTCATATTCCAAACATAGTTGTGACTCAATAACTCCTCGACGAACATGCAATGACCAGTGCCGTTCCCTGGCAATTCTATGACAAAAAAACAAATGGGGGGTTGGGGTATAATGAAGAGTGCGAGTGTAGAGAGAACACCACAACTAGGAAGAAAACCAAGCAGGATAATACGGATGGTAATGTAGCAGAATCCTTTACTCCTGCAATAGAAGGATCTCTGTAGACACAACGCCCAGTTAGCCACTGATCCCCAACAACCGCACAGCCAACAATAAGACTTACCAGTCAAAGCCTCTTCAAAGCTCAGAGTAATATATCCATCCCGATCATCATCATACCGCTTGAAGACATCCGTCATCCGCTTCAGACTAATACAAGCCTGAACGAATAGATCAAAGCTCATACCAGTAAGCCTGGGATCCTTAGGCGCATTGCTCATCTGCTTGCCCTTGCTCTCAAAGACACCAAAGATAATAGAAATAAACTTCCCACTAAGACGGTACCCAAATGCAACAAGCGCCTTCTCAAACTCGGGCTGACTAACACGCCCACTGCGATCCTCGTCGAAGCGATCAAACAGCTCCCGCCACGCAGCCAAATACCGCCACAGCGAGACAAACTCGTCGAAGTTGATTGACCCGCTGCCGTCGCGGTCGAACATCCGAATCATCAGTCTAACCGTACGCGGGTGGAAGGACGTGTAGTCGCCGTTCACGAGCGCGCTACCAAGCTCGCCCTCAGTGAGGGCGCCGGAGTGGGATGCATTCGCGGCGCGGAAGAGAGGGAAGAGTTGTTGCGGGTCATCGCTGGGTGCTGTCAATGGCGGTGGGACTGGCGATTGGGGAGGTCGCGATGAAGGTGGGGGTCGGTTGCGCTGGGGGTGCACGGGCGGGGGCCCGAAACCGTAGTTTTGGGGCGGCGGGGAGGGGTGGAGGGGATGAGGACGATTGTGCGACTGAGAGTGGCTTAGAGGTTGGTTCGGCGGAGGCGCGTTTGCTGAAGAGGAGCGGCCGCTGTAGGAGTGAGAGTGTGAGTGGGATTGGTGGGGTTCGAGGCGTGGGGGCGCTGCGGCGTACGGATGTTGCGGGGCGCTGGATACAGGAACGCGGGGAGGAACACCGCTGTTATGAGTTGTTTGCGGTGGGCGAGTAGGGAGCGGTTTTTGGTTGAGGCTCTGGGTGTGGCCTGGGACGTGGCTCGGGGCGTGGCTTTGGCCTGATACAGCCATGTTGCCTAGCATCTGCGCGACCTAATTTACTGTTAACGAAAAGGAAGATGAGGCGTGTGATGGATAGTGTACCTCTTCTGGCTCAGCATGACTGTAGTATTTCCCAAGTCAGTAATCGGTAACTGTAGACTCTCGCTAGATTGGCTATGCACTTACGCTGGCAGCGCGTCGGGGTTGTAGGATTTGTTGTAAGCCATGGTCGGAGTCCTGGAGGTCACACAATCAGAGAAAGAATGCGACACGGACTCTGAAGTGCAACAAAGGTATATGGTGAAATTGAAGGAAAAGAAAGAAGAATAAAAGGAGAGACAGGTTGAAAGCGGAGCCGTGGGGCATCGATTCTTAGCGCGCCAAGTGAGAAACCTTGTCGGAGTTACTACGGAGTACAGTAAACGCCCTTTATACCGGATTGAGATGGAGTTAAAAATTTGTTAAATGTTTTTGGAATGTGCAATTTATATATACATATGTCTAATATGTGATAATATAAGTAGATCCAACTACTTCTACGGTTTCTATAATGTAAGCCATTAATAATCTAGTGGATTAGTGGACATAGCCCTGGAGCCTACGGACGTACTCTTGCCCTATCTAGCGCCTTATAAGACTAATACGAATACGGGTATCGAGAAATGCCCGGATTATTAAGGTACTACAATGTCAAACCCTCTATTTATCGCTTTCATAAGAGGTTTGAATAGTATTAAAGAGGCGATCCTCCAAAATTGGGGGCGAAATAGGCATACATAATTGAGATAGTCAGATGAGGCTGAGCTATGCAGCCTAACTCCAGTCGGGCGAATGCCCCGCTCAACACTACGAGTATATTGTATGTATAATCTTCATCTTTCCACCGTCTTCGCTCAACGACTCCAAACCGTCAGTTACTGCATCTCTCAGCTGAGATAACTTCTTTCACTATGGCTGATCCGCTCTCGATCGCATCTGGTGTTGCCGGGTTCCTGTCATTGGGCATCGAGGTTACCAAATCTCTAGTCGAGTTTTACTCCTCATACAAGGGTCAGACTGCTGCTCTGGCCAAGATCACGCTGAATCTTGAGAATCTTCTCGGCATCCTCCGGTCCCTTGATGATGCACTACAAAATCGCCAACCTCAGACGGATGCCCTAGTCCAAGAGATCGAAAAGGTGGCAAACGGATGCCGTGAGATCATCGAGGAACTGAGGGACGAGTGCCAAAAATTTCAAGAACATACCACTCCAAGTCTGAAGGCCCGAATACAATTGGTGGGGCGCCGGGCGACTTATCCATTTAGGGAAAGCACCCTAAAAAAGCTTGAAGAGGATATTGGCGAGATACGGGAAAACTTGTCTCTTGCATTAAATGTGCTACAGCTTCGAAACCAGACCGGGCTTGAAGATGGGATGTCCGAGCTCAAAATACTCGCCAAACAGACAAATACGATGCACATCTCTGCTATGATTCGGGGTTGGCTTATGGCCCCAGATGCGACCTTGAATCATAATGCCGCATGCGAGAAACGCCATAAGACTACAGGACTATGGCTCATCAATGGCCAGAAATTTCAGAACTGGCTGGTTGAGCGCAATTCATTTCTCTGGATCAATGGCTTCGCCGGATGTGGCAAGTCAGTCCTATGCTCGACGGCAATTGAACGTACATTCCGTGAGAGGCAACATCAGCCCAGTGTAGGAATCGGATTTTTCTACTTCTCCTTTACCGACGAGGGCAAGAAAGATTCTTCCGGCATGCTGCGTGCATTGTTATTGCAGCTGTCGGCTCAACTTGAAGGGGGCGAAAAGGATCTACAAGAACTGCATATGTTGTATAAGTCGGGTACTCCGCCAGTGGACATCCTACTTAACTCCCTTCGACAGACCATCTGCAAGTTTAGTGACACCTACATTTTGTTGGACGCCTTAGATGAGAGCCCCCGATACGATAAAAGGGAGGGCGTTTTAGGCGCTATAAAGAAGATGCGGCAGTGGGACCTGCCCACTCTCCACCTCCTAGTGACCAGCCGCAACGAAATTGACATCCGTCATTCTCTGGAAACCCCCTTCGGACAGGATATCTCAATGAAGAATCCGGACACGGATATAGACATCGAAAACTTCATTTCCTACCAGCTCAGTAATGACCCCAAGTTTCAAAAATGGAAATCACGCCATGAAGAGATTCAAGAAAGACTGACGAGTAAGGCGCAGGGAGTGTAAGTGATAATAAAAGGAAATGGCACAATAATTTGACTAATAGTTGTACAGATTCAGATATGTCGAATGTCAACTCCTCGCGCTCAAGCGTGTCCGAATCCGAAATCAGCTCGACAAATGTTTACGTTCTTTGCCTCGCGATCTGGATGAGACATATGAGCGAATGCTGTGTAGCATCGATGATGAAGACATTGAAGAAGCACGGCTGGTATTAACTTTACTTTGTGTGTCTAATCGGCCACTCACTGTGAAGGAACTCACCGGCGCCCTTGCTATTGATGTTAAAGCCAGCGAGTGGCAATTAGACCGTGAGGGTCGATCATTTAGCCAAGATGATATTGTCGACATTTGTCTTGGTCTCATAGAGATCGCAATGATTGAAGATGAGGATTCTGGAGAAGCGACTGCGATTGCCCGTATAGCGCATTTCTCTGTACAGGAGTATCTTGAATCAGATCGGATATCTCAACAGGGTGCAGCAAGATTCACCATTCAAAAAGAACCAGCTCACACAGAGATGGCTCAAATTTGCCTTTTTTATCTCCTAGAGCCAACGCTTTCGAGTGGAAAGTTGGATGAGGCCAAGCTGGAAATGTTCCCTTTGACTCGCTTTGCCGCTGCCGAATGGCTTTATTTTTACAATAATTCTGGGAAAGGGAGGTCCGACATTGAAGCCTCAATTTTGAGGCTATTTAAGGATCATGCAGGGCCATTTGTGACATGGATACGGCTCCACAACAGGGATTCTGTAGGGTGGCGCCAAATTGCCGACTTTGGGCGTGCTATCGAAGATATTCCGTTGCCTTTATATTACGCCGCTCTTTTAGGGCTGGAGGACATATTGAGTGCGCTTTTAGCTAACGGGGGGCAGAAGACCGCAACACATGCCGCCTTAAATAACCAAGCTGGATTTTTTGGTAACGCGCTCCAGGCCGCCGCACAAGGAGGTTATGAGAACATAGTACAAACTCTACTCGATCAAGGCGCCGACATCCATGCTCAAGGGGGTGAATTTGGCAACGCGCTCCAGGCTGCCGCACAGGGAGGCCATGAGAACATAGTACAAACTCTACTCGATCAAGGCGCCGACATCTATACTCAAGGGGGTGAATTTAGTAACGCGCTCCAGGCTGCCGCACAGGGAGGCTATAAGAACATAGTACAAACTCTACTCGATCAAGGTGCCGACATCTATGCTCAAGGGGGTACATTTGGCAACGCGCTCCAGGCTGCCGCACAGGGAGGCCATGAGAACATAGTACAAACTCTACTCGATCAAGGCGCCGATATCAATACTCAAGGGGGTGAATTTAGTAACGCGCTCCAGGCTGCCGCACAGGGAGGCTATAAGAACATAGTACAAACTCTACTCGATCAAGGTGCCGACATCTATGCTCAAGGGGGTACATTTGGCAACGCGCTCCAGGCTGCCGCACAGGGAGGCCATGAGAACATAGTACAAACTCTACTCGATCAAGGCGCCGATATCAATGCTCAGGGGGGTATATATAGCAACGCGCTCCAAGCCGCTGTATGGGGAGGCTATGAGAAGGTAGTACAAACTCTACTCGATCAAGGCGCCGACATCCATGCTCAAGGGGGTAGATTTGGAAACGCGCTCCAGGCCGCCACACTGAGCGGCCATGAGAACCTAGTACAAACTCTACTCGATCAAGGCGCCGATATCAATGCTCAAAGGAGTGAATTTGGCAACGCGCTCCAGGCCGCCGTATGGGGAGGCCATGAGAACATAGTACAAACTCTACTCGATCAAGGCGCCGATATCAATGCTCAAGGGGGTAGATTTGGCAACGCGCTCCAGGCCGCCGCATGGGGAGGCCATGAGAACATAGTACAAACTCTACTCGATCAAGGCGCCGACATCAATGCCCAAGGGGGTAGATATGGTAACGCTCTCCACGCTGCATCATCCGAGTTATCTAGGACAGCGAACCAGGACGAATCACACGAGAAGGGGGTATATGAGAAGGTAGTGCAGATCCTGCTAGACCATGGCGCCGATGCCAATGCTTCTGGGCCCCTTGGCAACGCGCTCTAGGCCGCGCCAAGGAAGGGCCATAAGAACGTGGTCCCGATCCCGCTAGATACCGATGACGAAACTGAACCAATTATTTCAACCGTGAGTTAAGAAATTGGTGGGTAACTGGACTACTTGGGTGTCCTGTCTCATAGCACTGCCTTCCTAATGTGCTAGTCTAGCTGTTCTAACTTGCCACATAAACAGTCACACAAGTCTCAGGAATCAAAGCTCTCTTAATTTATCGTCGTCCAACCTGAGTGCTTTATGCCCTGACATCTCCAAATTGGCTCAAGACGTTGCGAATATTGATGAACAAATTCTAATTCCGGTGACTCTTCCGCGACCCAGTCATCTACAACATGATAAGCAATGAGGTTCAGCATCATACCACGGATCATACCAAACGGTGAAGGCGGGGAAGCCCTGGTGTTATTTTGCGGAGGGAGCGTGGGAGAAGCAGGGTGCTGCTACTGTAACGTTGACCGTATGGGTATTGTGATATCTCATAAACGAGCTAGATCGAAAAAATCGAAATGGTGCTCGGGAACCTTGGAATCTAAGAGACTCTTCTGGTTATGTATAGTCAACGGTGGGCTGAACGCATTAGAGTTGCTCACTGATTGGAAATCAAGGTCACTGAGTGGCCAGTGCGTTGAAATGAGCACTCTATTAGCATGGTCCCTCTACTATTCGGGCCCGGTATCTGTATAAGGGGGGCTTCTTTTTTTATATCTGATGACGAATGTGGGGTTGCAATGTATGTTGTAGAGACCAAAAGTAAAAGCCAAAGGATTGCAGTAATCACACATTAATATTAACAGGGGTATCTCAATGGGGCAAGAACGCTTGATTTCCTGCAAAGATGCGCTAGGCGCATGTACAAACCACTTTTAGGTCGAGCCTTGTTGACTCGCCGGCGCCATGACATTTAGACACCCTGGTACAGGCCACGAGAGATGAGGGACACCTCCGGCGCTTCCTCCTCCAACACGGCAATAATTTCTTCCCAAGCCTTTTCCTGGAGCTCTTCTCCCTCGAGACCAGTCGTTAGCGCGGCTGACTCACTATAAAATTATTAGCAATGATGACACTGAAACACAATGCAAGATTGTCTTACTCAAGATATCCTTCACTGCGCCAGCATTTCCCCTGTGATTCAACTCCCAGAAGAGTCGCACTAACCAGCGAACGGCTTCCCTGCTCTGTAGTCCGGGCGAACAATTTGTGCATAACCCAAACGAAACATTTCTCCCACCAATTAGTGTACTGACGACCCAAAGCCGAGATGCACAGCCCGGGGCTGACGGTATTAACAATGAGGGTATGAGTGCTGTTGTCGTCGCGTGCCATATTAGCGATGTTCTTGATCATGAATTCAAGCAGAAGCTTCGAAATGCCGTACTGCTTGGGACCCTTGAAGTTGGCCGGGTCGTTCACGTGAGCGAGCAGCGAGTCATCGGTGCGAACGCTTTCAGCCTTGACGCGAACAAATTGTTGACTTGAAACGACGGTCAAGTGGGCGGGGCTTTCGGGATAGGAGCTTTTCTTTAGCTTGGGTAGTAGAAGTAAGGCTAACATCGAGGTCGAGAGTGTGTTGACTTGCAGAGTCTCTTCCCAGCCCTCGGTGGATTGATTGTATTCTCGATTCCAGAGACCAGCATTGAGCAAAGCGATGTCGACGCGATCCAGCTCGCGATTGACGCGTTCGGCAAAGCCTTTGACGCTTTGGAAGCTGTTCATTTCGAGTTCCCATACTTTGACCACGTTGCGTCGGTTAGTGGCCTTTTCGAGGTCTGCTTTGGCCTTGTTGCCTTTTTCCACGCTGCGAGATCCGATGATGAGAGACTCGACGCCGAGATTGAGCATTTTGATGGCTGCTTCGAAGCCAAGACCCGAGGTGGCACCTGTCAAAATGACGATCTTGCCAGCAAAGGACACACCTTTGGGGTCGATGGGAGGGGTGTACTGCATCTTGAGAAGGCGAAGGAGGGCTGCCATGATGAAAATCTTGATTCAAAAGCTTCAAAAAAGAAATTCAAGTAAACAAAATACCAAGCGTCCGAGGCGCGTCTGATGATTGTTTGAGGGAGAAAAAGAGGCCGATAAACGATAACGATAGCAATTTGCGATAAAGATACGATAAGGTTGTGGCGCACATGTAAGGCAACAAGGCAGCGTGTATAACTAACTAACCACATACACAGAATAGACTATGTGTTTATGGATAATATGTGGCATGAAGCGCAAGATGATCTAATAGAGGGAGGTACGCAATACTGTAGATCAAAGTTTGCCACCTATCATCCACCTCTTTTATGCTGATCCTCGCCTTAGTCTGATCATAGATGCCAAGATGAATAAGAAGGAAACATCACCGTGTGGGTACGATAGTTACCATGATACATACGTATGTGAGTAAGATGTGTCCACAGTTTTTTTTTCAAAACAAAAGCCTCATGCTAACCGCTCTTCAACCCTAGTTTCCTTTGCCCGGAATTCCTTCCTCACCTACATCGAACCATTACCCAAGATCGGCTCACCATCTTGTTCTGAAAAGTATATATAGTACTTCTCGCAACTCTGATCTTCCAACAACTGCCAAGGATCCCCCTGATCAGGCGTATCCCCTTGGAATCCGAGAAAGAAGCGATACCGAGAAAATAACGCAAGACCAAGGGACAGTCTACTCGGATCACCCATGACCGTCTCGTATCGAGCAAGGATATTTGAGTCAACAAGAAGACTCGCAACGGCGGCGATTCTGGACGGGTTTTTGGCAAGACGTGACCCGTGTTCATGAGAATGGAGCCTACGATACCCAACGCGAGGATCGAAGCTAGAAGCGCTTCAAGAATACGTGTTGAGAAGAGACCAGTCGAAAAAATGACCAACAGACGCAGAAGAGAGCAGGTCACTCCAGCCACCAAGTCAAAGTGCTTGTTTCTTATGGCTTTGATCATTGATGCCAGCTGTATCTCGGATACATAGTCCAAGAGCACGGATTCCCTGGCCTCCACGGGCTTCTCCGCCATCGACTTCCATGGTGCTCTTTGCTTGACTTGAAGTTCCACTCGCGACCAAAAGGTCGCGATAACAGTGAAGATGGCAGTGGGTCCGCAAGTCCTAGGTAGTGGCGGCCTTTGATCGAAGCCGAAATTCCATCATCAATATGGGGGACATAGTTGAGTGCTTCGAGAGCAGCTATGACTCCGCAGAATATAATTTCGAATACGATCAACACTCGTCGGCGAAGGTAGGAAGGCTGCCACCCAGATATCTCTTGTTCAGTCTGCTGCGATTGAGATGAAGTATCCCCGCTTTCGCACAGATTGAGTGTGCTTCCTAGAAAACTCTTGATTGACATCGTTGTTTTCCTTAAGAGAGGAAGATATAGTGATTTGTACATCAGGGAGTCTCGGGGACATGAGCGATTGTGTTACAACCTGCCCTCATGATAGATTGGGCTTATGTAGCCATCTAAAGCTTCCAGAGCCCATGCTAGGCCAATAGTAAGAGGACTTGGAAGTCTCATGCTCAAACTCTAGTGGCTTATAGGGGTGTTTGGAGGCCGATGAACACATATTATGATGCAGCAAAAAGCAAGGCTGGCAAGCTGAGCGGCAACAAGCAGCTCTCGAGGACCATCAACTTAGTATTAAGCTGGATCCATACACCTTATCACTCATCCCACAAGAATGTGCACCCTGTATCCTTCATCTCTATCATGCTTTGCTTGGAATTGGCTCTTTTGTTAAAAGGAGGTTGAATCAAGGCATTTTTCAAGACAGGAGCCACATTCTGACATGAATAGAATCTCGCATTACCAGATACCTTATATTCGGATAATGGATATGACAATATTTGATTCAATCTATGTATAGATCACCTCAGAACATGTCTATCTCACATATGTTGCACTTTTAAAGTGTTGGGATGTCTCATCCACCGCGCAGATGGCGGGATACCCAAGAACAAACACTGCAAACAAAATCGGTGTATGATCGACTTTGGGCCACTTCGACTTTCGAAATGTTCATACAATTGTGATCAAATCCAATTTATAACAGCTTCCCGTCTTCTACTAACAGTTCGAGTCCTAAATTTTCATCTCTGAGGTTGATTCGCTGCTTCCCGCGAATATCAGCCCAGGAGCCGTCGCCGGAGCGAATTATTAATCCATCCCCTCCCCGGACCTCGGGAAGGTTGAAAAGTGCAGCCAATAAACTCGTTAGAGCGCACTTGGCATTAGTATAGTCGATATGGCCGCCGTTGCACAGGGGCATCAGGTCCATCCTGACGGTCGGACGTGGAAGAGTCATTTTCCCAAAGGTGATCTCTGGGTATTTGGTTATGGGTGAGTTAGCGTTGTTCCGAAATGGTGCTACCAAGGCGTCGAATATCGAATACTGATTACGTACATAGGAGTTTGATCTGGAAGCCGCCTCCACACTATGGTACGTGGGATTGATTGTGATGTGAAAGTGCTCAATGACAGCACTAAAACGAAACATCGTATTGGTCGTTTGTGATCAGAAAACTAGTCGACTAACTATATTGTCTAGACCAGCGCGTACCGGGCTATATTAATGGCTATGTGCGGCGCTTCTGGCAGGTGCGTAAACTTTTCACTTGAAGAAAGGGCTTTATACATGCCCACATTCGAGATATTCCGACTAACATTGTGGTTATTGTTGAATTCCAGGCTAGGTATGTCGATGACTGTGTGCAGCATACAGAGATTTCCGTTTAAACTCGCTGAAAATCACAAATCACTAACCTGCGTCCAAAGTACTGATCACCGTGGCACCCCCGAGCAACCGGGCCGAGTAGTCACCGTGATTGAGCGAACCTTCTGGGAGACCCTAGACGACCCGGTATGTTCTACCTGCCCCCTATGTTGATCAGTCGTATTAAGATATCCCTATAGCTCGCCCACCTAGAATCCGAAGCAGCCTCCACAGGCAAAGTCTGGGGCGCAGCATACCATATCCCAGCATCCCACGCCGAAGAAGTCCACGACTACCTTGACGAGCGTGAGATCGACGGGTACAGCGCGCACTACACGCCCTTCCACCCGACAGTAGATATCGAAGGAGCCGATGGCTCGTCCGGCTCTTCTCCAATCATCTGCATGCTCTACGTCGGCCAACCGACTAACCCGCAGTTCCTGCGTAACGCAGTTGATCGCGAGCCGCAGAATGTGGCGCAGGTTATTAGTGCTGGGCATGGGCTGAGTGGGAAGGGTTCTGAGTATTTGTTCTTGTTGGAAAAGGCTCTTGAGGGTCTTGGGCTTGGGACTGCGGATGTTCATGTTACGGATTTGGTTAAGAGGGTTAAGGCTATTGAGGCTGAGGGAGTTGCGGATGCTGAAGAGGAGGAGGCTGAACTGAAGGTGACTAGGTCCTTGGAGGGCTCGGCCGAAAAGTCTGATCGTGAGGATGGTCGTGCGACGATTGAATGAGGCGTATGGGTCGAGGCTCTGTTGATGACTGATGTTTTTTCCCGGGACATAGTATAGGTTACATATTGACTAGTAGAATATATAGATAGGGAAAGAAGCGATTGAACAGATGGCATAGATTTTCTTTGCTTCAAAGGATGGTGGGAAAATTTATCAATATTCTCTGTATGAGTGATGGATGAACCGAATCACTACAATAAGGCTACATAAACTACTTACTACCCTGCTAGTTATATATGCTTTTGGAATTAGAGAATACACTATTTTAATATGATGGACTGTATGGACTTTGGGGTAACTTTGGTTTTGTCTAATCTGTTATTGAGTACTCCTTACATTTCTTGCTTTAGACAATTCCTGTTCTTAGCCCGGCGGAATTGACCTTTTCTACAAAGTACGGATGCCCAACGGGAATTATGTCTCGCCTAAGTATAATGATCGACTGAAATAATAGAACATTAGGTAGAAATGGTGGAGGATGCCTGATTTTATCGCCTGGAAAAAACCTCGTGGTCGTGGTACATAGTTCGGTTCGTCACCCGTAACCCTTGCTTGGCCCGGGGATAGATTCATTATGCTTAAATCTCCATCAAATCATTGATCTTGCTCTGTGTGCCCTGTTATAGGAAGGATATGCCGTGCAACACAAACAGACATTGCAGATATGAGACCACATGGGCCACTCTGCCAAAGATAGAAAAAATACCTCAAAAGTTTGTAGGCGAGATAGGGCGAAACGCAACCGTATAAAATCTCAAAATCTGCGTCCAATAAAACCCAAACACTTGAACCAGAACCTTCCTAGCTATTTGAGCGCGAAGAAAATAACAGTCCCCCGTTACAAAATTCCATAACTGGGGTAGCACCCCGCTGTTCCCAAACTCATCTTCCACCATATTCCAGTCGTCGTACATCGTCACTTCTTTTAGAAGGAATTGCTGAAGAAGAAAGGCGCATAAGGAGGAACTGAAAAGGCACTCAAGCATCTACTGGTGACCGTCTTGGGGAGCGTGCTCGTGGTTGTTCCCGCGCCAGCCTTTAGATGTTAGTTAATTCCACCATCAAATTAACACATCAATCAACTCACCTCCACCACCCCCGTACCCGGTGTTTGGGCCACCACCTAAATAATTAATTAGCAAAATACCAAAAATGTCTAAATCAAAAGAACTCACCATAACCGCCAGGACCACCTGCGCTGTAACCAGCGGGGCCGCTAGGGGCGTAGGTGTTGTTGTAACCACGGTTGTAGCCCCCACCGTATCCACCAGGGGCAGCGCCATTGTTGTACCCGCCATTGTTGTAGCCAGCGTAACCACCAGGGCCACCAGCACCAGGCTGGTAACTAGATTGGGGCTGAGAATTGTATCCACCACGGCCCTGGAAGCCACCTTCGGTGCGTTGGGGGCGGTCAAACGCCTTGTCAACGCGAATGACCCGTCCGTCAAATCTGAACAACATATGAGATTTTTTCTTGAACTCAAGATGAATGTGAAGTTGAATGATTACTCTTGGTTGTTCATGGCGCCCAAAGCAGCATCCGCCTCGGCGTCAGTAGCAAAGCGGACAAAGCCGAAGCCGCGGCTGCGCGAAGTCGCACGGTCCTTCACGACAATCTGTACCCAGTAGAGTCAGGAGAAGCTCAAAGAACATCGAGTTTAGGTTGATCAAGGTAGACTGACAGCTTCTTGGATCTCACCAAATTGCTGGAAACCCTCGCGCAAGGTGTCATCGCTAGTATGCCAAGAAAGGCCGCTAAATTCCATCGCAGCAACGGTTAGACTGGCTCCTACCAGCACAAATATGTTCTCAGATAGAGGATACCCACTGAACAAAGAGCTTAGACATCGTGATAAAGGCGTAACAGAGGAAGCTGGAAGAAAGACAACGCTCGAGCTGACTGGATCCAAGGATAAGAAGATGAGGGTCGAAGAAAGGAGATGGTCGAAAAGAAAAGAAGGATAAAAATCGGAATCAGTCCGGGATGTGAGATGACAGGGAGATCCTAGTGGTTCAGAGGCGAGTCAGCATCCAGTCCCGTGTAACAATCACACTGCGTTAGGGCTTCCACATTGCCGGGAATTTCCCACTGGTCGGACGCCAACGGCAAGTCCACAACGAGTGATATCCATTAATGCTTACTGTGTCTTTGTCTGGGAGCTTGACCAGAGTGAGCAAAGTTCGGACTTAGCTTCAAGAGTAATCCGAGGTGGGGGAGGGGGAATACTGCAGAGATAAACACGCCAAAGCCAGTCCCACGGCCCTAAACCTTGTGCTGATTCAATTGCGGGTCGTCGGGTTCTCAGCAATCAATCAGATGGTATCCGAGGCTCCGTTTGGATTGGCGGCACTAAGGGCAACGGCTGATGTACCTTTGTTTGCCCCTCACTTGGCTGAAATGCGAAGGTTTTCGCGCTGGGTTTCATAGGGCTGGATTAACACCTGGATTCCAAGATTCTGTTGCGAATCTGTGTACGGAGTACAGTGTACAGAGTACATTCCGTACTTCTTGTCCACGAGGGTCCGGATATAAATTCACTCGTGAAAGCAACACTATATCTATCTTGGGTGGAGTCTCCACACATGGACTGTGGAATTTTGGTGGTGTCCCGTACCTCGCAGGTCTATGCATGATTGGTTGTATGCGTGTTTATGCATTGTGGATTTTTCTCCCCATTTGGTCGGGAATTGACTGCTAAAAGTTGAGCATGGTTGAGCAATGCAGACTGAGATCTGCAGTTGATTACCGCCATGGGCCTAGCTTCTCGGGCCTGGCCATCGCTCAGTCTCAAAAGTGGTTTTGCGCGTGCGTGTATCCGAGCAGAGGGGCAGTGCTCCCTAGGCCCACATGCGGCTTGAACCGTGGGCCGTGTACTCCATATGCCGGGAGCGGGAAATGGCGACGATCAGCACAAATATTGCGTCTATACAATGTTAACATGCGTCTCTAGTTGAGGGAAAAATAAGTATGGGAGAATACCTAGGTAGCACCGAAACCTCTGAGCAGAAGCAATTCATAGATGAATCGAGTCCAGGCGCCATTCCCGTTTAGGAGTTGAGAGAGAAGAGGGAGAGAAATAACACCAAAAGAGCAAATATTGGAAACTTGTAGGAAATAAAAAAACAATCAAAAGATAAGATCGGGGCGAAGTTGAGATGGTCGCTCTTTCTTCGGTGGTGACTGAATTTGTGTGTTTTCGTCACCGTACTTTGTCCAGTGGCCCTTCAGATCTACTTCATTTCTCCAGCTACGGCCCAGCCTCGGCAACTTTCTTGATGGAGGGCAATAACCCAATTTATCAGTGGCTTTCCACTGTGGATGAACAGGACCAAAGTCGCCATCAAGATGGAGGCATGTTGTTGTCGCAAGAACCACGATGCTTCCGCGCTAACAGAGCTTTAGCTGATAACCAGGAGCAAGTAAAGTGCACAGCTCTTGCAACAGCCATACCACGAATCCGCATCCCACTTGAGATATCTGACAGCGTGCCTGGGAATGGACATTCAGCTAGCAGGAAAAGAGATTCAGGTCACCTCAACGAAACCAAATCATCGCCCGCTCACGAGATCATACCAGGAAATGAAAACCAAAAGACATCTCGACATAGTTACGAGCTAAGGCCCAGACACAAGACTCGCGAGGATCGCTACGAGTACAAGGGCCCATCATCGGCTGTGGATACCCAGTCGCAGTCTCGTAAAGGAAGAGGCAAGAAATCCCGGGGCAGGAGGCACACCATGAATGATGACTTCCATGCCATCAATGTCACGGGAAATAGATTGACAGTAAGTAGGCTTCTGCAAAGTCTCGCTTCACGTTCCTAATTCCAGATAGCTGCGCAGCAACACAAACCAGGGTATATTCAGCAAGGGACGATCTTCTTCTGTAACGCATCGCCATGAAAATTCCCCGTCAATCGCTCTTGCAAAACCTGCAGCAACCATCAAATCTCATAATCTAGTCGCAGAATCTGATCTTGCCTTTTCTGAAATGAACTTTCTGTCCCGGAGGAATAATATCAGCCCGTATCCCATGTCGACTGCCAGAGACACTCTGGATGGACAGCATGAGAGAGAGTGGTATCCACAAAAGCTCGGGTTTGATCATCCTGCACATGACTCCAAACTTGACATGTCTCACTCAAACAACGAGTTTCTTGATGCAGAACGCCAACTTGACGCCTCGGTCACGCCGTTGACCACATTTGAAGAGGCGCGCACCAGCGAGATTTACCCAGTTTCCAGCCACTCTCGAAGTGTGTTCCCCATGCCCGACAATAAAAGAAGAAAGACATCCAAACAATCATCGTCTATTCCATACACGTGGACTGAAACTGAGGCCGACAACACGGAACAAAGCGATGCCCTTGAACAACACCTCCTGAGCCTGCTACATGTCGGAGTATATCCTCAAGCGCTATGCTCTGAGATCACAAATACTGTCTTGATCAGACGGTATTGGAGTTTGGCCGAATTATGGGAACTATTGGAGGAGAGAAAGGCAGCATGGTCAAACGAAGCCGGCAACAAAAAGCGAGCTTCTCCCGAAGCCAACATTGGGCAGCTAACTGCAGCCAAATCCGCTTCACAGGAGGTTCCCGAGATCATTGCACCAGGGCATTTGGATCTTGTCAATGTCAGTGGGGTGCAAAATGAAATGTCCAAAGAATCCTCGGATTCGAACGTCGCGGGTGAAACGGCATGCGGTGTGAACAACGGTCTACACCAACAACCTTCAATTCTTGAGCAACAGCAAAGCGGACCACGTCAAGCTTCGGATAAATCGGGATGTCTAAATATCCAGGCTGCCAGAACATCAAACAGCCCAGATCGCTTCATAGATACCTTGAATGGACATCAGTGTGAGACTTCCCCTCAGGAATCGCCAGAGGATGCAGTCCATTTCCCCGCACCCGTACCAGAGGCCAAGCAGCCGCATATGTCTGACATCGAATTTTATGAGCTGAGTCGAGTCGATGATGATGATGTGTTCTATCGCACGCTGGATGCCGCTTACTATGCCATCGTGCACCCTGAAGTTGCGGCTGAAGTTGCATCGGACTTACAGAAGTTACTTGAATCTCCCGAGCTAAATTGCAATGAGCTTCCGAATAGTCCAGAGTCCGACATTCCTACCCGACAGGTAGAGGCGGGAGAGCCAGACAATTTGGCAACGGTCTCTCAAGACATCACACAAGACCAGGGTGATGAAAGGCCACCTGAGTCTTCTTTTCGACACAAACTACCCACAAGTCATTCGAATGATGATTGTGTTGATCAGAACAATGATCTGCCATGGTTGACTACTGGATACGACCAGTCACAACCGCGCGCGTCAACTGAAATCGATGCGCGACAGACTCAGCCTGCAGAATTATCTGACTTCTGGCGACAGAACAAACTCTATTGATCTTCATCGGCGACATGATCATCAGATTGGACAGTGAAAGATGACAAAAGCAAGATCACATTTGCATCAATCAACCATATGAAAACAAAGTATCGCCAGCTTCATGTACATACATACCTAGATAGCTTAATTTCAGCTGTCAATAGAGCCTGTGAGGATCTTGAAATTCGAGATAGCGTGCATGAGCGCAACCTCTCCTTCGAACTCGTATGATCAGACCAGAGCCTATAACAATGATTGGCTGATTCAGTCTAAGATTGACTCAACGCAGTTCATCTCGGGTCGGCCGATCAACATTCTAGCCAGCTGGCAAGTCAATAATGGTCTAAAAGGCACACTGCTGCGCTGGATTATCAATATTGATGAGGGTTGATGGAATTCATTGGGTATATAACAGTTGGACAGGGAAATTAAACACATCATCAGATGGCTCAAATCCAAATGCTTGTCTCTATTCAAGCTATGGAGTTGACCTATCCATATATGCCGCCGTTGGACGGAGAACAACTGTGAACCACGGGAGATCGAAGGCTAGGAAAAACGAGACTAGATTCGGGTCCGGGTCCTCGTAAAACGCCAGATACAACCAGCGCAAGAATTATTGTGAATTTGAATTTGATCAGGCAATCTTGTAGCTTTTGGGTCGTGGATATGTTGCGGAGTCCACGAAAGTAAGTTGGGTCGGTCTTGTGTAGGGATTCGAACGCTGAGAGGTGAGTGTCGATGGCACGCTTGATAAAAATGGCATGCAGCAAATGCTTACAAGGCGGTTGAGACTATAATCTATCATAGAGTCGCAGCCGCCTCGATCGCACCGGCTGCCTTGAATGCGGCTGGGTTCCGCATCACCACCTCAACTGGGTACTGCCACTGCATGAATCGCGTCCAACCTAAAAAGCCAACCAATTAGCAATGTATTCTCCCATGCAGTACAAGATCATGAAGCTTGTTGGTGTCACATACTCCAATATGCGCATCGTCGCCCCAGGTATTTCCCAATGAAAGGTACTAGGACCATGCTCAGAAGTAGCTCCAGTTGTTCAATGCTTTCTTGCCATTCTGCCTCGGCATCGGAGGAATATTCGGACAAGGTATCGAGGTCGGACTCGGTTGTAGATTCTGAAGGGAGGGAGGCGAGCTCATCGTCGGACTCGGAGTATGAGTTCTGTCGGGAAGGGACCATGTACGCGGACATCGAGAAGGAGGGATTTGAGCTTTCTGGAGAGGGGAAAGCCATGATGGAGATTGTTGTAAAGAGAGGTGGGGGTGAGCAAATGAGGGGGAAGCGATGTTGATCAAGCAGCGGCCTGCCTACTGCGGTTATACAGGTGTTTGGCTTGAATCACCGGCACCGCCAAGCTCCGTAATCATCAACACGTGACCGTGTAATCTGGTGACTCAGTTGAGGGTCACGTGTTCGTACCGCCGATAACAGAATCACCTTCAGGCCTGGCGATATCAGATTCCAGCGACGATTTTGCCATTTTACACTCTTGCTCTAGCTCTTCGAATTCGCAACAACCTAAGCTCATCTCCAACAAACTGTGGTGGAGTGAATAGCATCTCTGAAGCCTCAAAACATGGCGGACGCTGTACGTCACACCCTTGTCTTTTTACCGACCCTCCCACATTTTCTTTAAGTCTGCACAATATCGACCCCTCGGCCGCCAACCACAGTGATCCAAGAACACACATTGTTGAGCCCGGGTTAAGGACTGGTACTTTTTATTGAAAAGCCAGGCTATACGATTTTTTCTGCTTTTTCTCTTTTTTCTCAGAACTAACACCGCTTTTTGCCGCTCCGCTCAGGAAATCGAGACTAAACAGCGCAAGTCGGTCGCATTCAGCGAAGGATCGGTCATCATGGATACCAACGGCCAAGTCACAGACGCCCCCCCGGCTGAGAAGCCTACAGGCGGTATGCAATACCTTTCCGATCCCAGCATCAATCCCCCAGTCGCCTTTGCCTGAGCCCCACTAACAATATCTTGAATATGCAGAGAAGGATGTCGACGAGGTCACCGAGATGTTCAAGGGTCTCTCAAAAAAGAAGAAGACCTCCAAGAAGTCTAAGACCACCGAAGCAGGCGATGACGAGGAAGCCCCCGCCGCCGCCGATGGCGAATTCGATCCCTCCGCGCTGAAGAAGAAAAAGAAGAGCAGCAGCAAGTCTAAGAAGGTCGACCCCAACGACTTCGATGCCAAGCTCGCTGAGGCTGGTATTGCTGAGGAGGCTGGCGAGGATCAGCCCGAGGAGCTGCCTGAGGGCGACCTCGAGGCCGGCACCGGTATCTGGGCACACGACGCCACACAAGCCATCCCCTACTCGCTCCTCGTCTCCCGCTTCTTCTCCCTCATCGAGAGCCACCACCCCGATCTCCTGTCCAGCGGCGCCAAGTCCTACAAGATCCCCCCGCCCCAGTGTTTGCGTGAAGGTAACCGTCGTACCATTTTCGCCAACATTGCCGATATTTGCAAGCGCATGAAGCGAAGGTTCGTTCTGCTCCTTCCCATTCATTCGTTGAGATCTCCTATCTAACTGTTTTTTTCTCTAATTAGCGAGGAACACTGCACCCAATTCCTGTTCGCCGAACTCGGTACATCAGGCAGTGTCGACGGTAGCCGTCGCCTGGTCATCAAGGGAAGATTCCAACAGAAGGGTATCGAATCAGTTCTGCGTCGCTATATCGTCGAGTACGTCACATGCAAGACCTGCCGCAGCCCCGACACCGAGCTCAACAAGGGAGAGAACCGTCTGTATTTCGTTACTTGCAACTCCTGCGGATCCCGTCGTTCCGTCGCCGCCATCAAGACCGGTTTCCGTTCCCAGATCGGCCGCAGAAAGCGTGTGGGTTAAGCGCATGGAGCTGTGCTGGCAATTTGCGAAGGAAGGGCTTGTTTCTATCTTTTCCTTATGGCGTGTCACTTACTAGAGCTTTTGCTGGGTGGAAACAAGGCACTGTTGCTTTTTTTTTCCCTTCCCTGAGAGGCTTGAGATGAGGAAACGATTTGAAGAATAAAAAATAGTTTCGCATGAAATGGACTGATATCATTATATCTTGCCTTCGAGGTTGTATGATCTTTGTATCTAGGTGGACGTCTAGGATGGTGGTAAAACCGCCCGCTCTTTAACGTTTATTTTACTTTTGTTCAAACCCTCCGGAGAATCATCGTCTACAAGTCACCTGCTCTTCGGCAGATAATAGATTGCCCAGTATCTGACTATCTGTAGAAGTCTCCGGCTCAAATGAGTGTCAGCTTTATCCCCCAACCTTGTTGAGCAGACACCGAAGATCTTCAGGGGTTGTTGAGTATTTCTTTTATAAAACTTCCCATGAAGTGTCAACAACGCAGCCTCGTAAGTAGAAAGTCAGACTTGATTGAAATTTTGACAGTAACGCCGCGACAAAAATAGAATAGTTCCACATAAATGTACTAATATCAAAGCATCCGCCTGTAACATAGCAAATTGGTATAGAATGGAGACCTGCTCGCGATTGGGCCTGTGCCTGGTGCATCGAATAAGTGTATAACAAAAACACATGATCGCAAGTTGGCGATAACTTCGTTTCTCGCGAAAGTAGAAGTCAACGTATAAATTTCGCAAAAGGGAATTCGCTAGGTGTGCTTTATGCAGATCGAATAGGCGAACTAGAATCAGCCACTTGCAGTGCTTATCTTCATCTGGGCAGCAAAGGCATTCAGGTTCCTGGTCTGTAGGTAGACAGTTCCCGGGCCCTTAAATCTGCAGGCAAGACCCTCACCAGAGCTAATGCCAGAGATGATACCACCAGAGGCCACACGCTCCATCTTGTACTTGCAGTTCCAAGCCACGAGGTGGCCGTTGTCGATGAAGTATGTCTCGTCTTCGCGAAGCTTTGCAGGGAAGGTGTGTTAGATAAAACCCTGCTTTCAAATGGCCGGGCATGATAGACTTACATCTTTCCGAATGATTGCACCAAAGCTTTGTATCCAAAGTACGCCAGATCCTGTAATCTTGTAGATGAAAAATCCCTCACCGGAGAAAACACCCTTGGACAAGCTTTGGGACTGGTATTTATGCTCAACACCGGCAGTATGTCCAAGGAAGGCGTCACGTCCGATTTTCCATTCCTCTGGGTCCTCCATCCGGATGACCATGATATCTCCCAGCATTGAAGGTGCGAGCAGGAGCTCACCGGGACCGGTGTAGTGGGACATAGTCATACTGCCCCCAATGATGAGTTTCTTCCAGGAAAACGAGATGTTTCCCCTCAATGTAATCGTTGGAGACATTGCAATCATTGCACCTAAGAACCAAGCAAGATTAGTTCCTCATCAATACATATTTTGAACGATGCTATCAAGTGAAGCACATCCGTGTATAAGGATTGTTGGAGGAATAATTACCAGGTCTGACAGTTAAAGGACAGCCCATTGCCAGTTGTACTGTCAAAACGGAGTTTGTATCACGGTGGCTGACCCTGAAACTTCCGCCGTTGAAAGTTCCAGTATCATCTTGGGTGGTTTCCTTTGCTCCACTGAATTCTCCATACGCCGGAGCTCCTCCGGGCATTTTTTGTAGTCCAATAGTGCCATTGTAATCGAAAGCAGCTTGATTGTGCTGAGCGATTGGATCCTGGGGCGGGCTCATTGACTTCGGGGGAGCTGCATATCCCCCATTTGAAGGGGTGTGTCGATGGGGTTGTGGGCTCTCTGCCGGTGGAGTGGCCGAGGTATATGCTCCATTTGGATGCGGTTGCCTTGGGGGAGGTGGATATTGGGGGTTAGGAGCTGCAACTGTTGGGAACTGGGGATGTGTAAACGCTATAATATTTAGTACTAGAACAACAAAAACATAATTGGGATTAATTACTAGTTACATGGGCCGGAGCTAGACAATGGGTCAGTATGTGGATTTATTTGGATTGGAAAGCACCGACCTGACATGGGGGGTGGAGGATAGCTTGGCTGAGACATTGTTCTTGGTGGATTCTGGTATACAAGTTTACTGAGCACTTTGAGGTGTTCGTTTTTCTATAAAGGTACCTTTGTTAGGATCCGAGTGTTCACAGACAGATTGAAAGCATTGGAGATCAGACTCACCGTGGGGTAGGATATTGACAAGGCGAAAACCTGTAGCTTTTCCCTTATTATTTTGAGCAAATAGATTACTGGCTATCCAAATGGCCTGATGATTGTAAGAACGCGTGAAATAGAATCAAAGAGGGTTTCGCGGGGTCACCTCTTTTAAAGGGGAGATAGCTTCCCCTCATGAGCACACTATTCTTAGAACAGAATTCTCTATAGCAATAGATTAGGCGTGTGACGAGCCTTGCAGCTCTCAGTCAATCAATCACGAGTCACACATAACTACTGTAGAAGTACGGAGTACGGAGTACTGATCTTCCCCACCGGGCGCTAAAGAGGTTGCATGTGCGCGACCTGATAGGTGTGTCCTATGCATCCTTCTTGCCGAGCCATGCCTCGAGGTAGCTCATTCGCCGGAATATTATACATACAATTTATGACACAAAACTACCAAGATTGAAAAAAACTTTGCCCAGAGCTAGGCAAATATGAGGGGCTAATGATTAACATTTTGCATCAGTGGACGAACTTGATTTACAGACCATCGGAGGGCAACGTGAAAAATATTGATACGTAAGTAACGTATAATCCTTGCTTCTGCATAGAATTTCCCGCGCTTTACGAGTCTCTCTGATGTGAAAGTGATGAGTGGAACAATCTTGCATCTCATTGCTCTTTGATACCCCGATCTTCCAACACCTGGCATAAGAACGATATTGCCTCAGTATAATTAAATTGCCTGGCCTGATCCAAAACCGTCGATCCATTAAAATCAACAGAATCAAGCCTGGCTCCGTTATCCACGAGCAATTGCCACATCGGGATCGGATTATTTTCGTGGATAGATAGCATCATTGAAGTTTGGCCGTTTTGACCTATAGCATTGACATCGGCTCCCCCTTTAATGAGGAGTTCAGCCATCTGAATCTGGCTATTCATGGCGGCTGAATGGAGCGGCGTTAAGTCGTCTGACCCCAGTGGGTCGATTTCTGCTCCATGGGCTAATAGCAGCCGGACAGTATCAAAATGGTTATTCTTGGTTGCCCAATGTAGGGCACGGAGACCGACATGATCTGGAATCTCAATGTTTGCTCCAAACTGTAAAAGTAATGTCACAATGTCGTCAAAGCCTTCATGGGCAGCGATTGCAAGTGAACTGATCTTCATCTGTTGTATGTTGCCATTGGGGTCGGCTCCATTTTGCAATAGCAGTCGGCTTCCCTCGAGGTCTTGCGTACAGACCTGATCATTTAATGCCGAGCGATTGTCCGGACCTATCGTCTCAATATCCGCACCCTGTCGGCGAAGTATGTCAAGTGCTCGTTCGGATCTTGTCCTTGCTGCAAGACTATACCCAATCCGAACAAGAGCGGGAAGTTCTTCGCTAACTTCCACCCATCGCAACAAAAGAAAGTATAACAAAGCATGGAAGTTGTTTCTAATCATCCACTCAAATCCGAGAACTTCATCCTCGGAGTATTCTTCACGCTTAATGTTATCGATCTTATGCAACGTAAGCCAATCTTTAACAGCGCAAATGCCCTTTTGGATTGCATCTGGGTCTTGGTTCTGATCGTGTGATCCATGCAGATCTTCAGACACATTGAGTGATCTCAAAGTGGGTTGGCAGAATGCCATGCCTGGAACATTGGTTGAAATGTTCCACGCAATCCATCCAAGCTGGCGCGAGAATGAGTTCCACCATTGCACACGATCCTGGTGTAAGGATCTTTGTAAGGGCGGCAAATTTGTGTGGACCTTAATGAATTCGTCTCTGATGTCGGACGTTAGAAGCGCGCATGTCTGTTCGAGTCCTTCTTTGCGAACATGTTTGTGTGGGCTGAAAAGTGCCTGGCGGCAAAGGAATCCCAGTTCATAGACCGATCGCTCAAACTGGGAACTCTCTGACCGCTGGCAGATCCAACGGAGAAGTGCAAATGCACCTTTCCAATCACCTTGTTCAATGAGCTGCTCCCTGCGTGCCCTGACCTTGGCCGAGTCTGCCGCGAGATCTGGTAACAGACCCCTATGCCTAAGGACGGGAACAATACATAGCAATGCATCTTCTCTTGAGCCCAAGTTGCTTTTCTCAAAACAACGTATGAGACCATCAATTCGAGTACTGGATGCTAGAAATGAACTTTGCAATCCAGGCACAAGATCAACATCCCCCCCCAGATCATGCAAGTTGAGAAACACCTCCTTGAGAAACTGAATGTAGATATCCTGGGCTACCATGGCCTCTAGTTTATTCTCTGTCCTGACAGCCAGGACTCTCCCTCCGAAGGAAATGCCCTTGGGCTCGAAACTGAACAGGCGGGGTGAATTACCATACACTGCAGATGGTAATAGTCTCGCTTCCGTTTGCCTGAAGATCCATTTGTGAAAGTAGAGAAATGTTTCTTCTCTACTTGCCTCGTCTTTATTCAATCCAATAAGGCGGCAAAGAGTTGAGTTCCGCCAGTTCTTATCCGACTTATAAAGTGACCAGGTCCACAAGCCTAGAATCGCTTCTAGCTCACTGACATCCACTTTCCACCGGAGAGCATCGCCACATCGCATGAGACCGACTAAATATGTTCCCGGAGCTTGAGTAACAGGTCCTGGAGAGGCTTCCTTGCACCTAAAGCCAAGTCTGAACTCAAAGGTCTTTCCAAGGTCAACTCCCCAGCTAGACATCAAATCCATTGTCGACTCAATCGTCTCTGCGAGGCTGTCGGCCATTTGGCGAATAGGCATTCCCTTCCAATCAACGCCTAGGTTCTGGCTTGAGCTAGTCGTAAGTCTCGCCAGCTGGGTCCTAGTTCGAATTAATTGCTCGGTCAAAGGAGTCGCGAGATGAGGCGTGGATCTCGGTGAAGGCATATTTTCTGGTCGATCGGGGATCGAGGCGAGTTCAAAAGACTCTACTTTCTCGAGGTAAAACGCAAAACAATCCATCTCTTGCTGCTTATGAGACGTGAGCTCCCGATCGTCTTTCATCTTGTTTTCGTCCGGTGTCATTCTTTCTGTGCGCAGACAGGTACGTATAATAGCCATTAGGAATGTTGATCCCAGCTGGGCTAGGGTGACAGATGAATGGAGGCCTCTCAATCCGATGAACTGGAAGATGAATCCCAAAACTGTTGATGCGAGGGTAGAGTAGATCTCCAAGTACTTCGTGTCAAATCTTCGATCTCTGATCGATTTAATGTAACGAAGTTTCTTGGTCATTGAGGAGTTTGGTCCTTCATTTACAGCCAAGAAAGCATTGAAGACCTGGTCGCCCACATCTTGATTACCAGGCTGCAACCAGTATATCTTGCTTGGCTTTTCTGCTTTGAGATAGAACTCCTTGGAGGAACGCTCCATGATGAATGCGCAAAAGAACATCCCGATAAACAGAAGGGTTGTCCCGACAATATAAAACGGAAATGCGTATGAGGCAACAGCTTTGTCGTTTTTCTGGAAATGCTGCGGGTATACAAACACCGTGAGTGTAGCGTACATCACAGTGCCTTGGTGGGATCGTCAGTATCATTTTGAGCTCAAAGAAGGAGAAGTACCGACCACTCTGTAGTATACCACCAAGTATTGCAGCACAATGAAACCAAAATTGATCTCTCCTCTTGATTCCCTTGTTCAATGACAGATTAGGAATATGCAGTTCAGGTAGTTCACTAGGTCGATGTTTGCTATTGCAAGACCAAGCCTTTTCTTCGAGGGCATCTTTCAAAGTGCCAATATTTGTCCCCATTTTTCCAGTATTGGGGTCCACATCCTCCCAGGCCACTATCTCCACGATCTTAGGCCGGCCAAAGACTCGTGTGATGCCGCCATCATTGAACAACTCCGCAGTGGATTCTGAAACGCAAGGAAGAAGTTCACTTTCGGCTTCGGCAGGGCCTTCCTGAGCTCGTCCTACGAATGCCCTGAGGGAAGAACTTCCGCAGATTCTAATCACTGACACGACGGAAGTCAAGACCCCTAATGGTGAAAGGGCGAAGATGACATTATCGAGAGTGCTGATGGACTCGGAGAGAAATTGTTTCGTTAGTCGTTCGCCGAATAATGTGATTAAAGGAGCCTTTAATCGCAACATCAGCACATCGCACACCTCATCCACTTATCCAGACAAGATAAGTATAAGCATACCAAGTCTGTAGCAAGATTATTCGTAAAGTCATCCCAATCATCAGCCTTAACTAGAGGAAATAAAGATATAAAAAACAGTATAGAAAGCATCATAGAAAACTTCATAAATCATTAACACATCAATTCATAATAAGAGACCATACAAAAGAAAAAAGAGAACATTTTCTAACAACCGGCCAAACGCGCTCACTTAAGAGAACGCCCCTTGACTCTCCATCCGCCATCGTGGGCATATTTTGCCGATCCCCACTCGATTCAGGGCGAAGTACAGAGCCCCCATGCTCGCGAGGCGCCTCCCCCGTGGCAATAAAAGAAAACTATGATCATTGTTTTAATCCTTTCGGGGCCTGGGACCCACTAGTGCGGGCTTGTAAGCGCTGTGCTGACGACTGTCCCTGTTGTCACTGCACTAGCTGCGGCCCACATGGCGCTATATCACAGACTGCGGGTCTAGATGGGGGCATTTCTTCGACCGGCGCGTAACTTATCCTTAGGGCATAAATGGATAAGAAGCAGTTAATATGTATAGAATGACTTTTATGCGGGGAGGGGAAGGAGTTATGTTAGTGGCGTGGAATGGCGGAATATCATCGTGTGTTGTCTTGGCACTTTCGCTTTTTTATTTTGGGGCTGTGGGATGCGGGATTGCGGGATTGATCACAGTCGGGCAAAAACAGGGAGACGGACAGGGCTAGGATCAGACATATGCGCTCTCTCCTGCACTAGAGCCGGGGGTGTAGAACATGTCTGAAACGTACGGAACTCGCGGCTATGACAACCACATGGTCTAGCTTAGCACGATGATGATGGCATCGTTGTAGGTAAATGGATACTCTTGTTGTTATATAATGGTAGAGATTTCAAGAAATTGACCCTGCTGAGGTCGAGTTTCTGATTGAACACAGGGAAGTGTTGTATATTGAACTCGGTGTTGATATCCAGATCGATTCCACTTTTGACCCGTTTATATATATTTTTAGATCAATTCTTCAAATCCAGAAAGGAAAGAATGCGACTGGATATGAGAAGCAATTGGATCTATTCAGAATCTTGAATCAGATAAAGAATTTATGATTGTTAGCAGTTGATGTAAATGTTAAGTCAATGTCGGGAGCGGAGATTCCAAGATCTTGGCCAAGTCCACTGATTTAGGCTACTTAATAACACCCGACCTCAGCAACCCCCTGTGTGTGTCTCAACTCTCCCTACTCTTGGATTTTTCACTCTCGTCAGTTTGAAATTGTCTCCTCCAATCCCTATCCGTGTCCTTTCATAATGGCGGCCCCCAGTGAGTTCGCGTCTGCCATGACCACCCGGTCGCTCCGCATGGTCCGGACGGTAACGACTTCCCGGCTTCCTGTTCCTGAAATGCGATCCAGGTACTAATTCAACATCATCCAGGAACTGGAATTCCTCGCCGATGCATCTGTGATCACTCCCCGCCAGCTCTCCTCCATTCTATCACAGCTACCCACCGATTCCGAAGCCTCTCGGGCGGTGCATGCATCACCACCTCCGCCTCAACAGCACGCACAGCCTGCGCCAGCTCAACATGTTCCAGTGCAAGCACAGCCCCCTCCGGCCCCCTACACGCCCTCATACTCGCCTCCTGTCTCACAAATGGCCAATGCGTCGATAAATGAGAATGCCTACTCGCAGAATCAATATGCAAGCCAGCCCCCGCAGGCCCCGCCCGCTTATCCCCAAGTCCCGCCAGTCCTTGGTCTGGCCTCGGCTACGTACGCATACACACCTACCGATGCCGGTGACTTGGCTTTGCAGCCCCAGGATCGCATCCAGATTACGGAGCACATGAATGACGACTGTATGATATTCTCCTGTTACCCGATATGGATACAGAGCTAATGATAAACAGGGTGGCGTGGTCGCAACGAGCGGACTGGCCAGGAGGGTATCTTCCCTCGAAGCTACGTGAACGTTGTGAATGAGAAGGCTGGTGTTTCTTCGCCCCCGCCTACAAACTATGGAAACATGCCTCTTGCAGTCAGCCAGAGTGGACAACCTGAAAACTCCGAGGACCCAAAGAAGAGCAAGCTCGAGGAAGGAGGCAAGAAGTTCGGAAAGAAACTGGGCAATGCCGGTACGTCTTAAATACTTTTGGTACTCGGTTATTTGGTTTCTAACTTGATATTAGCAATCTTCGGTGCCGGTGCTACTGTTGGCTCCAACATCGTGAACAGCATCTTCTAATCATACGGCCGGGCTATCTTGCTGGGCATTTTGCTTCGTATTCACTCTCATTGATACGGCGTTGGTGGCTTGGGTTTTTTTGCTTCGAAGGGATTGACTGGGCTCAATCAGCATCGCTTATTGGTGGGCTTATGGCCAAAGATTTTAGGGTCCCCAGTGCTCAAATGCTAATTAGCTCTTCATTGCGATACGATCCCGACTTAGGGCTACAAACATACTTATCTCAGCCAATGACTGCGTCAATAGTATCTTTACTCTGCTTAGATAACTAGGGGAAGAAGGAGGAGGTATAACTAATAGTACTCTATAGACTAAGACAGTCAAGGCTATCTTAAACTTGGCTGAAGCACCGTAACTGTTTTAAAGCCGCGCGCTAGAAGGACAACGTAAATATAACGACGGCACAAAGGCCATAGCAGGCCTCAGCGAGCTCAAAGTTCGCTTGGGAAGTGGTGCCTGATATATGTACATAGGAAGATATATATTGTAGCAGTAGGCTGCATATCATTTTGATAGTTGGATTCTAACCCACTCCCAACTGTACAAATTCGATCAGGGGTCAGCGTAAATGAGTTCATCCATCCACCAGGAGTCGTCTTAAACCATGGTTCGATCGATCAAGGACGCAGTCTCTTGCTTATACAGAAGCTCCCCGATCCCAAATCGAGTGAGAATGCGCAGATTTTTCTGAAAAAGAGGCTTCGAGGCTTCAATAAGTAGAGACACTCAACAGATTAACGCTCATGTACCTTCAACGCAGAGATGATGACAGTTGCGTTATTCTTGCTGCCTCCCTGGGCTGCCCGGAAAGGGTGTTCCTCCCGAGGTCGTTATCTTTTTCTCGTGTTCTTTCAATTTTGATTTGTGGTGGCAAATTTATTGAGAAAAAATCTACTAGGTATTTCCGGCTTAATTTCGGCTTTGGGAATAGGCATCATCAAGTAAAATGGCCTCATGTCATAGGCCGCGGGTATCATTTGCCAGTTTGAGACCTGTACGGAGTATAGTGTCAGGAAATGCCTTTAAAAATCAACAGGTTGTACAAATCCTCTCCAGGGGTTTACCAGGCTTACGATGCCTACTCGAGGACCTAGATAGAGTAAAGGTGGAATGTCCTCCGTAAGTAGTGCGCACATACATATACCCGTTCGAGGTAGTCATTCCGCTACTGTCATCAAGTGGGTCTAAGGTTTGAATAACCTCCCCGCTCTTGGCAAAGTAAGCATCCCTCGGCGTTAACAATTATAGTCCGCAGCCTTAAAGTGCAAAGGGTCTGCCCACGTGCGCGACAACAAGCTTGTGGGGATAGTTGAACCGTGAACTTTAAACCGAATTTCGACTTTTAAGCAACCGGCATTAGTTCGGTCGTTGACCTACTAGCCTTAAGGAAGTTAGGTTCTACTATAGAATGCTAACACTTCTGCAAAATCTCTATCTGATGCTTATGTTGTGTAGCTGGTACGTTAACGGAGATATGACAGTTATCTGTCATCACGTCCTACAACGCGTATGTCTGGCTGCACGTGCTGGATATCTTGTTCCTATCTGGCAGAAGTAGCTCTTGATTCCCTCTCTACCACACACTCCTTGAACTATGGCTGTGAAAATTAATCGTAGAACGATGTGAAATATTTAAAATGAGATGTAATTTCTCCAGATATCCTCTCTGTAGGAGAAGCTGCTCTTTTGTGCTTGCAGGTGTCTTTTCGTTTGGAATCAAACCAACGTTCTCCAGACATTTTCAAGATGCCCCTCATGAACTGGGCCGAGGAGGCATACTTCGAACGAGATGCCAATGGGGAGCCACTTACAGCTGTATGCCTCCAAACAGAACTGACTTAAGATGTATTACTCACTTCAATAGGAGGACTATGAGAAGCAGTCAGGGAGGAAGGGCGGACTAAAGCTCTCGAGATTCGAAGTGAAAATGCTGCTTATTGCAGGGTACGTGAGACGGAGGTTATTTGTTCAATATGAAAATGTTACTAACATACCGGTCCTCCGTAGAACCGGATTTTTTATGGACTCCTACGATCTCTTCATCATCAACCTCGCCACGCCGGTCTGGCAATATGAATACTGGGGTGGTAATTACCCAGCGATGCTGCATGGTGTTGTCAATGCAGGCGCAAACATCGGAAATGTCTTTGGTCAGCTTCTCTTTGGACTACTCGGAGATGCTTTGGGTCGACGATTCGTCTATGGCAAAGAATTGATCCTTTGCATGATCGGTATCATCCTCATCATCTCTCTGCCTAACAGTATTCCGTCGCCCACTTTGAAAATGATCTGGATCTTTTGCTGGCGTATCTTTATGGGTTCGTGCGACAAAATTTGCTATACTTGCATGTACTCGAAACGAATTTCTAACTTTATTGGAATCAGGAATTGGCATTGGCGGTGATTATCCCATGTCTGCGTCGATCGTGGCTGAGCGTGGTCATCTACATTCTCGTGGCTCTCTCCTCGGTTGGGTTTTCTCAGGCCAGGGCTGGGGAACACTACTGGGCTCAGTGTGCACAATTATTATCCTTGCATGCTTCGAACCTGCACTCAATGGCAGGGGAGAATATAGTCAGCTCGATGCTGTCTGGCGCATTCAGATTGGCCTGGCTCTGGTCCCCGCACTCATCGTCCTTCCCTTCCGGCTAACAATGCCCGAGGGGAAGAAATATCTGGAGAGTCAGAAACTGAACAACAATAAAGTGGATGAGCCAGTTGACACTCCTGAGAGCAGTGGGAAAACTCAGTGCGTATGACCCTGTCCACCAGGATAATCCAGTGACCACCTTGGTCCTTCGTCAAACTTCACCTGCCAAGTTCCAAACTAACGAGTAATGCTTTGAAGGTCGGCGAATTGGAAAGCATTCTTTGTCTACTTCAGCGAGTGGCGCCATTTCAAGATTCTTCTCGGAACAGCCTTGAGTTGGTTCCTTGTTGATATCGCGTTCTATGGCACCAATTTGAATCAGTCGGTCATTCTGTCTGAAATCGGATTCAGCCACGGTAGTAACATCTATCACACCCTAATGCGAAACGCAATTGGAAACTTGATCGTTTCTGTGGCTGGATATCTTCCTGGCTACTTCTTCACTATCTTCTTCATCGAACGACTAGGGAGAAGATGGATTCAAATCCAAGGATTCCTTGTTTGCGCTCTGCTTTTCGGCTGCTTAGCTGGTGACTGGAATGGAATGAATACCGCCGGCAGGTTTGTGTGTTTCGCACTGGCACAGGTAGGAAACACCCCAAAGCTCTGAAAGGACTCCGGTGAAAGCTGACTGTTAACTATAGTTTTTCTTCAACTTCGGACCCAATGCCACAACCTTCATCATTCCCGCCGAGGTATTCCCCTCTCGGGTGCGCGGAGCAGCTCATGGTTTCTCCGCTGCGTGCGGCAAGCTTGGTGCTATCCTCTCTGCACTTCTTTTCAACTGGTTGAGTAGCTCAGTCATTGGCCTGCCAAATGTGCTATGGATTTTCTTTGGATGCAATATTCTTGGCGCAGTGGTAACATTCTTTTTGATTCCCGAGACGAAAGGTCGCGATGCAGATTTGATTGACGCTGAAGAGAGCCAAGCTTTGCGAAGCACTTAGTCCTTGATGGTGAAGCGCAAGTGAGCTGTGAGAGGAATGGGGGAGGAGGGAGGGGG